TGTGCACTGAGTATGATTATTCAGTTTTCGAAGGATTACGGATTGCGGTACCTGAGGAATGGGAAGGGGGTCTCTCGAGCGTGACATTCAGCCACTGACCGAGATAAGGCTGACTTTGATTATGAGCGCCTCGACTAGTGTTCCCTCCGCCAACGTCGTTATCAAACGACTGATAATGGCGGTGTTTAAATCGGCAGTCTTCGGCACCGTGACCATTGGTGACAATCTGTGGGCGCCTTTCCGTCGTTTCTGGGGTCAGACGTGTAATGCCACGATGCTCGAAGCAAAATTCCACCGATTGCCTTCATATTTTACGGGTATATACTGTCTGCGATACAGATCAAGTGTGCCAAATTTGAGATTTATGGGGGAAGATGCGATGGAGATATGCACGAAATACATTCTGGGCCGTCGCTTCTGGGGTCACACTAGTACAAATTGTGTTGGGATCAATCACCTACTACATTGGGTGCTGATGTAAGGCCCAAGAGAACACGTGCATAGCACTAGACGCTCTCCGGATATCCCTGCCTGATCATTGAGCGCCCGAGATCTCTAGACAGATTAGAGCTCCGATATAGGTCTACGGACACTCCAGAGCCGTAGATTCTTATGGGAAGTCATCCAGTCACGGTGTGATTAGCGTGCTCATGTCAAGCGGACGTATACTGTACACGGATGGCGGTGCAGACGGTTTGATGCGGCGGATGGATGATCTGATGGGACCCAAGAACGCGATAGCATGTTACAATCCACGAAAGCTAGGCGATACAAGCAGGGATACAGCGCTGGATATATGACGGGGCATACGTCCTCGACACCGGCCCCGGCCAGCAGGACAAACTGTCGGCGTGTCCGGACGTGTCCTAGCTGCTGGGGCGGGGCCTAGCGGAGGACGGCGGCGCCCACTGCAAAACAAAGTGCGAACGGCGAATCCAATCGCCCAGAAGTGAGACACCAACAACGAGCCCATGCCGTGCATAAAGACGGCCCTCGCTTACTGCGAGGTGGCGTGAACGGTGAACGCGTTGTAGTTGAACGCGGACGGGTTGGGGTTGAAGGTGAAGTTACCGGCCTGGAGGTCGATAACGGTCTGGCCGTTGCGGGTGAGCACACCGTGCAGGGACCCGTTGGGCTGTATCGGGAGGGACAGTTTGTTCACACCAGCGGTGATGGGGAATGTCTGCGCGTCGCTGTCGGTGCTCGAGAGCGTGAGGGAGCCGTCGGCAGTGGCCAGGACCACGGCCCACATCTTGTCCTGGAACTGTTATCATCACATCACAGTCAGCTCATCTGAGAGAAGAAAACGCCGGCGAGGATGTACTTACGAGCTGGAAGTCCTTGGGGGGGCCGACGGGGTCGTTGGGCGTAGCGTTCTTGGGGTGCGGGCGTGCCCAGAGGACGAGCTGGTCCTGCGAGATGGCAGGAGCGGTACCAGTCTTGAACTGCGTCGCGAAGAAGTTCGTGAGGCTGAGGAAGCCTGTTGCACGGGGTCAGCTGCAAGCTCGACGCGGAACGTATAATGGCGGAACACACCAGAGTGGTCGAAGCCGTCGACCCAGGCATCAGAGCCGGGGGGAAGGTCACCGTGCTGAGGACCAATGTAGTGGGACTCGCCGAAGTCGTTCCAGGTGCAGATCTCGACGAGGTTAACCTTGTCGCGGTTAGCGACCAAAGTCTCCCATCGAGAAACCCAGAGGTGTTCATCGCCGTCGAACACGAACTGTGCAGAGGACTTAGTCATGGTGCACCGAACAGTGTCTAGTGCGACTTACGTTCTTGTTGAAGGTGTCAGCACCGAAGTGGGTGAAGAACCACGGTGCGGCAGCAGCCATGTAGGTCTGGGCGCTACCCTGGACGCCAGCCAAACCGTTGATAAACGAAGTATCGGGGTCGAACGCGCCAACGAGTTTCTGAAGCTCGGTCTCGCCCTGCGCGCTGAATGTGGCTGCGGTCAGGTCAGCGTCAGGGACCGTCTGGGCTGCGTTGGCCTCCGAGATGGCAAGCGGCCATCCAGAGTTGAACTGGGGGACGCAGCGTCTATAAGCAAATGAACGTCAAATGATAGATAGAACACTTACATTGAATGCACCATCCAAGACACCGGTGAATGTATTGAATGTAGCGGGATCGATGAAGAAGGATGGGACGAAGTGAACCTTGCCGACAGTGTCGGGGTGCTGGGTGAACTGCGTCCTCCAGCCAGTCGGGACGTCCGCAGCGCCGAAAGTGCACGACTCTCCGGCGAAGGTCGAAACAAATGCCTTGCCGTCAACTGTCAGCTGAGGAGTGCGGCTCGCGAACTGGTTGGTCAAGGAGCGGAGGGTCGCGCCGCCATCAGCGGTTGTACACGGGAGGGAGCTGAGAACGTCATGTTTCAGATGATCAATCACGGGGATAAAGGCCTCAGGATTTGCAAAAGCCTCAGCACTGACACCCACCTCATGTCAAATGAGAAAAAGAGCTTGAAACCCGAGTTAAGTTGCTCGGCTGCCTGGAAACTACAGCATAGTCAGAATAGACGTCGCTCTCACTCTGCGTGCGGAAGACATACGCGAGGTCAGTCTGAGTGCTGGTGAAGGGATCGTTTCCGACATTAAGCGCGAAGCCGTCAATCCCGTTAGCCTGGGCAAGCTGGATGTCGGACTTCCAGTCGTCGATCGTGAAACTAGCCGTAAGGCCGACGATATGGTGCGCAACGACAATCTTGGGGACACCAGATTGACGAGCAACCTTCGTAGGAGCGGCGTTGGTGAAGGCGGCCGCGGCGAGGAGACCAGCAGAAATAAGGAGAGAGCGGAAGTGCATTGTGCTGCTAGCGAGTAGGTCGGTCGTAAAGAATGGGGAGCAGATGTCGTCTGTTCGTGAGGTAGTAGAAAGCTTGTGTGACGGCTAGCGTCGCGAAAGAAGAGAATAAGAATAGAAAAAGCCGAGAACAGGAGAGACGTTAAGAAGAAGCGTTGACGGCTCAGCGGACAACGAGTGAGGCATGACGGTCGAGCACCGTATGCTTTTATATTCATGACGCGTGGAGGCGGAGACGAACGCGAGGGCGATTGACAGGTACGCGCCGGGAGAACAATACGCGAACCCTGAACCGGACAATGATGCATGCGTGCGGAAACGCCGAGTGATATCAAGGCGACGGGCGTAGTGAGCGCGTCTGGCGACGAGGCAATTGTGGCAGCCTTGTACTGATTCGGTTGTTTGACCACCCGCCGTATCCAAACACTTGCCTGATATGGTACTCGGCGCCCATCCTTGACAACCGCCCTTGCTCACTAGCGCCCGACTGCACCTGAGCATACTCAATTGGAGTATCTGCTGCGTTTTGATGTGAACCCCTGCCGTTGCAAAGCCAGTGGTCGAGCAGCCACCGCTCGTACGCGCAGTGACCAACAGACAGCGGTCTCATCTGCGACTTGATCACCGAGATGTCAGATACGGCTATTGCATCGTCGGAGGCGGTTCCCGCACTCACCTGTCAGATCATCCATCTCGGTGGGCCTACTTAATCCTCAGCAAGATGTAGGCCAGCCTCGAAGGTATTTCGCGCAATTACTGGGGAGCTGCATGTTGGGCGCATATACGCCACATGTCTGCGGAGCCTGGGTAGACTTAGCTTGACTTCGGCTGGGCGGTTTCGGGTTGAGACAATCTCCTGATCATGCGGTAACACTCCGTTGACGAGGACCAAAGTATGACGGTCGGCGTTGAGACATGTCCGTTGAGAGCACGAGACGGATGGTCGAGGTCATCCACAAATCAGAAACCCGTCGGACGCGAAGGTGGGCCCAGGCACGTGGCATCGGCCACTTCCGGCATCGCCGACGCACGGCCGCCGGCGACGTTAGTCAATGATACCAGACACTCAGTACTTCAAGGACGCGTTGGCGTCCTGCGCCGCAGCTTCGAGCTTCAAAGGTTCCTTGCCATCCACCACTGCGAACGCAGCACAACACAATGGCTAGCGACACCTTACCCCGCAGGCGGAGCATGACCGACGCCTTCCTGGTCTCGCGTAATCCTGAAGTAGCTAACGTGGTCCGTGGTGATCTCATCAGCCTCCTCGAAGGAATGCGGTAAGCCTCATATCCGATGCACAGCTGACCCCTGTGTAAATATTCACTCACTGCCACTGGTGATTGACTCCGCGGGTCCGCTGCAACTTCAGGCAGCGCAATGCGCACCTCGACGACTTTGCGAGAGGGCTCCCGAAACTCACTGAGAGCGACCTATCATCCCTCGGACAGTCCGGTACGTACATGGCTTTACCTTAGGACACCAATAGGTCGCCCCACTGCATAAGTTCTCGCATTCATGCAGCACAAAGTACTAATTTGCAATAAGCAGACAGCACATGTCCAATATGCCTAACACCGCTTCTAGCGATCTTAGCAGAGGAGGAAACAGCGCTCGCCATGGACTCGCCTGCGCACCCCATCGAAGAACTGGGTGTCACGCGCCTTGTGAGGACATGCGGACACCTCTTCTGCCGCAAAGAGTTGAGCCTCCTCATTTGCTTGTAACCGTAAGGTTATTCTTCCGCTAACCTCGTTTCCCACGGCGCAGCATCCGCGGGTGGCTGTATCAAGGCGTGAGTGCCTTTATTGCTTCCGTGACCAGCTTGCTTCGGCGCGAGAGCGGTAGCTGACGATCATCTGCCGTCTCCTCTTCCTTGGCACGCCGTACCATCATCCGGATCGCGCAGAATGCGACCTGCCCCACATGCCGCACGCCATTCATTGCGCCGCAGGCTGGAGACGAGCAGCGCGCACGCCAGGAGAGCGAACTGCCCGGTGCTGGCGAGGCCTCGTTCGATGCGTACCTGAACAACGAGGTCACTCGGGCATTCGAAGCCTTCTTCCCACTGCCAGGCGCGCCCACATCCGCTGTTCCCCGCAGTGATGGCCCGGCGTCGTCCGAAGAAGATTTTGAGCAGCTAGAGGAGGCGCAGTTCGAGTACGACCACGATCGGAGCGAGTTCTCCGGGATGTACTCGTGAACTGCTTGCCGTGTTGTTCACTTGACCTTCATTCCCAATGCTAGCGGCTTCTTTGGACAGATTATACTCGTGGGTTCTAGGAATGGGATGGGACGGTGTGTATGCCATACATGTAAATCTACTAAATTCTATGAGTACTTCACGCATGGGCCTAGGGTATGTGAACGAGGTTGCCAATGAGTTGTGATTAGGAAGGTGGCAGCGCTGAGGGCAGCAGCCGAAGGTGCATCCAGAAAACGATCTCGTTGCCCATGTCGAGCTTTACGGCGGAGGGGTCCCGGATCGGTCCTCTACGCAGTGGTCGTGGGTACTGGTGGCAAAACATAGTTGTCTTTCCATTTGTTCCCTTTGTACAGTGCTAGTAGAATGCAAGAGAGTTAGCAAGATATCCTCCTGGCATCCCATCACTTACGACGGTCATAGCTCATGTCGAGCTCAGCAGACCTCGCCAATGTCGGAAAGCACTTCTGAATGTGTGTCCACCACCAATCTCGGCAATTTTCGGAGTCATAAATGCCAGCCCATATTCGCCAACGCCCTCCCTGCTCGCCAACCTTTCCAGCCGCGCTCGGTCCTGCCCGAGACTCGTCAACCAACTCGTCCACGACTCGACCCACTGTACCGAGAAGGTCTGCAAATTCTTGCCGAGTAAAGTGATATTCGTGGTATGCGTGGAGATGGACGATTGGGAGAGGAACTTCAGGCTTCCATGAAATGAGCGTCGCCTTGAGCATGTCGAGCGACTGCCCGTCCGAGTCAGTCGCAGATTCCGGACCCAGCCAAATGTCCAATCGCTCGAGCGCCGAGCAGAGGCCCAGGTCGATGCCCTCGGTGGAGAGGTTTACTGATGAGATATGTCAGTACAAAAGCTAGCCATGGCAATGCTCCTGTGAAGCAAGGTTCACACACCGGGCAGGACCATATTTGTGTCGTCGAAGAAGGGCATGTCGACTTCCAATCTCCTGAGACTCAGCGGCCCACATGCCGAAACCAGTCTTTGGACGCAGTGTACGTCCACGTTGAACGAGTGGATTTGTGTAAGATGCGGGTTATGCATGTCGCAGAGAACATACCAGACGCAGATCGTGCGGCTTTGGTGCAAATGGCGGTGGACGAATATGCATCCCATCGGCTTGCGGTTCCAAATCCAATGGCCGGTGACCGAGGGTCATGCACAGCACGTAATCGCATTCAAGCAGTTGCAAGGAGGGCAGGGCGTTGACCATCTTGGCAAAGTCGTTCAAGTGCCAGATGTAATATCGAAGATGTAAAGGCGAGTAACGGTCACGAAGCCCGAGAAGAAGAGCGAGATGCGGGTATGAAGAGGAAGGTGTTTGAGGGGCTTCACAGCGTCCCATTCGGACGTTCTTTGGTACCATTCCTCGTCTTCGCGCACATGGTTGATAGTGAGCTGTTTTAGCAGCGGGAGCCTCCCCTGGAAGGCGATAGGAAAGAGCGAGAGAGGGCTTGTTTTGTTACAGAGAACTCCCATGAGCGTCACCTCGTGGACAAAGTTACGAAGGTGGGGCCCGTTGTCGAGGACAGCCGAGAACCTTTGGAGTGCCGTCAGGTCACGGAGAACAACGGAGTAGAATAGGTTGCGTTGTGAGCGGACACGCCAAGCTCTACACACGAGGGCGCAGCAACGCAAGGCGCGAGTATCTTCGACAAAGGGTCTGGATGAGGAAAGCATATCCATTATGTGCTCGCAGACTTCGACTGGGAGGCGAGTAATTTTGCAGTCGAGAGGAGGGCCACCAACATCCATCGCGAGAGTGGCTGGAAACGGTGGATGGGCAGAGCAGACAGAAAGCAGCCTAAGGATATGCAGGACGCGATAGTGAGTGAGTGAATCGGATGTACTTACCTGGGAGAAGCACCCGGAGTTGACGCGAGATGGAAAGAGTGATTGCGACCGGGCACCGCAATGAGTTCACGAAGTCACCTCGTGGTATTGATACGAGGCATGACCCTCCACAAGCTTGGCTGAATAAGTACTTAGAAGCCTCGTCAAGCAACAGGAGACCCCGCACAGAACCGTCCCGATCGGGCCTTACTCATACCCTGCTGCTCGGACCCATTAAGTATTACACAATGAAAACCTCGTCCGCGTTGATGGCTCGACGGCACGAGACGTTTGCTGTCGATCATTTGCTGCTGCTCACCCGCGCATATCAAAGTCTTACATAGGTGGGCACAGCAACCAGGGTACCTTGACATTCCACCACCAGTGTTCCTGATGATGGGCGGCGATGCTGCGCTCCGCGTCATCGCAGCGGGTTATGGCAGTTGACTACCTCAAATATGTGCATAGGGTCAGTAACCCGATCTTGTTTATATTATGCCATTGTCAGACATCTTTGGTACCCGCCAGATGCCTTGCAACAAAATGCATTATCAGATATGAGCTTATGCATTGTGAGATTATCGACTGTAGATCGTCTTGAGCTCTTTCAGGCTGCGAATGCATCTGCTCTAACGACTACTGGGTCGTGAAGATGCTCAGCGCGTGGATAGATTCTATGTCGGGTTCCTCAGGGTTGAGTAAACGGTCCCATGAGAGCCAAGCCTTTGATTGCAAAGTCCGGAGTCGGTGGCGTTCAGTAGACGGTAGCGCCTAAACACCAAGCCGTAGACTGAGTAGAGTCAGTAGACTGTCCGAGAAGGTACGAGACGCCCAGCGAGCCAGCTCCTCTCCGGCGAGCTCAAAGTTGGGCGTAATGGAGCACCTTGTCGCTATCCACAACATCTCTGGAGGCTATTCAATCTCTGCATGTCTTTCCCTGTACCAACGCGAGCACTGTTAAACCCGAAGTTCGACGGATACAAGTTCTCGCCGCTGGATTACAATGAGGTCACTTCGCACTATCCTCTAGAGCACAAGGTTTCGCAAACCAACGTGTCCGGACGTACCCCTCTCTCCTTCGAGGAGGTACAAAGCCGCGTTACTCACAACCACCTTGCCATTTGCGGTCAAACCAGGCGAGCCGCATACGTTGACGCGGAGCTTAGGGTGATTGGAATCGATGTGGACGAGGTGAGCAGGTCCCTCTACATGCCGACAAGCAGACCGGGTTGATTGACATATGATCGGCTTGGGAAGTAGGCTACACTTCGACCTGCCTTTCGAATACTCTACGAGCTACCAAGGCCCGTTCAATCTTCTGCTGTCGAGTCTCTCCAGCGGGAGTACCCTTCTGCAGCATTTGTGGACGCGGCGTCCCTATTTGTCGCCGATGGACATGGCTCACTTTACGCTCTGCGTGTTGCAGATAGTGGACCCGCGGAGTTGCTGGCCACGTATGAGCTCACCATCCCCGAAGCCTACGAATCCTCACAGACCTCGGTCCCCTTCCGGCTGCACCAGGCCATTAACCCCGACGGCCTACGCGCCGCCCTAGTCCTGTCGTCGAAGCACTACCCCAAGACCGGCCAGCCAGTCACAAGTACCTCAAAGCCGCCCCAGGTCAAGTTTGACCTATGGGGTGTGCAGATCCCCCTCCCCCTTGCGCAATCTCCACAAACGCAAGCGCTCCAGATCGTCTGGCACCGACGCGGAGCCGACGTTCCGGCGTACATTGCATACGACTCTTCGCGCAAATCCTTCCTCTTCGTCGGCAGTTCCGTCTATCTCCCGGCAGCCGTCGCTTCCTCGCCGCCATACGAGCCCTCCCCAGAGGAGCTCGCACCGATTCCCCGTGCAGGCGAGAATCTTGACGGCCCGACAGACGAGAACCGATCTAGGCCCCCTCCTCCCTATTCGTGGACACAAACGTCGGACTCGGTGACAGTGGCGATCCCGCTTCCCGCAGACACTCCGACAGAGCACATCAAAGTCGCGTTCTCTCCGCGCACGCTCACCGTTCTTGTCGAGGGGCCCACCTCGCCCACATCGACGGATGTCCCAGTCGTAGTGCCCCGCTTTACGCTCAAGCCGCTGTGGGACGGGATCCACCCCGGTACATCGCTCTGGACGTTCGATCGCGCCGCCGAGAGCAAGTACGGTATCTTGGCTCTCCACCTCGACAAGCAGAACGAGGGCACCCGCTGGTCGCAGGTCTTCGCCGCTGCCGGGACCGGACAGGGCGAGGAGGAGGTCCCCGAGACGCTTGACCCGACGGAGCTATACAACATCCGCGAGGCGCTGGAGAAGTACACGGCTGCGCTCCAGAGCGGCACGGACGCTAGCGGGCTGGGATTGGGGACGGGCGTGCCGAGTCTTGCGGAGGGAGAACGGGACGACGAGGTCGACCTGTCCGTCGGGAAGTCCGTGTGCGTCACATGGGTTGGCGTTGATGGGAGGCATGACATGCATGGTGACGACTCGCCACTGCAAGTGCTTTCGACGCCATTCCCTGGGGCTGCCGGCTCTTTCAAGACATCTCTTGTTGCCAAACACGGCCTGGACGGCGTGACGTTTACGCTGAAGGACGCAGCCAACCCGGAGGACCCACCCATATGGGAGCACACCTCAACTTACTCCGCGCTCTCTTTCGTCCTCGCATCCAAGAGAGACACCCGCTTCGTCCACCACGTCTCTTCCAAGGCTGTTTTTGCGTTTGAGAGTGGTGCGCAGGACCTCGGTGGGAACGTCTACATCTACCGCGGGGCTGGCCCGAAGGAGAACTGGGCGAAACAAGCAATTCTTAAGATCGGTGGCGGTCTCGCAGGCTCGCTCCTAGGCGTGGGGTTGATGAAGGTGCAAGGCAGAATCGTCATCTTGGCGCTATGCGAGGGGGAGCTGGTCGTACTCTATGGTATATTGTAAAGCTGCATTCGGTATGTTGTGTAGGCACGAAATTGTAATTTGTAGCCCTGATGAACATTACATTCCAGAAAGCATGTTAACCAGCGTTGCAGCGAACCGGGTGCGGGTGTAACAGACGTTGAGCGGCATGGATCAGTAATTGTGCAGACATTACAAGGTGGACGCTACAGCATCTATCGAGCTCGTTGGGCTGGTGCAACATATATACAGAAGTAGCAGGGGTACGTAGCATCATCGAGACGACGTGTTCACCGTGACGCGAAAGTAAACAGCATGCAAAGGGGACATGTACAAACACCGCCGTGGTGACCATAGCTATGAAGACATGCGCATCCAAAACACAGGAGCCACACATACACAAGCCTAAAGCGTGGGATGGCGAATAGTCCGGACCTCGATCAGAGATGTTTGAAGGTAACAGATAACGTGACGGGAATATACAGCATACGTGCAACGCACACGGAGGCCCAGACAACACTGGAAGACATATCGTGAACAGCGGTAAAGACATGAGAAGTAGTAGTGGGAAGCTGCGACAGAATACAGATCATCGAGTACCGATGGGATCATTAATACAGTGCGTGTAGACTAACCAATATGTCACCCTAGACCTTCAGCGGGCTCTCGCTCGAATCCAGGAAACCCTCCGCCTTGAGCGCGGCGCTCGGCGCCTCGCTGTCGGGCGGCAGATGCTTGAGCTGGGCAGGCGTCGCGTCGCCGTTTGGCGGCGTAGGCGGGGGCGGGGGCGTCTCCCCACCTCGCGAGCCGAGCGTTGTTGAGGACCCTGAGGACGCGCCGTTATATGTGTACGTTGGAGACTCCGGGTCGCTCGCATGCCCACCCTCACCCTCCGTCTCACCGTGACCGTCACGGTCGTGCTCGTGCTCGCCGTCCTCGTCATGCAGGTCATCCATGTCGACGTCGTGCTCGTTGAACGCGCCCATGTCGTCTAGTTCCTGCAGCTGCTCCCGGAGGCTCTTCGTCATGTCGAGCTGAATCGGTCGCCCGAAACCTGCGCTGCTGAGGAGCGAGCGCGCATTGATGCCATGGCTCTCGATGTCATCATCGTCGCTGTCGTCATCGTCATCATCGGGAGCTGCGTGGAGGATGAGGGAGCCATCACCCCCAAGGATGTTTGCAAAGCCGCCGAAGAGGGACGTTGTCGTCGTGTCGTTTACCGGGATGTAGTTGGCACGTTCCCGGTCCTCTCGTTCACGCCGTTCTCGTTGGCGCTGCTCGTACGCCTCGCGTTTCACCTTGAACGACATGAGGCGGCTCGTCGAGTAGAGTTGGGGCAGCGTCTCGGGTGTCTGGTATCCGTACTTGTTCTTCACCCGGTCTGTTACCCAGTTGTACCACTCGTCCTGAGTCTTGCCATTCAGAATCGCGACAATCATGATCGTCATATTGTCGCAGCCAATTCCTGCGCCAGTTGTGGTATCGGGCGCAAGACAAAGCTCGCAAATCTCCTCGCAGATCTGCGGCAGACGACGTCCTTGCGAGATGAGCAGTCTGACAACATTGACGGCCTGCTGCGACGATAGGCAGTCCCAGATACCTGTTCAGATACGTGTGAGCTGAATGTGGGCAAGTCATGAGTATTCGGCATCCACGCACCATCGCACGCAATGATGAGGAACTCGTCTTCGCTCGTGATCTGGTGCTCGATGATGTCGGGATCGCTTGTGATGATCTGCGCCTCGGGTCCGATCGAGGCGTTCTTCTTGTAATCGAAGTCACCGAGGGCTCTGGCGAGAGCGAGGTTACCTGTCCACAACACTTAAAAGTGAGATGAGGGTACGGAGCTATTCACGAACCATTCACGCGACCGTACTCGATGTATCCACCAGCCGCTTGTATGCGGCTTTTCTCCTCTGGGAATGATGTCAGAAGAACGTAGAGTGCGCTTGTAAGAGACATAGACATACTTTCATTCTGAGGTTTGTGGTCGTAGCTGAGCTGCTTCGCCTCGCCCCTGACGCAGATCACCGAACGCGAGTCGCCGGCGTTTGCCTGGAAGCGGATGAGCACTATTGCTCGGAAGCCTCATAGTGATAAACTACATACCACATAGATCTTGCCATCTTTCGTCAGCAGCGCCGCCACCGCGGTGGCTCCTGAGGCGTCCCTCGAAAATTCAGGATCTAGGATGAAAGTGACGAGGACCTCGGTTAGACTTTGGGCGAGAATGCGCGGGATGTGTGCGCACTGGATCGAATATCCTCGTCCGTGCCAAGGAATGCATTCTTGAGGGACTCTTTGAGCTCCCCCTTCTTGTATGCTTCGTCCTGGACGAGGCGTTTATGGAGGTTCTGCCCCGCATACCTTGCGACAGCCGAACCTGCGAATCGAGCGGGGAAGCACGAAAATGATAAGGCCCCACAATGAACAAATTCGGGATCGAAAGAAACGCACCTCCGTGTCCATCGTAGACCGCAAAGAATGTGTTGCCGTCGGGAGCGTCCTCTTCGAGGTTGAGGAGAGCGGTATGCGCATCTTCCATGGCTACAAAATTGTACGTTAGCGAACGATCGGCAAATCAGAACGAGGCCGCCTGAGCGGCGTCGCGGATACACGTGAAGGCGAGAAGGGGCAGGCGGAGGGCTATATGAGGGGTCGCGAGGCACATAAAAGAAGCTCACTTATTCTCCATCCCTGCATCTCGCTCACACCATAGTGATACTTGTCATTTGCGCCCTGTTCCGTCACCTTGTCCGTGGCTGCAGCAGACGAAAACGGTCTTAGTGTTCGACGCACGTGTCCTAGCTCAAGCATGATGCATGCATACACGGTATAGAGAGGGTTTGACCCTGCAGCACAATACTGGTAAATTGGACGCTCCACAGGCGAAGCAAAATCAATCACGCACCATCTTGATTCGAATAATGTCCCGGGAAGGAGGCGTGCGTCCGTCGTGGGTCGTGGGTCAAGCGCGGACGATTGTTGCGAAGAAAAGTAGGCTATACGGGTAGGCAGAAACGTGTGGAGGCAGAGGTCGTGTGGGGTCTCGAGTCAGGGATCTGTTGACGGATGTTTGCGGAGCAAATTCTCTGCAGCGTTCGCAGGTGGTGAGTCCCCAATATGGCAATCTGCCCTAATCCTGACCCCGCAGCCCGGCCGCTCTGCCCCGGGATCTGCAAGATGTGATCATTCCACCAGGACCGCATCAACCCTCCCAACCCATGTATTGTCGGTCAACACATCACAGACGTACACACACAGAGATCACAGCACAGACTTCAGAGTACGGATACAGCGACGAAAGCAAGCGAATCGTGTTACACGGCGAAGATACTAATAAGATTAAGGAACCTACGCACGCTTGTTCTGCATCCCCAGTCCATCCTCGCCGGCCAACTCAACCCTTGCGTTTCGACGCGGACTTGGGCTCCTTGGTCGAAGAGGAACCCTTGCCCGACAATGCGCGTGGCACACTCATCTCGCGTTGCGACGGCGGGCCAGGCGTACGCGCCCGCGGCGGTGGAGGGCGTCCACGAGCGGGCCGCTCATCCTCTTCTTCGCGGCGAGGCGTTTCGGCCCGAGCTTTCCCCTTCCCCTTCCCCTTCGCGGCAGACGTCTGTCCTGACGCAGCAGCAGAAGTTGAAGCGCTTGCGCCGCGTCTCCGCGCCAGCGACGACAAAGGCTCGTCATCGCTGTCAACATCATTGTTGTTCTGGGATGGGGTGGGCGGCAACGGTCTATCGTTGTCGTCTAGCTTGAACGAGACACGGCGGCCTCGGGACCGGCTGCGTTGTCCCGGCGGCACGGATGCCGGACGGAGAATCGGCGACGAATTGGGAGAAGACGACGAAGGGATCGGCGAGGACGGCGGGAGCGTACTATTCGAGAAGCGGGGGTCATACGAGTATGGGTACGGGTGCGGATGATGTGTGGGCGTAGAATATGTCGATGATCGAGAAGGACCAGCCTCGGAAGAGGATGATGTGGCCAGAAAGTGTGATGGGACGGTGTTGTGACGACGATGGCTGGGGGTGTAGGGCGGCCATGGCACTGGCGGGAAGGGAAGACCTGGAGGGTAACCAGGGCCCGATGGGGGCGGCGGAGGTTGAAAGGCTCCCGAAGCCATAAGATACGACAGACTGTGCCATGCCTGAGCCATAGCGTATTGTGCCTGTGCGTCTTGGAGGACAGGAAACGGAGTGTGTCGTTCATCCCGGTCAGAAAGATAACGACTGTTGCTCGCAGACGAACCGGAGTCATCATGTCGTGGGGTGTACAGAGGGAATACAGGTGGGTATATCGGGCGAGACGACGGCCCTTGTGGGACGACCTGGCTTCTTGTGCGGGAGTGACTACGGCCCGAACCCTTGGCAGGCTCTTTTTCTGTACGATCGTCTTCAGCACCGAGATGTAGTTTGACAGGCGTCGCAACATACCGTCTTCATCGTCTGTTTGAAGGGGCGACGACGTCGTTGGAGGAACATCAGATGAATAGCCAGACCTAACACTACCCCGCGCAATGGGCTGCTTTCTGGTAGCGCTTGGCGCAGCTGGAGGGGGTTCTGGGGAGACAGCCTTCGCAGGCGAGCCGTCTGACAACGACGACAGGGAAGAGACCCTCTGGCGCTTCCTACCTCTGGATGGTGGTGGAGGTTGAGGGGAACTCGACCCATCTGTCGGCTCTCTCGTCGGGGCTCGGGGCTGTGATTGAGAGCGTGCAGGTTTCGGGACTCTCGATGGGCTTCCCGGTCGAGCGGGCTCGGCTACTGCAGTTTCCTTCTCCTTGCCTTTAGCGCTCTTGCGTTTGACAGCAGCCATACTAGCAGAAGACGCTGGCTCTGGTGAGGGCTGCCGAACAAAAGGCGTTCGTCCCTTTAACCGTCTAGGTACGGTTGTGATAACGACCTCGGGCTTTAGACGTGGAAGTTTCTTTGCCTTCTTGGGAGGGCCGACAGGGAAGGTATACTGCGAGGCCGTGCGCTCACCGAGATCAAGGGACGGAAGCCTCTCATGTACATTATCATCGTCCTCGCTGGGAGGACGTAGACGCGGCGTGTACCGCGGGCGGGGCTTAGGGAGTTTGGGACTAGGCGTGTCAGCCCGAGATGCTGGAGATTCGTCTTGTTGCGAGATCGGGACACTGTCAGCGGTAGAGGAAGAAGAGCGTGGTGGTGTGAGCAACTGCAGCACCTGTTCAGGAGAAGAAGGTCGCTCGGGATTTTGGGCGCGCTTTCCCGTAGACTGCGGGAGTGGCCTTGGTTTAGAACGCGCCCGAGAAGGCTCGCGTTTTTGTGTCCTAGAAGCCCGAGGCTGTGGCCGTTCACGATCACGAGGAGCTGGCGCAGGGGAGGGCGAGCGTGATACGGTCAAATCGATGATGTCGTCCGGAGGAGGAACAGAACGGCGCGGAGGAAGAGGTGTGTCGTCGATGTCCCACGCTGCAAGTTCGTCTTCAGAAGAATCGTCGTCGGCAGGTTTGATGGGTTTCGACTTGCGACGCTGTAGTTGGCGTTTCGCACTGGGGGAACAGCCTCCATGCTCCCGTCCTAAAGCAGCATTGTCCGTCTCCTGTTCATCTACTTGCTCAGGGTGGTCGCTGAGATCATGCTCTTCCTCCTCTAATCCAGTCACGGCGATCTCCTCCTCCTCCTCCTCTTCGTTGTCGTCGTCTCCAAACAGTTCCCTGCGCTTCTTTTCTGCCTCCTCAAATTCCCTGAATGCTTCGGCATCCTCGGGGTTGGTCTCGTCCGCGGGTGGCACATACCAGGTCTTATAGTACTCCAGTTTCACCGGCACGGCCGGGGGTGAGATGAGGTCCAGTTCATCGGCAGATTCCTCCTCTCCGTCCCCTTCCGCATCCCCAGTAGCCTCGGTTTCTGCATCCTCGCTCCTGGTATCTTCGGGATCCGCTTCTGGAAGAAGGAGAGAGCCGATGCTATAGCTGGTAGCAGCAGAGCGGGTGATCCCACGATCTTTAATGATCTTGAGCTCCCGAAGGTCGACGATGTCGTCTTCATCCAAGGGCTTGTTGTAGCGCCCTGCAAGCTGGTCCCAGAACTGGAAGAGACGGCTACTTGATTCCAAACGCAAATCGCTCCAGCCAGAAGACGAAGAAGGTGGTCGAACAGAACTTGAACTAGATGGCGTGGATGAGAGTCTAGGTCGCTTGGAAGGCGGAGGCTTGTCCTTGGGCTGCCAAACTCGAGAGACAGGGGGAGAAGCAGACGGCGTGATCAGCGGCGGTCGGTAAGGCGGCGGTTTCTCCGCTGGGCGGGCGGGAATGCCGTCCATAGCGTCGGAAGGAAGCTGGAGGCAGCAGCCACCGTGGTTGACGTTGACTTCGAGAAAGGCAATCGCTTTGTCGCCTTCTAACACGCACGTGACCACTACCCGTCAATCAACGCGTCGCCCCGCGTCCGGGGCTTTTCTCTAAACCACTTTCATCCCATCCTACGCAATGTCCCAGCTCATGCACGAAGTACAACGGTCACAATGTAATGCCAAGCATCACCGCGATGGCCAACCAGCATGATTGCGTGTATGCTGTGGATCGTCAGGAAAGAACAGCAGCGTTCTTCACTGGCGAACATGTGATGGGTCTAGGCTTGCACGCAACGGACGGAAGACGGGGATGGACGGGCTACTTTGTGATAGAGGCGTGCGGTTCTCACACGAAGAGAACAACCAGTCCTGGTAAGCATGCCCCATACCGCGGTGATACGAAGTACTTCGGATGTGTTCATACGAAGTGGTCGCCCTACAAGTTAGAAGAGCTCGCACACCGGCACGATCCACAGAGCAACAGAAAAGACGCCAATCATCAACGCCGATTCTTTGGCGGATCCCTACCTTACCCTTGCTACCAGGGACTCGACTTCGTCCTCCGACGCCGGTAGGAGCTTATGGGCTTCCATTCCAGAGGTCTGCACAAGGATGTAGTGTGTCAAACTGGGATCCTCGCGACATACAGAAGGTCAGATCGTCTCAGCTAAGGCTCGAGACATACTTAATGTTCGTTCATCAGCGCACCTCCAGCAGCACTACTCCTGCCGTTGGGCACTCCGCCCAAGCAACCCAAAAGCCCAGTGGCACAATACTGGTCGTGTGACACCCAAATGTCCTCGGGGTTCAGGGTGTCTCGTCCAATGAGCACGCAAGGCGGAAGCGATCTCGTTACCGGCACACCTACACGAGGCTTCCGGCTGCGCAGCTTCACCGGCACACGACCACTACGCACACAGTCCGTTCCATTCTCAGTCAACGGGTAGCAATGCTCGACCCCTCATTGCGCCAAGCAGAACCCGACGGTCGTGTGACTGTTCGCGAAATCTGGTAATCAGCCAGTTTTTTCGCAAGGGTCGCTTACGAACAGAGCGAGGGAATGAGATCGGGAACCGACACTATCGATAGCGCGCGCTGCGTACGGTAGTTCCTTCCTGCCAGGGGTTGCGAAGCAGTAGCGGCGATTTGTGCCTCGTGTATCCCTTCCCACCCTCATTGTGTGTTCGGCGAGTGCGAGCGGACCTCGGTGAGCATCGCCCCTGCGGCACAAGAAGGGTAAGCCGCGAACATCGCCAGTAGTGGCCGTCCACAGTTTTGCTTGGCTAAAGCTTTGCGTGTTGCTTCAAAACTTCAATGAGCACTGATGCTGGAGACCAACTTGGTTTCTAAGAACCTCTGTATAGTCCAGCCCAAGAGGATCCCGCGTCGAATCCCGAATTCTTAATCCCTGCTGCAGTCAATGCTTCTGTCTGTCCTGCTGCTCAAACGAGGGAAGCGCTTACTTTACCTGCCCCCTACTCGCTTCTAAGTTCAGACGGAAGACCTCGTTGCGCGTGCCTGCACATGGCTGACACCTGCGAGCGCTAGACAGCTCGGAGATGAAAAAGGGAAGACGGGTAGTCGAAGGCAGATGACGTTGAGTACACGACAGTCCCGTAGCATTCCGAAGATGCTCGACTTGCCGCAGCCATACGCGCATCTGGTAGGGGCGCTGGACCTAGGAGCAGAAGCGACGCATGTCACAGAATACTCAGCGGGATCTAGAGCTCCATGAACGTGTTGCGCTAACCGAACGGCGATTCCTCAGCCGAGGCCCAGGAAATGAAACGGCTGCCACATCCTAGCCACCAAATTTCGTCCACACGTCCCACCCGGCCAAGTCGTGGATTGCGACATCCTCGCCCTTCTTCACGGGAGCGCTGTGGAGATGGCAACCAGTGCAGGGCGCATTCTGCAGGATCCAGAACAGCTCAGTCGCACGTTCGTGGAGATCTTGACTACTCACCGACGTGCACACTCACCTAGCATTGTGGACAGCGTAACCGTACGCGAGGGAGCATCGTACATCCTGACCAGCATCAAGGCGGACCACTAGCATCATGTATCCTTGCAGAGCAAGAGCTATGACGACCATATGACGGAGGTGCTCTCGCGTCCGATAGTGTAAAAAAAATGCCTGGAAAGCATAAGAAGTGCGGCGACGTAACAATTAAGCATGATCTCCGTGCTTACCCAGTCTTCGTCTCATCCGCTTGTGCAGCGTGCGAAATGATATGCTGCAAACTAACATCGGTTTGTTACCTCAGGCACTCCGATGGGCATTATCCAGCACGACCATGGATGATCTACGGCACAAAGAGCACGCTACCCATGCATCTCCGAGTGAGCCCACGGAGGGCGCACACACTCAATGTATAGGATCCATTTTCAAGGTCGACGATCCGACGAACGTTCGAACGTTCGTTCCCATCTCAAGTCCCAGCCACTGCGGGCCCCTCATTCCGAGATATCGCGAATGGAACGCTCCTTATTTCCCGACAGGCACGCGGATGCTCCAGCTCTGCAGAAGCCCATCTTCGACGCCCGCGCATCACCTGCTGCGTCGTGCGCGTATGGCGGGCATCGTGTGGAGTCAGAAGAGCCTGTCGCGATGCTCCGTGAAGGCTTGCATGTGATGATCTGTAAGCCCTGAACTAGGTGCTGTAGTCGTCCATGGAAGGTTCATGATTTGCATTTGCGCTGCGAACAGGAATGCTGCGTGCTCCGCAATAGTCTTGTCTCGGTCTTTCAAGTTTCTTGGCCTGATTTGGAGCTATGGTCGATTCTTCTCCCTCGCCACTCTTGCAGTGAGAGTCCCAGCAATAGAGAGCGACGCAACCCTGACGGACGGTTCAAGAAGTTGTCACGCATCACTACCCTTTCTCGAGAGGAAACAAAGGACGTACACCATGTCACACGAGCGGCCATCCGTAGTATGATAGCAGGTTTGTACGTAAGGCACCTGCGTAAGGTAAGCAAAATCTTCAGGAAGCCATTGCGGAGCAATTAGGAGACAAGCCACATTCCTTCTAGACCGAGGAAGTCAGAGGTTTCTGCCAAAAAGTCCTATTGCTCGTCAGCCTCCGAGGTCGGCTCAGATTCCCGTATGCCGTATAAGGTACGAAACTAGATTATGGCGTACTGAGTTGACAAAGTTAGCTTAGATAGGCTGTGAGAAAGAGTTCCATAGAAAGCAATTGTGTGGCTGAGTGCCGGCCACGTGGCCACAAGCTGCCGCGCACTCGGTCAGCATGCTCGCAAACATCGCCTCGATGCACTCGACTTGCCGAACTGCGACCTGCTGCAAGATTTGGTGAACGCATGCTACGAAGCTATTGTTGCAAGCAACCCCAGGACCTTCATAGACCCAGGAAGCGTTCATCTGGTTTGGTGACAGGACGTCGCGATGCGATCCTCGACCTGTCATACTGATACAGTCCGACGGTTTCGTCTGCAAGTGAAGTGACCCCGCTACATGCGGAAAAAGCACGACAACTTCGTCATGTAAAGGTCTCGGCGTTTGACTGAAACTCGTGAGTACCTGGACAATCTAGCTCAGTCATAGGACGCTCTGACCACCGGTGTTCTCGAATGCTCAAGAACCGCTTTCGCTATCACTCTTCGTCTCTCCAGCGGCACTTTGCTTGCTTTTCCATTCTTCTGACGGGAAGTCAGCTCTAAGGGAGGCATCCGCCGTCCAAAAAACGGAAGCGATGATGGCACGGTCGTGGAAAAAGTCTCGAGCTCAAACCGCCGCGGTATCTCGTGCAATAGATGTTCGATTGCAAAATAGGTCTATTGACCACCACGTCACCTGAAAGCGCTTGTTGAGCTCTCATGAATCGGAGCAGCAGCGATTGCGCGATCTGAATTGGTACAGAGCGGCCTTCTGACGACTAGCGCTGGGCGCATAACTAACCCTTCAAGATGTGGCTTATCGCGCACCTCTCTTGGGACGTCCGCAGTTCTGCCGAAAGCAACCGCGCAACCGCTGAGTCGCGACTGGGCTTCCTCCAGGACACGGGGTGTTAGCTCGGAGCAGCTCGTCTGATCTCAACCTTGCGCACATCATCAAATATACCAGATTCGCGCTCCCTCCCTAGAAAGTATATAATGTCAAAGGCCCAGGTCGACTCTCTCTCACCTCACCCAGAGTTCTCAGCCCAGCACAGGGATTTTCTTCAGCACCTTCTCGCCAAGCCTCGACATGCCTTCCGCTTCCTCTTCTACTTCCATCTCCCGGCCAACCGCCCCTCGACCTATCCCCAAGGTCAGTCCTACATGACATCATCACTGGTCCAGAATCCCCGTCGACTCACGTTTACTTTCCTCTTCCTCACAGCGTGCAGTGAATACATGGCCGGGCACTACCGCGTCCCGCAATCATTTCGAAGACTTCCTTCGAGAGATCGGTGCATGTACTGAATCGACGCACTTGTGCTGCATTCCTAAAGGTGATCCTTGTCGCTACGGTCACAAAGGGCTTCACTGATTGGCCGAAAAACTCTGATCACGGATATAGTTGCCACGACGCATCCTCATGTCCACACGAGCCAGAGATCTACATCCAATGTCCGATCCAAAGCTAGATCATCTCCTTCCCGGGTGAGTTTGATCTCAGATTGAGTGTGATGCCGCGCGGTTCGACTTATCGGCCCCGTCTAGACCACACACAGTCGCGTACATCTTAGGGACGCGTCGATCGAGGAGTCCCCCGCCCTCACCCGAACAAAGCCCCTGCCAGCGGAGGGGAGGGGACGATCCTTGTCCTCTGCCAGAGTCTCTGGAACGCTCACAAGTGGTCTTCCCATTTCCCCCAAAAGCCCAGCTCTATCTTCCATCAATCTCGAGAACCACGCTGCGACGGCGGCCTACGACTACTTCCCGTCCGCACACGACCACCTCATTACCGTCATAGGGCATCCGAACCTTGAAGGGCGCGCTTCCCGTGCGCTTACCCGAGCCTCGCCCAAGCCGCCACAGAGCACGAGCCGCTCACCTGACCCGCAAGGGATGTCTCGACCCTCGTCGTCCTCTCCTTCATCTTCCCGTTCCAGGGAGTTGGAGCCGCACTCACGTACAAGGTCTGCTGGGCGCTCATTGAGCCGTACCCCTTCTATCGACTCTCTGGACACGGCATCGTCCTCTGAGGCACCTGCAACCCCTAAAACGCAGTCCATGCTCGTGCACGACCTTCCGCCCGTGAGCACTTCCCCGCTCGAGGAGCTCGAACGCTCCTCGCGCTTCCGCGTCCAGTGCGTTTGCATGACCTGCAAGCGTGCTGGCTCGAACTTTCCCCATTGCGGGAAGTGCGGTGACATGTGGTGCTCGCGGGAGTGCAGGACTGGCGCCGCAGGCACTCACGTTTGTCACGGACGCATTGTCAGGGCGGCACAGGACTCGCGGGTACTGCAGGCGCACCCTGCAACGTTTGTCGTGGTTTAACAACTCTTTACATACAGAGGGGTCATTCGCATTGACATTGCCTTGGTGACAGGCTCTCTAGGGCTACAGCCGGTGTGCTGAAATATGATCACTGCCATCTCTATAGCTGCATTACTATATCATGTACACAATTGTACGTCTTCATTGCACTGCACGAACTATGACATGCTTCCGCCTTCACGAGTCGAATGCTACGCTTAACCCTACCTCCCCATAACGCGGTGTCGACGCTCAGGACGTCGTACCGTAACGTAAAAGTGCTTTGAAGAGGGTTCAGCGGTCAAGTAGTCTATTTATGCTCGACTAAAGCTTTGTCATATGACCCCAAAGTCAGTAGTTGAACAGCCCAGATTCGTTTGGCTGGAAGGACGATGTCTATACTTGTACCGAGAGTATCAGCCTGCTTCGGCCCCCCGTCACTGGGAATTCAAAGCGCATGATTGCTCTCACGTCTGTCTTCAATTATTGGTCGTGTGCCGCTTTCTGAGGCCTGTCCAATGAACGCCGATGGTTTGAGAGGTCCCGAGGTTTGTCGGCTAGAAGCCAAGTCTTTACGTTTGAACTTTGATAAGTCGAAGATAGCGAGATCAGAGACCGTTGGAGAAGCGTTGGGAGATAGCTGGAGCGTGGGGCCACGGACACAGGCGACCGTAAAGCCTTTATTTGATTAGTCGTCGTGCAAGCAGACGTAGGCACGGGAATTGCTTGGGGAGGTTCCCACTTGCTGTGGCCAAAATATGCCGGCGGTAAGTAGAAGAGCCACGCATTTCGATCGGACCCGAAGAGTGGAACGTTGCCGTCGCGAAAGCAGCCAAGAGTCCGATCACTGGAGGGAGCACAGGCGCCCGGAGGAAAACACAGGCACAGTGTTGGCGCCCGGAAACTCTTTCTTGGTCGTGTGACACCCTCGGTCTCCATATATCGCCAACGCCTCCGCTCTGTAGAACCTGCAAACACCCTCCTCGTCCACCATGTCCACCGTTATCTGCGAGCCACCACAAACCGCCTTCTCGACCTCAGCCTACAAAAAACAGCGCCGCCGCTTGCATCTGGTACGTCCATACCAACACTGCTAGCCCCCTTCCAGCGTGCTCACCCTTCTCTGCCTGACTTGCAGTCGTTTGGTTCGACAAGCGAAAGCAGCAGCAAGAGCACCCTCCTGTCCATTGTCACCCCCGAATATCCTCCGATTCCCTCGCGGAACGGCGATTCCATGGCGTCGACACCAGGGGTGAGAGCGCACGCCCACCCTTCTTCCACTCGCGTAAATACGGCCGGTACACCAGACGTCATACACCATGACCGCCCCCGACAACATAACGTCGGCGAGAGGACCGAAGTTCCATTCCCTCTGCGTGCCTCGGGGCATACCCGTACCCAATCTACGTCCGCCGTCGGCGAGCCCAGCGCGGTCCTGGGCTCTTCGTCGGCACGGCACAGTCGGGCCCGCGCCGCGTCCTCTGCAACCATTGGCTTTTGGCCCCGCTCCCGTGCCCGCCTCCCTTCTATACTCACTTCGGTGTTGACCCAAAGCAAAGCTCCTGTGCAACCTCGCGAGTCCGCGAACGACCCGGAGCTTGTAGGCTCCTTCACCCCAACGAGCAGTCCACGCCCGCGCCTGCGTAGTCTTCTCGCTGGAGCCCCACCAGCAGAGTTCTCTGGTGCGCCGACGCCGTCACGCTTTGTGCCCTCGCAACCTACACCACAGCCTCGTTCCTTATCTACGCCGCGCTCCCACAGTTTGGCGCATCGTCCCCGCCGCCGTTCGGACGCGCCACTGTCCAGTCTGTCTATGCACCGGCGGGCTGTCGAGGCGAGTCCGATCGACCCGCCCGCCTCGCCCGATCTCCCATCCATCTGCCGTACGCCTTCTTCTTATTCTGGTTCTGAATACTTCCCCACCGCGCCCTCATCGGCCGGCCCTCCCACTCCCGTTCACGCCGTCACGACGCTCCCTGTCAGGGAGAGTCGTAAGTCTGAGTCGTCGTTGCACCCGGTTCTCGAGAATCTGGAGAATACTTCAATGTTCCGTGTACAGACCGCTTGCTCGACATGCGGCAAGCGGGGCTCCAACTTCCCGTGCTGCCCCAAGTGCGGGGAGATGTGGTGTTCACGGCCTTGCCGACTGCAAAATGGGAACGGGAAGAGGCACATCTGCGCGAAGAACGGCGCGTAACCTCCTGGCATGTGGTGCCTCGTCACCGCTTGCCTAGCTTTTCTTGTCGTTTCCTAACACATGCTCTCATCTCCACCTATCTTCATCGTAGTCCCGGCTGCTTCACGTACTGATTGTGATCTGCTCCGTCACCGTTTCTTTGGTACTTCTCTGTGTATATGACCAGTTTTTCTTGTCCCTGCTCTGCGCCTCGGGAATTAGCTCTGTTGTTGCTTTTCTCAATTTCCACTCATGCTGCTCAATATTGTCTGCTAGATGCTTGCGTAGAGATTCCGGTCCGCTGCACTGTATCTGTATCATAGGCAAGTATATAGTCTGTTCCTACTTCCCATGGACTGCGACGATCTCTTCTCATGACTGTCACGAATATATCATGTTCTAGCGTCGATACATGCCGTGTTGATGAATGGACGGCAACGCTCCGCACATCCGACAGGTGTTCTGCCCGTACGCTAGTAAAGTCAAAGGTGAGTTGCCGCAAGCGGCTCGACATCGGCCCGCGAGTAGAACATACACCCGCTGTGTATCGAATGCTCTACGAGAAGGTAATCTTCTTCCCCTGTGCGGGCCTGATACCAGGATTCAACTTCTCTTTCAGCCTCTTCTTGGCTTCCCAAGACGGATGCAAAGGTGTTTCGCCTTGCGCACCCTTCCCACTGCGCCCGCCCCCAGCCCCTGCATTCTTTGTCTCCGGCCCCGAGCTCCCGACATGTCTAGAGGCGCCAAGTGTCTGTCCCGGACCTCGCGTCACACCGTCAGCATTTGTCTTCCCGTAGCCTGCGTCGCGGCCCTGACGAGGTGCTCCCCCAGCAGCCTGGAACTTCCTCGCGCCGCGCTCGGCCGGACCTCCATAGGGCCTGCCTTTTTGTTGTTGTGGTCGGGGAGCACGGGCTTGCGCCTCGTGTTGTTTCTTGACGTGGTTCGCGTTCCTGCCGTACTTCTTCTCCCAGATGCTACAGAAATAGCCAACATCAGATAACATGGTCACCCAGGAGGCAGAGCAGCCGAGGACAAAAACGTAAAACGCGTGTGGTAGATATGGGGAGACAAGGTTTGCAAAGTTAGATTGAATGCATGAAAGGCGCGATACGTACGCTCTCCGGGCACGCTGACCGCGCCGGTTCTTCCGGGGCGCGTCGGCGCCGGCTGCTTCGCCCTCGCTGAAGTCTGATGCGTCTGAGTCTCCGCGGGTGAACCCGACAGAGAGGGAGGGGAGGAACGTAGATGCTGCGCCGGGTTTCGAATTGCCCTTCACGTCCGTAGCCGAAGGTTTTGCTTTCTTGGCTGGAGGCGCGTCGGATTCTACCTCAGAGTCGCCGAACGATTCGCTCTCGCCATCGTCATCGTCATCTGAAGAGTTAGCGACGGCGATGTCACCATCATCGTCGATAGAGCCGGATTCCCAATCCACGCCGGCGCCGTCATCGCCTCCATCAATCGTGCCGGACTCCCAGGCTGCATCGTCGGCGTCGACCTGGCTCCCGCTCTCCGCATCCTCGTCCTCCTCGTCTTCGTCATCGCTCGCCTCCTCAGCCTTCACTTTCCCCCCTTGCTTAGGTTGTCCTGAGATTTCCTCTTCTGCAGCTTCACTCTCCTCGTCGCTCTCCTCCGCGCCCGTCCGGTCCTTCTTCACAGACTCCGGGTTCAGCACCTCCCTCAAAGTGTTCACAACCGTATGCACGGCATCTGCTAGGATCTTCGAGCTTAGCAGCCGCGCGTGGACCTTTGCCGCGGATGACCCAGGCTCCTGTGGGGCTACAAGGTCCTCCGAAAGCTTGTCCTCCACGGCGCGCTTGACGTCTTCGTTCTTAGACAGCAGCCCGTCCTTGAGTATCTTGGTCCTCAGAGCGGTATTGCCAAATTGTTCGTGATCGGCATGCTGAAATTCTTACCATGAGAAAACGGGAGAGGCTGGGGAAGAGGACATGCGTACCTTCAGCACTTGTAGCTGCTTCTCCATCTCAGCTGGGTCGTCACTTTTGACGTTGACCTTGGCACTTTGGGAACTAGTGCATAGCGCGTAACGTGAATTCCAGTGTAAAACCTTGGTGCAATGACAGCAATCCAACGAGAACTCACCGTGCAGCCTTCAGCCGCTTCACCAGCTTGCGAACCTCGAACGCCTCCGCCTTCTTTGCGGCTTTGCGCGCTTCGTGTATCCCATGATGCTTAACAAACAGACTTGCTGCGTCAAGCTCTACACACACTGTACACTCGCTTGTCGAAGCTCACTCACCAATTTCTTCGCGATGACCTCCGCTTGAGATTCCTGCTTGACTGCAAGCTGTCGGATAGAGGGTCGCTTCCTCTTCTCTCCGCGTTTTCCAGATGCATCACAGGGCACTGAAGGCGCCATTGTACTAGACAGCAAGTGAGATGAGTGGAAGCCAAGCCGGGAGGATGGATTCAGGGCCAAGCTGCACGCCAATGTCATGGACAACTTTCCTCGGCGTCTCCGTTCCCTTTCTGGGCGCATCGGGCCGGCCTGACTCGGGCCTACGGTGCTAACAATGACATCACCGGCGCAACACAACTTCACGGATTCGCTGAAGTTGTTTTTCCTAGGGCAGCAAGCATGACCTCTGCGCATTCTCGAGAAGATAATTCTGCAACAACAACCGCCGTGAGGTGAGTGATCTTGTCAAACACTGCTAGCGATTTCCCGGAAATGTCACTAGTACTGCTACAGCTGTGACGCACATGCACCGTGTCTCGAACTCGATTAGTTGCCCCACGGTGTGTCTTACCAAGGGTGTATGACAACGTCTTCTCTCCACCCCGAATATCGGTCAACATATATGCGGCGTAGGGGCTTGGCAGACATTGAACAGGACACAGCTGAGCAGACGACGACCTGTCCTTGGATCCGAGATCGGGATGGTATGCTAGCCGTCATGAGCTTGGTCGAAACGCCGAGGTCGCTTCGACTGCAAGTAGGAAGATTTCTTCCTTATTCAACAATACTGTACCACTCTCCTGTCACTTTCTCACTATGATATCGCTTTTTCACTCATGATGCTACCACATCACTTGACCACTAAAGTATCGCTTCGTCAGCTTTGCTGCGATAAACAACGCTCTATTGCGGTATCTCCAGTTCACCTTCATCCTCCCAGGCTTCAACGTGAGGTGTCCGCCCCAATCATAACAGCAGAGGTGCGTGCATCATGAACGTTCGAGTCAATGTCATAAGCAGATCAGTAACACCTTCTCCTCCTCATACAGAACGACACGGCTACATCGAAGGGCGAGGTGGCTGCTTCGAATCCAGACGTGGCCGAAGCTGGACGTGGTCGCTATTAACACGAAGCTGGACATCGCTCACCGTCTGGCCGTCGAGGGCTACGTGGGCCAGATGAAGGTAAGTACGTCGTCACCGTTCACCATCCGCCAGCCCCCCCCCTCATCACTCCTCTTCGTCGCCGCAGAGAACCAACGGAGTCCTCAGACACCACACCCAGCTCGTAGAAGTGCCGTTCCCGGACGGCACGTTCCCGTGGGGCCAGAGCGTTCCCGGCCCGCAGGTACGTGCCGCTTCCCAGCCCATTCGTCCCATCGCAATGGCTAACGCGCTGTTACGTCCCCGACAGGCCGGGGAACTCGTCGAGCTCAAGCCCCTCTCTTCGTTTGACGCAGCGCACGCCCTCAGTGCGGAGGAGCCCTACGCATACGTCCGCAGATATTACCCGGGCACAGATGTCCCTGCAGAGGTCGCAGAAGCGAAGCAGTTGGTTCTGAACGCCATTAGGCGGCCTCGCATTTTGCTTTGACGTGTTGCTAGCGCGTTGCACGGACCTGGACTTGCGCTAGTCAAGCGACATAACTCTCCGCAGACACTCGAGCATGTATAAGGTTAGCCGGTTGTACGCGTCCACACAGACCTGTTCACCCGCTCCGGACCGATGTCTAGTACGATAATGCACGCCTTGCGACGTATACGACGGGCATTACAGTACAATTACGCGCATAAATCGTGCCCACGACGCCTTCCGCCGAACGAGAAGCTACAGCACAGGAAGGCAGCAGTAAGGTACAACAATGGTGACATAAGTATACGGAAAGGTAGTGAGCCCGACGGCGGGCAATAAGAGGACCGCCCAGTGCCGCCAGCAAGTCGAGTAAGGTAAGGAGCGGAAGATAGAGGCGGCGCGGAGGCAACCCCGCCAGACCTGCAAGACGGGAGAGTCGACCGGGGTTGGGCCTCGAAGACGATAGAAGATTTGCGAAGAAGGCTCCCCGTGGATGGTCGGGAGCGTAGCTACTAATACAGCAGAGAATGGCTGTCGTGAAGTGCGCGGGAGAATTCAAGCTGGAAGCGTGGTGTATGGAGTGTAGCGTACTTGAAGGAGGCTGCTGTTTGCAAAGATCTCTCGAGGACCACGAGAAGGGGTACCGGAAAATTGCGCAGGCTACCTATACCCCCTAACGACGATGACGGGGGAAAAAGGAGGAGAGTACGCTCGAAAACACGGTATCGTCGCGTAACTGAGGGTAAAATGCCAGAAAGCTATACTAAACTACTAAACTGCAGAGCGACAGCGACAACGATAGACAAGCAAACGTACAAGTCTCGTGGAGTGCATGACGACGTAACCTTGAAACCCACAATGAAAACCCGGCGATGAGAAAGCGGCGAATCGCGTCTACGTAACGCGAGTCTCGGGCGCGCCCACCAGCCCTCCGACAATCGACGCGCTGAGCACGAAAGCTATGATCGCGCTCCTCACCACGATCTCCCACTGCCCCCTCGTGACAATCGGGTTCAGCACCGGGGTGAGCGGCGACGCGAACGCCGGCACCTGCAGCATGCGCCTCACCCGCTTCCGCCACGACTCCTTGCTGTGCGCCTTCGGCTTCGAGGGAAAGGAGCCGAACGACTTCTCCGACGCCAGTGCTTCCGGTGCTGTGGGGAAAGCGAGAGACGGCGGGCTGAGCGTAGACGTGGGGGACGTGGGGGATGTGGGCCCGGATAGTGATCCTCGTACTTCCGTGGGGCGCTCAGAGCCGTGCACGCTCACGCCCTCGGGTCCGGTCACGGTCGATGTCGAGTCTCCGGCACCGAGGAAGTACATCGCGACGTTACGTGGGCCACACTTCGACTGTAGGTACCCCAGGAATCTGTACACGAGCCCTACAGCCGCCTCAGGCCTGGCGGGCGCGGCTGAGGCGGATGGACGGGGAGAGGCGTTGAAGCCAGAGGCGAAGTGGACTCCGCGGGATGGCTTTTCCAGATTGACGGCGGGAGTATGCGTAACTAAGGCCGGGGTTGCGAATGTTGGAGTCGCGGCCGATGGGAGTGGAGAGACAGCTGAGTCCGAACGGCTGTGTCGAGACGAGCGCTTGGGAAGACCGTCGAAGTCGAAAGCGTCGATTCGTTGGTGCTCAGCCGCACAGTCAGCTTGAGACTCGAGGTCATGAGAGCATATTGAACTAAGCGACAGTGAATCAGCAAACGACATTCAACCTGCATGACGAGCAGACGTACTCCTCCAGCTGATCCCACCGGAAGGGATGGATGAACGTCGCGCCCGATCCGACGTCCTCGTCGCTGCTCTCTCCCCATACTGAGCTACGCCGACGCTCTTGAGCATCAGCCGTAGCAGGTCCCTCCGGGCACGGCTCCTCATCGAATATAGCATCCGAAATGTGGATCTCGGGCTCACGCCGCCGTCTCCGCCGAGCTCGCGGACGTTTTCCGTTATTACTTGCCGCTGTGGCGTCCGTCGCTGCGGCTCGAGCATCGTGGGACGCCTCGGAGCTCGCGTCGGCCTCCGATCCAGTTTCGCAGTCGGATTCGTATTCTGAGTCGGAGTCGCTGTAGTCGCTTTCTAGGTGGCAGAGGAACTCGTTCGTGCCGAGGTGTTCTCGTGAAATGTCAGCCTTTGGTGAATGCGAGGTGGAGGCAAACGCTATTGGCGACATCTTCGTCTGCGAGGCCTCGGCTCGAGACGACGTCTGGACGTGCGTGAACGTGTGGGCGGGCGGAGGCGCCACCACTCGAAGCTTGGGTGGTGCGGGACGTGACAACGGTGAGACGGAAACATCAGTGGCAGGGGAACGAGGAGGCGTAGCAGAATCTGAGAACACGGACTGCCTGAATAGTGGGGGTGGGGGACCGGTAAGCGGTCGAATGCTACTCCCCTTGCTGTCAGCGCCGTACTCAGGCGCCGGGTGGCTTGAGGACAACTTCCCGACGTGAATGAGCTTCTTCTCCTTCGCTGATGATGAAGAACCTGGTCCTTCAGTCTCGGACACACGAGCGAGTTCGAACGAACGAAGCTGTCGCAGGTCACCGAAGACGTAGATCATCATGCAGACCTAAACGCGTTCGTGAGCGTCACGCCCAGGATGCTTCCAGGCATACGGAGAAGAACGTACACCGTACATGGCGGAGATGACGATGGTCATGCCGAGCCAGAGACCAGGGAGGGCAGAGAAACGCCACCATCGCGAGCCGCCGGTGAGAAAGTTGGCGAGGAGGATGGGCGCGCTGTGAAGGGGGAGAGTCAGAGTCAGTGAAGCGAGCAAGTGGGGACGATCCCAGATGGTTCGAATTGAATTCAGCCGGTGTCAGAGAGAGGTAGCGCCCGGACCTGGCCCGCGTTCTGACCACACGGCCCCGGAGGCCGGGCGACATGCGGGTCAGAAGCAGCGGGAGAGAACCACCCAAACGCCAAGCGAGGCATGTTCCCTGCCGTACGCGGCCCACTCCCCCGCGGTAAGCACGCCCAATAAAAGGCCCGAAGACGGCGGAGAAGGCGGGTTGCGTAATGGCTCTTCTCACACCGAGCGGCCGAAGAAAAGCTACGAACCTTCCTGTGAGACCGATGACTGTGCCCCCCGCGCAGCCGCAATACGCCCGAGGCATGCCGACGTTGTGGAACGTCGCCAGCACGAACCGGTCCAGGCTCTCAGACAGCATCGCCGTCACGCGCTCCTCCAGCTCCTCGAATATCTCCGGGTACGGCGGCGGGGGCGGCTGTCCCGGGACGGTCAGCAGCGGATCCGGGCCCTGTATCGAAAAGTTTGACGGCCGCCGATAGCTGAGCTCGAGATCGAGCGAGGAGCTGAACGAAGCGAGAAGGTCGGCGTGCACGGGGAGGGCGTAGGGCGCGTAGGGCGTAAGGAACGTCTCTTTGGCACGCATATAGAACTGTGCGAGCGCGGGATTGGGAGGTGGGGGAAGGGTGACCGAGCGGTACGTCGGTGCTCCGGGGCTCGACGAACATCGAATAGGCGAACTCGGCTTTGACTGTCGCCTCCACGCGGTGTAGCGCGACTTGTACTCTCGTAGCCAGAGTATGAAGTAACTGCCGGACGGTTAGACGCGTCCGGGGGAGGGTGAACGCGTTACGTACAGACATTCCGGCATGCGGTCGATGAAAAGCAGCCATTCCTCAAAGTCCTTCAGCCCAAGCGGCGGGAGATGCTTGCGGTCAAGGATCTCCTGGAGCGGTATGCGAAAATGCGGGGTGATGCCCCATGTCGAAGATGTCTTCTTCGGTTGCGGAGGTGGGGGATGAGTTAGACGGTGGGGAAGAGCGAGAAGGGCGTGCGGGCTGAGCTTAATGGTCTTCGGGGCGGGCGGGGAACTGGAGGAGCGGGAGGAGGAGGGGGGCTGGGGCCGGGAAGACATGGAGGGTGGGGGACATACGGAAGGGAGGGAGGAGGACAGCACCCAAAAGCCTGGAGGGAGAAGAGGGCCGGCCGACCAGTAAATATGGGGCTCCTTCCATGCGACGCCACGTGCGGAGGAGGCCCTCTGCAACCGCCGGTTCGCTGCATGTCGTCGCACGTCAAGTCGCGGAATGACGGGCCTCCCATATGATCTCCCCGCTGTCTTCCTGGAAGAACCGGCTGGCCACCCTGTTCGAATCCATGACGAGCGTAGTTTAATGGTCGCGGTACGTGCTAAACATTTCTCGCGCGTCTCGGTGGGAAATCTCTCATGCCTCGATCGGGCTCTCCGCCCACGCTGATCTCCGCGCTTTACACTCTGTCGTAAGAAATGCCGCGGAGACATCTTGACTCTGCTATCGTCGCGACGAGGAGGAGTGGCGGTCTGCTGTGCGGCAGACGGTGCAGTGAGTGCCAGATGGACACCATCCATGCCTGTGGGATTGGGCTTTGACCGCTGATCCTCCGTGGCCATCAACTAGAACACCGCCAAAGCTCGATGTATGTCCGATGAAGGGAAGCCAGGGAGTCTGTTGGAATTTGCAAACAAGCTATCCCCGCACAATGTATTCACAATAGTGTACTAGTCCTTGTCCAATACCGCCTTATCACAGGTGGGGGCACTTCCATGTCTAGGATCAGTAGCACCAGGTGAAATTCGAGGTAAGCTGCCCTGAATCATCTGTGGTCTAGCGCGTGCGAGCATGAGTCTGTTATCTGTCTTTTACGCTTAGAGTAGACTCATGAGTATTGAATTTGAGTTCATCAAGTGACGTCGTGCGCTGGGGGCCTGGCGGTCAGTATAAATGTGTCCCAGGCCGGAGCCGTCCGGACCGAGGAGAACAAGCTCACAATAGAGAGGGCGTCTATTTGGATCGATGGCCACGTGCCGAGACTGATTTTGCGCGTCGACCGTTTTGCGCGGGTGTTATGACGCGCCTCGCGGTTGTCCTCGGCCTCTCTCACCCACCACCTCGCATCGCAGCCCTTCCTCCCGACCCATCCGGCCACAGCCCAATCACTCGCGACGGCGCGCGTATATTGCGGCGGACACGATCTCCCGGTGCGTACGTAGCCCCGCGTTCTAGTGGCGGGACCATCCAAACATTCCATCTCACGCACGAAAAGTGCCGCACACGTCGACATGGAACCCCCGGAAAACGACAACCCGTTCTTCCCGCCCAAGAGCGGCCGCTGCATCGTCAACGAGCTGCCCTCCGAGCTCCTCTCGCACATCTTCACGCTCGGGTGGGCCCCCGAGCGCGACGACGAGCCGGACGAGGACGACTTCGAGGACGTGGACGACGGCGAGTCGGACGACGGCTCGTTCTCGACCGCGTCGTCCTTCTCCGACGACGGCCCCCGCCCGCTGCGCCACGGGCGGGAAGACGCGGAGGACAGGGAGCGCAAGCTGCCGTTCAACGTCCTCGTCTCGCACGTGTGCGCACGCTGGCGCGCCATCGCGTTGAAAAACTCCCTCCTCTGGACCCACATACGCTTCGAGGGCCCGCCTCCCTGGGAGCGCGCGCTGATATACCTCGATCGCGCGAGCACCGCTCCGCTCTCCATCATCATCGACCGCACGGTTGAAGAGGAGGACGACCATTCGGAGTCGGAGTACAGTGATGACGGAGATAGACCCAAACCCGAGGACGACGACCCCGACCTGTCCATAATCACGGAGATCATGGACATCGTCGTGGCGCATGTCGACCACATACAGGCCCTCCAAATCATGGTTTCCTTCTACCCACATATGCACCGCGCCCTCGTCAAGCTCGGCGCGACCGCTGGTGCGCCATTGCTAGAGGTCTTGCAGCTCTACCACTACGAGGACACGGACGAGCACGAAAAGTTCAAGCTACAGGAGCTCCGCGAACAGCCCTTCGTGCTCTTCAATGGAAACGCACCGCGATTAACGCACGTCGCGCTCTGGGGCGTGCATCTCAACTGGTCAAAAGAGGGCTCGCCGTTCCTCACCGGGCTAACGGACCTCGAGTTCGCGTACCACGCGCGCGACGTCCGCCCGAGCTACGCCGACTTCACGCGAATACTACGCTCGTCCCGGGACCTGCGCACGCTGACCCTCTGCATGTCGTGCCCAGCAGGCGTGCCTGCGGACTGGCGCGAGGAGCGGGAGCCAGAGGACGCCATGGACGTCGACACGTCCGCGCCGCTCGTCCTCTCCAGGCTAGAAGACCTCGTGCTCGCGTACCTCGAACCGCCCTACGTCCTCGCGCTCCTCACCCGCCTGTACCTCCCCGCGCTCACCTCCCTCGCGCTCGACCTCGAGGATGACGACTTCTCCGACTTCCTCGCCTACCTCGCCTCCCCGCGCTCGCTCCCCCAGCCGCCCCCGCCCCCGCTCTCCCTGTGCGGCCCCGGCGTCGCCGGCTCCGCGAGCCCCCGCGCGCGCTCGCTCCTCTCGAACATCACCTCGCTCAAGATCGCGTCCCTCCGCTGCAACGAGGCCGTCGTGCTCGAGGCGTACAAGCAGCTCGACAAGGTCGCCTCGCTCAACCTCAACATGCTCTACCTCGACGAGTGCTGGCTCGAGCTCCTCCTGCCCTCGCCGACGCCGTCGACGTCCGCGAACACGAACCAGAACGAGCTGTACCTGCCGCGCCTGGAGGCGCTGACGACGACGGGCGTCGACGGCGCGCGCCTGCGCGAGCTCGTCGAGCTCCGCGCGGCGCGGGGCGCGCCGATCCGCACGGTGCTCATGAACCAGGACGACGACCTGGACGAGGAGGACGAGGCGTGGCTGGCGAAGCACCTGGACCGGTTCGAGCTGTTCGAGGGCTCGGACGAGGAGGAGGAGGAGGAGGTCGAGCTCGTGGACCCGTTTGACGACGACGGGGACGAGTGGGAGGACGCGGACGAGGATGAGGACGATTTCGAGGACGACTTCGGGGACGCGCCGATGCTGATCTTGCCGTTCTGAAGGCTTGTCCGTGTATGGCTTGGATGATGGACCGCGTTGCAGAGGGAGCCGGCTGGCATCTAGACGAGACTGTGCACGAGAAGGACATGCGAGATGTAAGCAGTAGTACAACACATTAACGGATTCATGAGTAGACTAATACATGTACATTGCTGAACGAGCGACGATGGTTTCGTAACTACACTGCGACTCAGTCTCCTCCGAGCCAACTACATATCATAGTCCATGGACATCAAGGAAAATCATTACGGGTACAAACGTGCAACTCGTGAAAAGCACGGCGAGCAACGAAGACACAGAACAAACGGCAAGCACTCCGTACAATCTCCAGCAGCAGCGCGCAATCATCATGAGATCTGGTCCTTGCCAGCCGGAGCCGGAGCTAGCGACGGTTGCACGAGAGGGACTTCCGCAAGGCCGAACACGACGTCCGGCACCCCAGCCTCCTCCTCGCCCTCCTCGCCCCACCCGTCGAGACCGCGCGCCTTGCCCTTCTCGCCCGGGGAGAGCTGGTGCAGCTCCGCGTCCACAGACGGGGGCACGTACGCCGACCGGTGCGGGTTCGGCATCGCGACCATGACCGCGACGCGCACCTCCGCCGCGCGCTGGACAGGATCCTGCTGCTCCAGCGGTATCGCCGGTGTCCCCAACACGCCCTCGGCGTCGTTGCCGCTGCTCGCGTTTGCGCTTGATGCGGGCGTGGCGGGGGACGGGTTTGGACGCGCGCCCGTCCTGTTCCGGCTGAGGCGGTTGCGTGGGAGGACGTACGCCGCGCCTTCAAAAAGGGCACGGATGCGAGGCTGGCGACCTGCTGGGGGATTCTGGGAGGACGCGATGTCCGTCTCGGCGGGGGTGTCTTTGGTTTCTGGCTTTTCGGAGGTGACGCTGCCGGAGAAGGGCTACGGGTTCGCACGCGCGAGAACGTGGGCAGAGGTCTTTGCCGTCACCATCCGCTCCTGCAGCATATATGAGGACGAGCAGGCCGGGGAGGGACTCACCATGATCTTTTCCCAGCTCCCGTCCTGCGGACTGGACGACGAGAAGTACGGGGGGAGCACGCTGACGTCGAACAGCGTTGGCCGCTGCAGCTTGCGGCGGTACGCGCGACCGAAGCCGCCTGAGCCGTCGTCGCTCGGAGAGAGCAGAACCCCTGCGGCGATAGCCTCTTCTAGGCGGCGGCGGAAGCGGCGACGGAGGAAGATGCCGCGCATGATGATGGCGGAGGAGATGGCGAGGAGGAGGAAGAGGGTCGCGAGGAACGTAAATCTAGCTCACCCGATGAGTCCATTCAGTCATCCCGCGTGCGTCCGCGTCGGTAGGCGATGGTGAGTCCAGGTCAGTTACGTGGGGTGGGCATTGAGTTTGGCAGGGTGTTCGATATGGATTAGCATCGTCGTGCGGAGTAGACGCACGGTACGGCCGGAAAGAAGTTACAAACCGTCAGCACAAGTCCGACGTATTATAACACAACACAGGGATGGAGCGGTAGTGCCGAGGTGGGGGATGCCGCGGACGTAGGCGTGCGCGGGATACGAGTGCATACAGCTGTGATCCATAACTCTCTCCCGTCGCGTAGTGATCCTGCACTCCTATTCACCCACGCATCCCCTCGGGCTATGCACTCTCATCTATGCAGAAGATAAATAGACGTACAGGTATAGCGAGGACGACGGGGGACCCATTCCCCCGCTGCTCTGAGTGCTGGTGCTCGAGCTAGCCGCATCGCCAGTCGTATGTGTGGCGAAGAACGGGGAAGATGTCGAATTTGATGCGGTTGGCACCAGGGTAGAACTAGAGGCTCCAGACCCGTCAGAGGATGTGGTAGTCAAGCTTGTCGTGGGAGACGTGGACGAGGAGGGGCTCGTCGAATGCGAGTTTCGGCTCGACGAACTCGACGAGGTAGCGGACATGGCAGACGAGGGAGAGACGATTGAGGTAGGAAACGTTTGGACAGCCGAAGATGGTTCTGGCACCGGGGAGCGCCGTATTGACTGCGTGAGTCCGCCGGAGCAGTCGCCCTCTCTGTTCCCCGGGCCGCACGCACACTACGTTACTGATGAATGCGGCTGACACCCTGCGTCGTCGGTCGACACAATAACGTCTCAACCGTTCCTCGTTCTGCTTCAAGTCTGCCGCGTTGGATTGTTACATGACCTCCGTTACAAGTATTCACAGTGCCGACCGCCTCGTCTATGTCAATTGCACCAACAATCACCAGCGTAACAGAATCTCCATTCGTATCACGCCAACTGGACATCCGCCGGTCGCGCCCCGGCCCTGCGCCCCATATAGCTGGTTTAGCCTCCGTTTCGGCGCACACAGCGCTACAATTCTCCAAGGACGACGCATGTATGCATGGACCACAATAGCACACATCGCCCAGGAAACTACCGTTCTAGCGCTTACAGACAGTGTTCTGAAGCCTCTCTCCCCCGGCGCTCGTTTCCCCCCTCCAGATCTTTTCACGATTCGTTCCATCAATTTTGCCTTCCTGTTTTGGTCTACTCCTTCCTGAGGCTTGCGGAGCGCAGCGACACATCGAGTGCCGGGGCAGAGAGGCCTGAAGAACGTCTGGAGCCGAGACTATTCCGAGGCGGATGCACGAATGCAACGACCGGAGGACCCAGATATGCAGTCCCCACATCCGTACGCACGTACTTATCGCGCGAACACGACCCTACCCGCGCACGCCGCATGCGCATGTGCGCATGTGCGACCGTGCCTGCGCTCTCCGATCGCGCGTTCATTAACCCAGAGGCGAGCACAGACCTCAGGCCTAGCACTGAGCACGAGAGAGTGCAGGTAGATGCCCCTCCCCCCGTCAGAACGTCTTCGCCGCGACTCAGCGATCGAATGTTCAACGCACGCTAGCGCAGATGTGGGACCAGCACCGGCCCAGCAGTAGACCGGTACGCCTCGTTGTCTGCGAGCCGTTCGCGTTATGCTTCCCGCGATGCGTACTTATACTTAGTCTTGGAGGGACGTGGTGGTCACCGGTCACGCGCATCAGATACACATACGTACGTACCCAGGCCTAGGGTCTCGGGGAGGCTTTGGAGGAAGAAGCAGAAGCGAGGCTAAACTTGAACCAATACTCGCAGCGTGCTCAAACGCGTCGGGCACTCGCGGAAACCTCGCGGCGAGGAACGTGCGCATGCGCGAGCGTGTCTGCAAAAAACGCTTCTTGACTTCTTTCATTTCATTACTATCCACAGAGTTCGACGGTAAGAGGGTAAGTAGGTAATTAGGGCTCGACGGCGAGAGGGGGCCGTAAGCGGACGGCGGAGAGAGCGACGGGGAAGGGCTGCCAAGATCACCAAGGATGTACACGGGAACGACAAGAGGGCACTAGTGGGAGGTGGAGGAGGTAGAGGAAGGGGAGGGATCGTGATAGCGCATGGACGCAAAAGCGGGGGAGCAACCACAATCAGAGCCCAGAGGGGGGAAAGCAAGACGCGCGAATGGCGGGGGAGAACGCGGACGCAGACGAGCGAGAGACAGATGTCCGAGTGGAGAGCGCAACGGAGGCCGCGGCCGACGTAGGACTAGGCGTAGACGGGACGCGGACATGTCATGGAGGATCATACCCAAAGTCATAAATGGCGTGCTGTCCGAGACGACCGCGGAGAGGAGGGAGCGTCTGCCGCAGAAGGGGAAGCGAGGGGGGCTCAGCGTGCTCTGAAAGCGTGAATCTTGCGTGTCATATACACGAAACGGGGTATATATCCGTGCAGGTGCGTATCACGCCCGGCTATGACATGGACGCGGGCGCGGGCGCGGGTGTCGCGGAGAGGAGTGCGGGCGCGGGCGAGGGGCACGGTTCGGACTCGGACTCGGACGCGTCGAGCCCGAGGAAAGCCGGGTGCGCGTACAGCGAGCCATACACGTTCGTGTGGATCGACACCAGCTTCGCCGCGCGTTCCGCCAAGTGCCTGATCTCCGGCATGAGCGGCTCGAGTCCGCTCGACGAGCTCTGCGCGTCGTTTTCGCTGGGCTCGTCGGGCTCTGATGATGCCGGCGACGAGGAGGGCGGCGAGAGGACGATGTCGAGCACGGCCTCCTCGACGCACTCCCGTATCCGCTTCTTCATGAGCGTGCTGAGCGGCGACCCCGCACGGAGGTTGCTCTCCGCCCAGCTGTTCGCCAAGCTCAGCACGGACGCGTCGGGCGCGCGCAGCGCCTCCGCGCTTCTCGCCGGAGGCTCGCCCCCCAGATTTTGTTGCAGCGGCCGCGGCTCCGTCGCGCGCATCGTCACCTGGAGCACGACGTCGCCGATGTCCGCACGCCACTTCTTCAGCTCCGCCTCTCGATCGCGCTCGCCACGCTCGTGTTTGCTCGACGAGGACGAAGACGAACCGCGGGAGCTGCTGCTGCTGGAGCTCGGCCGCGGGCGGTTTTGCATGTAGCACAGACCGAGGTGGGACGGGCCGATCTCCCAGATCTCCTTCTTGAGCCTGAGCAGCTCGTCGTTCGTCACCTGCGCGCGCGCGCCACCGCGCGACTGTCGGTGCGCGTGCGAGTGCACGAGCTGGCGGTAGAGCATGAGCAGCATGTAGAGCGCGGTGAAGTCGGCCGCATCTGTGCTCAGCGTCGCGAGGCGGCCGTAGTCGAGAAAGAACGTCTCGGGGTAGCCTGCGAACTGTGATGACGAGCTCGAGCTGCTGTGTGAGCGGGAAGACGCGATCGGGGGCGACGAGAGCGTGGGCGTCGACACTGCTGAGGGAGCCGGCGTTGATGCCGCCGCCGACGAGGATGGGGACGAGGGGGACGGGGCGGACGACAGAGGCGAGGGGACGGCAGGCGGGTCGAAGATCAGGTTGACCACGGCTTTCACGACCGCGATCGTGACGCGAGTCTGGCGGGAATGCCTCAAGAACCTCTGCGAGTGCAGCGAAGAGCCCTCCGCGGCCGCCCGATACGCCGACTTGAGCCACGCGCGCGTGAGGCCCAGCGACGTCGTCTGTCGGTTCTGCCGCGTCTCCCGGAACGTCCTGATCTCGTACTGGGCGGCGGTCCGGACCAGGTACGGACGCAGCGTCTGCAGCTGATGGTTGGCCACGTCCTATTGCCGCACGCGGATTCCCGGATCGCGCGAGCGACGGCATTCGCAGAACGCACGCACGGAGTCAAAGAGCAAGCAGAGAACACGAACACACACGCACATCAGACACGCTCAAGATCAGGCACCGCAGAGAATCAGCACTCACCAGCTTCATCAGCTCCATGATCTCGAAGCACAGCCGGATCGCGCGCACCGCGTCCAGCTTCGTCCCGCTCCCCCCAGGGGCGCAACTGCGCGCGAGGGCGACCATTTGGTCGACGGCGGCGTCGCGCATGGGCGCACAATGGCAGCGGATGATGTCCCCGATCGCCTGAAAGACGCCGGAGGGATCGAACAGCCCGTGGTCGATTTCCTGCTGGATCAGGTCAGGGTCGAGAAGCTGCCGCAGAAGCGCGACGTGCGCGACGTTCTGCTGGAACTGCGGGTGCTGTGGGGGCGGTGGGAAGAGGAGCCCCGGCGGCCGCGTGCTGGGAGGCTGGGGAGGCTGGATGATGGAGATGAGGACCTCGAGCAGCTCGTTCAACAGCGGCCGAATGCGCGAAGGCGTGCGGACGGTCATCATGTTGCCCTGGGAGAAGGCGAGGAGGGGGCGGTCGATGGGCATCGAGAGGATGCCGCACGCACAGCGTCGCTCGGTGAGTCGACCGTTGGCATCGAGAGTGGTGCAGGTGCACCCGCACTCGAGCTCGCGGACGATGGCGAGCCAGTAGTTGTCTGCGAGATCGCGCTTGCGGCGACTCGACGTCGGCCGGAACTGCAGTCCAGAATCGAACAGCAAGTCATGGCCTACAAAGACAAACGTACATTGGTGTGAATGGGATGCTAGCTACGGGAGAAAGGAAGAGGAAGGGGTACTGACGGAGCTGAGGATTGCGGAGGATGGCTTCGAGGTCGAGTTCCTTCAATGTCTCTCTGTTTATGGGAGGTTGGTGAGGGGGTATATGGGGAGAGATGGTTATCGGCTCGACGGGAGAGGCGGGAACGGAACGCGAACTGGAAGACACAGAAGGAAGACTAGCGGTGCGCAAGAGAGACCCTCTACTTGGACCAGGCTCGGTCGCGGAGACGATGCCCGTGTCGCGGGTTTCTCCTGCGCGACGATGGCGACCGAGGTGATGACGTGAAGACGGACCACGCAAACGGCGCGAACGTGGGGATCCTGGTGGTGTGCAAGGAATGTCTATGCGGAGGCGTTTGGGAGACGCTTGACCTTCGCGGTTCCGTTGTGGGTTGAACGCGGAAGGGGCACAAGAGGGAGAAGGCGGGTGTGGCCAAGAAGGAGCCATACCTTGGGTGGAACGGGCTATGTGCCACGGGGAGGTGGAGGGCCCGGGGGTGGCAGCGTCTGCAGGACACCTGGGGGTGGCCTGGGGGTCGATGAGCATGGCGTCGGGGGTGGGGGGAGGGTCAGAGGGAGAAGGGGGGCCATTATGGTCGTCTTGGTCGGCCTTGCGCTTGCGACTGAGGGAGTGGATAGGACGGGACTCGTGGGCAAGGTCGTCCATGGGAGGGCGGACGGGGGAGGAGATACGGGAGGAAGGAGGATATGGCGGACCATATTTAGGGAGGCGAGAAGGAACGCGTGGTAGCAGCCCGCTTGGGCGACACGCTGCCATAACGCCTGAGTCTGAGGCCTGAGCACCCCGTCCTCCCCGCCCCTTTGTCGCTCACGAAATACCCACTTCCATTCTCCGAGAGGGACACGACACGCACATGCATGTCGTCCGTTGCCAGCGCAGGCCCAGCAGGCTCACAATAGGCCCAGGGTGAATAACCAGCGTTGTTTCCCGTCTGAGACCAAGCGGCCGCGAGATCTGGATCGTAGCCGCGGCTGCACGCCCGCCGGCGCGTGCTAAGTACTTACGGGCCATGTCCATATCCGGAAGGCCTCGCAGTCTGGCCAGAAACCGAGATCAAAAGGGATTGTCCCACATGGACCCACCCGGTGGTCTGCGCAGAGAGGTCTTGCCCACCGCGCAGTGGTCGTACCCCCACCACATCCATGTTCATGTCCCCGAATCCGACAGTTTAGGCTCCTCGCGCGGCCGCTGCTTCACACGCCTCTGCCGCACGATGACCACGTTGAGACGAGGACTATCATTCGCTTTCTGCGCGGCCCAGCTCGGTGTCTCCGCAAATACGTAACATGCAATCAGATCTACGCCGGAATTTCCTCCTCCACGCCTCGCCCCCTGCAACACCGTCCCTCCTTTCGCCGCCAGTCCGCCGCCAGATCCTTCGCTTGCCCGCCGCCCCCACCGTGCGCCGCTGCGGCCGAGTTCAACGACAAAGGGTCCACTCATCGCCTGCCGCGCTTCGTCCACGCGATCGTCTCTGGCTTGCCAATCTTTCATTTCAGATAGCCATCGCAACACGAGGCTCTCGCCATCACCATATACAGCCCTCCATCCCGTTCGACCTTGTTCTCCCGGTCCGGCCTGTCTCACCGCTGCCGGCCATGCCATCGGACTCCGCCACCAGACCGCCCGGACCCCACCCTAGTGCACCCGCAATCTGAGAGGCCAGCGTCCCAGATGGCTCGCTGACTGTGGCTGCAGGCGACCGACTACCATTCCAGGCGAGCGCTAGCCCTCCCATCCCAGACGCAACATCGGCGTCACGACCCGATGCATTCTACACGACGCCATCCCCTTCAAGATGGCTCCTCACAGATCCGCCCGCACGGTGGGGAATGCGTTGATGCTCATGCTTACATTTATCTCACGGCGGTGGCTGTCTCTCATCTCGACGTTCCTGCTACGCAGAAATGATATGATGCGGCCCCTCAGGCTCGTCTACAATAACAGTGGGCCTGTTCCGAGGCGACGGGTGGTTGTCAAACCCAAACAACACGTTTCTCCGCACCACCCACCCCGTCAGTTTGGACTCCGCGCCTCTATATATGCCGACGTCACGATGAAGTCGAGTCGGCGCATAGCCCGATATGTCAAGGCCATCCCAACTTCCTAGCTCGGCAGATCTCTGCAAAAATCCGCTCTTGTCGTGATCGTAAGATCACTACCAAACCAACACACTTGCGGGCACACAAGCTCCGGGCGTCTGACATGCGTTAAGAGCCCGAACCGACACCTTGTTGATCGCCCGTCAAGAATGCGATCTTGTTCAACATCGTCTATTCTGGTCTCAGAAGCCCGACAGTTGCCCGGCAGCGAGCCAGGAGGCCAAAGCACTGTCGATGGACCACAGAAGACACCGCAGCTGGCAGGATCCGGGCGGAACACCAGAATCGCGACGCGCTGGGCCCTCGTCGGACTTTGCTCGTCCCAAAACTCTGATTCCATCGCGCTATCCGAATCCAATCCCCCCGCTCAATCAGCTTCCCATCTCTGCTCCCCCCAGCGTTCTTCTGCAGCGTCCTTCCAGATCAAGTCTAACCCCCACACGCAGGTGTATGTCCTGCCCACCGGTCGTCGTCTCCCTCTCCCCTCCCGGCATGGCGTAGTCGCAGACTCGGCTGGCCCCTGCGGCTTCCCGTTCATTCTATATTGTTGCATCGTTGGTCGCGCCCCGTGCTCGTGCAGCAGTGCAGGCTACCCACCACGACGTCCCGCCCGGAGCTCGCAACTTCGCTGTTCATTCATCTATCTCCCTATCACGTCCGCGTTCGCCGCTCGCCCTGCGCACGGCCCTGCAGTACTAGTCTCGCTCGGATCCTGCTGCGAACCCGGACGCGCGCACGGCGACGGTGTCCGTTTCCAACCTTCGCAAGCGTCCACCTGCTGTATTCTGTATGCGTGAGCTCACACGCAGCACCAGTACCTGTCCCCCGCCCGCCCCATCTCCTGTGCTCGCGATATCGGGGACATCTTCCCCATCCGTCCGTTCCCAGAGCTAATAGATCGTTCCCCGTATTAGCGTCGTGCCCTGAACACCACACCATCATCAGATCCCGATGCTTCATATCGAGCAGTGCATACATTGTGCGATCCGGAACGCCAGCGATGCGATGGGAGCCCAAGATCCCAGCGCCCGACGCCAATCTGGCAGCCCTCGACCGCTCGCGTTCCCACTCAGGCGGCCGGGATAGGCAATCTGCGCGAACCGAGGTCACACGAACCACATACGCATCACCACATCATAACGTCCTCCTGTCTGTGCCAGGGGGTGCGGCATGACGGAATCCTGCGTGAAAGCCGCCAACCCGACAGTCGAATACGTCGACGTCGTCCCACCTCGTACATGCCTTCCCGCGGTGCCCGTCGTCCACATACATACACCTGTCAAAGTTCCATTTCCATTCCCAGTTACAGTTCCAGCAGACATCCGGCGGCAGCGCCGCGCTGTGGTCCTAGTGCACGGTACCGTGCACCGCGCCGTCCACCAGGATGTGATGTACGCGTTCGGGCGGATTCGCACAGCCCCGCTCGCCCGGCCGTCTTATGATGATGCTGCAAGCGGTATGTCGAACAAGACTCGTCGGCTCCCTGACACACCCCTGTTCTCCACCTGCTTATTCCGGGCGCACCTGACGGTGCTTTGTGAGAAGCCGGCGCTCCTGCTACGGCCGGGAGAATGCCCAAGCACCCCTCCACACACACGCTACGCCACGACAAGGCATGGTTTGCCACACTAGGGGTGCCATGGGGGTCAGCGAAGACGTCAAGCGGCCGAGTGGCGAGAGGCCCTAGACAAAGAGACAGACAGACATGGCAGGGGGCCAGGTCGAGCTCCAACGCGCGAGGCAGCAGCGTAGGTTAAAGCATCCGGGCGACGCTGAGTCAGACTGGGCTCTCGTGCGTGCAGCCTTAGGACGCTCTTCTCCACATCGCTGCCCGCTGCCGCCCGCTCTCCGGCCGCTGCAGCCTTCCCCAGCACCAGCAGGCCTTCTTCTATCGCGCCACGTCCCGGCCGCACGTCCCGCGCCGCAGAGAAGCCCAACTCCTTCTTCGTCCTGGATCCTGACGTGGCCGCCGCGTCCCTGCCCGAGCGATAGAGCCTGGGAGATAAAGGGGCCGGGTCGCCTTGGCCCGCGGTTGCCTTGTACGCGCTGAACCTCCTGAGGTGCTGCACCTCGCTCCCCACGCGTCCTTCCCCGCAGACCGCAGCCCGCCCGTGACGCTTTCATCTCGCAGGAAGGCGAGCGACGATCAGAGCGCACCGGCCTGCGCACCCGCCCCCCCGAGACGCGAGGCGGGCTCCCGCGGCGCGATTGGCCGCTTCCTGTACCTTCTTCTCCCAGTTAAATGAAAATGAAACGAGTCGCGGCCGGAGAGGAGTTCGAAGACGGGAAGATCGTGCCTCGTCAGGCGGACCACGGCCGCCCCCACGAATGTGGCAACCGGTGGACTGGACGGCCGTCCGCGTGCGCTAGCACGTCCCGGCACCATTTGTCGGGCTTTGAGATCTCGAGCTGAAGCTCGCGAGCGTGCTTCGATCGCCGACACGCGCAGCAGATCCACGCTGCGCCATGCGCGGCAGGAGCGGCGACGGCTCGGCGGTGCCCGCGAACGCGCACTGGACTTCTTTCGAGTCCTCGAGCCATCCGGCGCGACAGCTGGGACGAAGGCCGAAACTGTGGTATCTCGAACACCAGAGCCTAGAACGGTCCCGCGGCTCTCCTCGTACGCGTACGCTTCCCACGACGCGCTTCGTGTAGGGCCCTAGATAGGACCTGCACGATTGCACGATGCGCGAAGTTCTCTACGCACACGCGCCGGCGGAGGAGGCGCCGCGTTCTGGAAGGTGGGGATCGCGGATTCCCAGCAAGGTAGCGTGGCCAAGGCCGCACTGGGAAGCTTCGCGGTCCTTGCTCTGGCTGGTGGCTGGCTGTCAGGTTCTCCGACGGATTCCAGGCTCGCGCTGGGTCAAGGGCATCGTTGGCATTGAGCATGAGAAGCGATAGTGAACGCCACACATAGTTCCGCAGACCCGTTACTGGCCACGTCCCAGGATACGGCCTCACACCTGTTCTATGACACATAGGTGCCAGCCCGAGACTCCCGCGGGGTACGGAGACATGGATGGATAAACGTTGCCTGACGTGCTAGATGCACTGGCATGTGTGTATATGTGCATCATATGTGGGTAGCTAAAATTGTGGTATGTCTGGGCGAACAATCTCACAGTAGCGTGTAGAACGCACGTGAGAGGCGGGCTTCCTGAACATGAAGATGTCGAAGGCGCGGACATGAATCTCCTGCTTTGCGGATGATTTGAGAGGCTGAGGGAAACGTGGGCGTCCCGGTCCGATTAGCTCTTGTCTAGGTCAGGTGGCCGAATATGCTCGTCTTGGGCCGGGATGTGGGGTTCTTTCAGGATGTCATTGCACGTACAATGGATGTAAGCGGGTCGACGCTGCCAAATAACCGTCCGTCGACCATGCCAAGTAATAGTATGTTGGGTGGAGCTCCGAGGATTCCGATGCTTGCATGGCTCTCTCATCTTGTTCATCAGCATGAGTCAGTATGTCTACGGTAGTGTCTGTGGAAGTGCTGTGACTCACCTCTACATGCTTAGGCAATCCGTCATTTCTGGACCGACCGACAGAACTACCCAGGCGCAGCAACTTACGAGCGCGATCAGACTCAAGGCACACATGTTGAATGATCAAGCGCACGAGAAATCGCCGATGTCGTCAGACTTCGCCGCCAGGTGCACGTATAGAGGAACGCTAAGCCACGCTGTGCGAGAGTCAGTGCCACGCGCAGTAGCATGCACATACCACGCATACATATCGAGGCGAACACTCGTACGATCCGCAGAAAACCCGCAACCAACCTGGAGGGAGCTCTTTGAAGCTTCTCATCACGCACAATCTCCGTGGTCCGTCGGGAAGAGATCAAACAATCGACATCGTGCTGAAGGTGATATGTACAATTATTGTTGGCAAGAGCAATGTTCGTGTCATCGGCGCGTGCTTCTCCACCTCAGGCTCATGGACTTCGACGACGAACGCATGTATCTTCATGGCCCACCGGCGAGGGAACGCTGAAAATAGAGTCTTGCCATCGAACGCGAAGCTCATGCTTACGCGTCATCAACGAGCTTGTCCTGCGCAGGAGCCTTGACGTCCTCGGTGGCCTTGCGACTCTTGCGGGCGTAGAACTCAGATATGATCTTCGGGCTGATACGGTTGAGCTGCTCCTTAGGGAAGATGCGCAGCAACGACCACGCAAGGTCGAGTGAATCAAAGATGGACCTGCTCTCGTACGCGCCTGCCGAACACGAAGTACAATATGGAAAGATCGTCGTGTTTTTGTGAGAACGGAAACGTAGGAAGGTGAAGGAGTAGTGGTGGAAAGACGTACCCTGGCCGACGAACTGCTTTTCGAACTTGTCGAGGAACTCCAGCGCGAGCTTGTCCTCTGGTGATAGTGCCTCTTCACCAACAACTGCCTTCATTGCTGCAGCGTCACGTCCAATTGCGTACTTCGCGTACTACAAATGCATTGTTTCCACCCACGTGCCAAATACGTCAGTCAAGCTCCAATCAATTACTAACACACCGCCACCACAAGCCGGTAGCGAGGCGTGTACGGGTTAAGGGGTCGAAGAGAACCACGTACCAGCTGGTTGGAAACATCACCGTGGTCCTTGCGGGTCAATTTCTCACCGATGGCGCTCTTCATGAGACGCGACAGGGAGGGCAAGACATTGATCGGGGGGTATATTTGCCTGTTGTGCAACTGGCGGTCGACATAGATCTGGCCCTCCGTGATGTACCCGGTGAGATCGGGAATTGGGTGCGTGATGTCTGGTAGACGCAGGAGATAGCCATGAGTATAACAACGTGGCAGGCGGCAATGGATCGGTCAGAAGTCCAGAATCCGAATGTAGCGTGGTGGAACGGGTCAATGAACGGAGCGGTAGAAGGGAATTGAGGTAGTGACGCACCGTCATTAGGCATTGTCAGAATAGGGATCTGAGTGATCGAGCCATTACGACCCTCCACGCGACCTGCACGTTCGTAGATTGTGGACAAGTCGGTGTACATGTAACCAGGGTATCCACGACGACCAGGAACCTCCTCTCGTGCGGCAGATACCTACGTTGGGCGAAGGCACCAGGCCAAGATGATCAGATCGAGCCATCACATGGCCGTGTTTGAGAATACACGTACCTCACGGAGAGCGTCTGCGTACGATGACATGTCCGTGAGGATGACCAAAACGTGTTTCTCGAGCTGGTAAGCATAGTACTCGGCTGTTGTAAGGGCGAGACGCGGGGTGATGATACGCTCAATCGTGGGGTCGTTAGCGAGGTTGAAGAAGAGGGTGACACGGTCTAGACTGCCATTTTCCTGGAAGTCTTGCCTGAAGAAGCGCGCAGTTTCCATGTTCACACCCATAGCGGCAAATACTACTGAGAAGTTGTCTTCATGGCCATCGTGAACGTCTTTTGTCGGGCCCTTGACCAAGCCGGCCTGCCGTACAATTTGAGCAGCGATCTAGTTTTTCCAAGCCGATGAGCATGCCTCCTCCACGATGCACAGTGCGAACAGCAGCAAACCTCGTTGTGTGGCAGACCCGCAGCGGAGAAGATAGGAATCTTCTGTCCTCGCGCGATGGAGTTCATCACATCAATGGTGGAGATACCGGTCTGGATCATTTCCTCGGGGTATATACGAGAGTAGGGGTTGATGGGAGAGCCTTAAGGCACAGCGAGATTTAAGGGCGAGGACGTCAAGGTGGCGGGTGGAAGACGTACCATTAATGTCCAAGTAATCTTCTGCAAAAACCTTAGGGCCGTTGTCTATGGGCTGGCCTGAGCCGTTGAAGATACGTCCAAGCATGTCTTCCGCGACGGGTAGCTTCATGCTGCTGCCGGTGAACTCAACATGGGTGGCCCGCACATCGACGCCCGATGTGCCCTCGAAGACCTGGACGATCGCCTTCTTCCCCTGCACTTCAAGAACTTGACCGCCACGTTTCGTACCATCAGGCAGAGTCAGTTGTACAATCTCGTTGTATGAGGGGAACTGCCCTTCGATGTGAGTACCTAAAGTGGACGAAAGATTCACACTGGTAGATTCAAACGCACCTTGACATTGTCCAAGACGACTAACGGTCTGCGTAGATGTCATTTCTGCCCTCCTTGTGTAGACAGTCGCTGATACTCACCCGTTGACGGCAGAGACTGTCCGATAATCTACACGTCCCTAGCTCAGCACTTCTGCTCCGTCGCACCTGGGGCGGAGATCCTCACCAAGATGGGGCTTGACATTGTATTCACGCGTCACTGCCGCAGCGTTGATAGCAGCAAGTTCATGATCGCTTAGACGAGGGCTCGCAGGCATGTCGGAGGTCGTGAGTCGTGGACGTAAAGGAGAACACTCAAGCTGCTCAGAAACAGTGACGTCCGGCCCAGCGGCAGTTAGGACTCGACAAACGCCCAAGCGCGCACGGATACCGGTTCAGTCATTTTCCCACGCCTGCGAGTATGTAGCCCTCGGGCTCGGAGGCGGTCTCAGCAGCTAACTATGGTCATGATTCTGGAAGGTATGAATACAGAGCAACTTTTCCCTACGTATCATGCTAAGCGACTTCTTAAGCAGACATTAAACCAATACAGCGACCAACAGCTTCCTCCACCATCGTGGAGTTGGCGGATGACCTGTCGAATAGATAGAATGAAACGGAAAGCAGTATAGAGTGAAGAAACACCCACCATTCTGTCTCAAGAAGTATCTCTTCTACTTCATCCGTTTGGATCCCCGTCTCTTTGCTCGATAGCACGGTGTACAAGTACTCCGCGGTATCTGCTCTCACCTTCACCGTCTAATCAGCATTCCGTGCATCGCAATGCAATGGATGATGCTTACTCGTGGATATTGGTGTCCGAGGTAAGTCGAAAGCTGTGGTATACAATCTTTCTGTAGCTCAGGGATCGGGATGAGATTGATGAGACTGCGATTCGGTAGTCAGGGTTTGTTCCCAAGACGGTCTACTGTTCCGCTCACCATCTCATCGACACATTGATACGCTGGGGGTTCTTTAGCTTGGAGGCATTCTTGGTTACAAGCGACAGGAGTGAGCGTAGCCTGCGCGTGCCACAATTAAGCTGCTGCCGTCCTCCGAGTAGCTGGTCCACGTACGTCGTCAATCCTCTCGGGTCTTGCGGCAATCTCTCGAATACATCGGCTTCCAGGAGTACGTTGAGCGTTTGCAGCACTGGCACAACCACATTGTTTGAGCTGGCCTTCGTCAATGCTTGCCCCAGTAGATCCTGTGCAAGCCCTCGGAGATCATATCGGTCAGGCTCAGAAGCAGTTACAGGAATCTGCAGCGCCCAGGCGACCAATGCGGAGGTTACCGGCCGTTGCTACAAATAGTGTGTCAACATCCACCAGGGCAAGGTTTGCATAGGGAAGTCGATGACGACACAACGCACCGTGCTATCCGTTTTCGTGCTCGCGCTTAGCACTATCCCCGCCAGAACCTGATCACGGTACCGCTCTATATCCAGAAGCTGCACAGCCCGAGGGAATACCCAGCTGCCTACGTTCCATCCGACGGACTCCTGTTCGCTACGTCACGCCCATGAGTCTATTGTAGTATCCCAACAAAAATTCACGACATTGCGTACCTGAGGAACAACTCTTTCATCCTCACGTCTCCCCGGAGTTTCCAGGGTGCCGGATTTGGAACTGCGGGAGGAGGCAATAGCAGGAGTGTCAGGAAGTTCTCTCCTGCGATCTGCCTTACGTTGTCCAAGCGTTCCACCGCTTGCTTGAGGATTCCACCGACTGCGTCATGGTACTTCTCCGGGGGTAAGTAGCTTGCGAGGTCCGGCAGGGAACCTGCACGCGAGAATAGCGTTTGGACGAAAGAGGTAAGCCCCTTCACGCATGATATGCGGACCCATGAGCCGACATCGCCTCTCTCGTCGCTCGTGTAATCGGTCAGGCCATCCAGGAGTGCGTCCTCGAGTTCGTTCACAAGCTCCGGAGAGAGCTCTGTATATGGCTTAGTCGTTAGGAGGATGGCGCAATTGAGGATGCCGTACCCTCTTCCAGCTTCCCCGAAATGTTGTTGAGTATCAGGGGCATAGAGTCGAAGGCATTTCGCCGGGCCTCGACGTTCGTACTACCACTTCCGCTCTATTGCAATATCTCAGCGCCGAACCAAGCGAAAGATCACCGAAGAGGAAGCATTCTTCACCTTTCGGTCTACCATTCGCAACAAGCACCTCACAGCGTCCTGGACTCCATGTGGGAAAGTCGCGTAATCCAGTACGCCCAGGACCCTGGCCAAACTCTGTTGCATGGGCGGGATCTTCCCCTCAAACTCCCTGATCAGTCTGTTCACTACCGCCGAGCAGTCCACAAGCCGGCTGACGGCCGCGAGCGCAGAAGCCGCTGCTTCCTGCACCGCAGCGCTCTTGTTCTTCAGTCCGGAATCTACGACCTGACGCCAATGCGGTACTGTGGCCTGCGCGTGCTGCGTCTCGGCGAAGGAGATACCGGAGGCGATGAGATTACAGGCTGCGGCAGCGATGAGCTCTTGGCGGCTAGATTGAATTGTGGTTAGGGGTACTGTGGATAAGGCTGTGAAGATCTAGGGCGACCGGGCCATCATTGAGCGGTCCCGGATGTAAGTCAGGAGGAATGTACGGACCTTGCGACGCTCCGGCTCAAGCTGCTCATGTTGCGGAGAGTTACGGAAGGCCAATGCAAATTCTGTCAGCGCAAGCAACCCGCCATGGACATCGGCGTCGTCTGGAATCGTCAGCAGCTGAGCCTGCGGAGCGACCTTCAGCTGGGAATGCACAAGGTGGCCGGAATCCGTGTGGGACGTACAGCACGCTTTGCAGCCTCGGGACCTAGAGCTGCGAGGTCGAGTTCGCAGATGTATCGAAGGGATTGTGCACCGATCTCCCTCATCGCAGGGTCCCAGTGCCTCAGGGTTACATTAAGAAGATGGTCAATGAGACAGCCACGGTATTCTTCGTGCCTACAGGTCTTCAGCTACAGCTGTGATACAACGAGGTGATGCGACTCACTCGGCAACCTCAGGTGCAGCTACAGTGAACGCATTTCTGCGGACGCCTACGGCATAGAAGTCCGTTTTGCGTAATACATCGATTCCGTGGGGGAACAGGTTCTACTCTCCGATATCATCAATCGTTGCTAAGGTCCGCAGGACAATGAACACATACCGTGCGGCCAACGAATTCTTGGTACGCAGCACTAGCCGCCCTCCGAATAGGTATCTCTCGGTCAAAGCATGACACGGTGACCAAAATCCTTGCAAGCTCCAATGCATGAGGCCGCAGCCCATCCACGCCCTGCGCGCGTGCGAGCGACCAGAGCACATAGGAGGCCGCGTCGCGCACATTCGATCCGATCGAATGCGCACCTTTCCGAATATCGAATAGCAGCGCCTGCACACCGTCAGCGTAGGTACCACCGCGAAGGGCAAGAGGCAGGGAAGACCTTGTACAGCCACTGCACTAGCTCCGAGAGACGTTCGTCGGGGATCAGCGCGCGGCGTGTCATTTCGGCGCAGGCGAGGCAGGCTCCATGCCATGTTGCTTCTGCGATGCTGGGAAGGTCGTATATGCTGGCGATACCGGCGGAGTGGAGCGAAAACAGGTGGAGGACTTGATCTAACACTTGCTCCGCGAAATCGGTGGGAAGGCGTTCGGATACCCGTGCGACGCCTTTGGCCGCGGAGTATCGGACAACGGTGTCCTTGTCGCGGAGTGCCTTGAAGAGGTCTTCGAGCACTGACTCGATCTCTTCCGGTACGTCGAAATAGTCATCGTTCGCGACAGCTTCTGCTCCGAAACCGCCTTCCATCGCCAGTGCGCGCCCTTGACAAACCACGTTTCACATCAAGCCTGCGGATGTGATTGAGCGCCACACGCACCTTTAGCACGCAGCCGGCGTGTTCTTGCAGGGAGCAGGCGTATGACAACCCTTGCAATTAGCTTAATGCGAAGCTGACGGATGAGAGTGTTCCCCATGAGACTTGTGTTGCCTTGCAGCGTGGACGCAGCTTGCAGGAACTTCTCCTTGCATGTCTGCACCTGGTCAGTCGAACCTAGCTTTGCGACTTCACATAGGACGCGGAGTAGTCCAATCACCTGCAATGCACTGAGAAAACAGTAAGATCGGGTGAGGCAGCACGTAGACGTACAGGGAAGGGGTCCACGACGCTCCCAACGGTCTCGATCGACCACGACAGGAAGTCAGGGAACTTGGACGCAGTATCTTTCCTATGTGCGGTGAGAAAGCGCCTCATTTGAGAAGTACACTTGGTACCTCATGTAGAACTTGGAGAGCAGGAGTGCTGCAGCCTCACGATCGAGACCTGCCTTGGCCAGGAAAGACTTGCCTACGGCCTCTACCCTCACCGCGGTCTTACCTTCACTTCCGGCCTCGTCAAATTGCTCCAGGTCAAATGGTATCATGCAGACCAATGACAGCCACAGAAGTAGGATGTAACGAAAAGACCAGCTGTAGTTTTGGTCCACGATGTCTTCTGCATTAGTCATGCAGTCCAGAGCTATTGTGAGATCCGCTATCTCGTGCGGGAAGAACTTCGCTGACATGAGAATGAGTGAAATGCAGTCCTGTCAGACCGTGAAGACGCCTCACTGATTGTCTTGTATCCGCGAAACTTGACAAAAAGGTACGGCAGCCCGGAGAAAATTTGAAGCCTCAGGAAGGAAGCTGTCTTGACTTCTCCGCTCGCAAACCGCTTGGCGTGGGCTTTGAACTTCTCTACGACCGGGAGGACAAGAGATTCGAGGTATGGATCCCACAGGTAGGATTGTTCTTGGTAAGAATCGAACTGGCCAGATGTGAGTTCTCCCTGCTTTGGCTGCTATGAGAGACCAAGTCTACCAACAATCAAGTTAATTTTCTTGTAGACATTCCATTCTGCGCTTCCCTGCTCCTGGGAAGGCTCAGTGTAGATGTCCAGTGCCAGAATCTGGTCTCGGAGCGCAATGAACTCATCCTTGTTCTCGAACCTGGCGTAGGCCCTGAAGTCGGATCCGGGGTCTACTGTTGTGTCCATACGGGGGGCTACAATGCGCTCCGCGCCGTCAGGGGTATGACGTTGTGGCAACACCAGGAACTACTGTACATACTAGACGCCCATACATCACTTCTATGTAGAAGTCGGTCCTAATCAAGCAATCCCGCCCTCCGAGAACATCGAGACCGTTGAGTCCAGCGAGTCTGGCGGACTCCGCCGGACTCCGGGGATCACATGATCTGGCCAAGCAAGGCACTAGCTGATTGCCGCTAGATCCTCTGGCGCCTATTGCGAATTGCTCGTGCCAGCGCAAAGGTCGGCTTTACGGTGCATGTACTAAGTAGGTCTCGACTGAAGCTATCCTCCTGATGCAGGTCGAGAGCATAGAACCGAGCTAGAGAAAGATCAAGAATATAGGATAATACACCCCAGAACGCGAAGACGTTTTTATACTCGGATACAAAGAAGCCGCACCCCGGCTTTTTAGTACTTATAGTGTCGTGTCGTTTGCGGGACATATGAGACTTTGGCACGAACCCCGCCACTGGCGAATGTAAATCGGCTCAAAGAAACGGCTTCCGCCATTCTCGATTGGTAGTAGGTTATTGTACATTATATCTGTCTAGTGCGATTGGTGAGCCCTCATCCAGTCTACATCACAAAACAATATGCTTGTTACTTCAGGCCGTGTTTCCGACACCTGCTCAGCTGCCTTGGAGACAAAGGACTGGTCATGGGATACAACGTGCGCTGTGCTGTTGTCTTTTATAACCGCCTCCACCTTCGAAAGTGCCTCTGTCGTCAGGTAGTCGAGATGGTGAGTCGCCTCATCTAAGACAAGGAGGTGGGGAGATGATTCGAATGTCGCCAAAGCATACACGACTCGGACGCAAACCATCTGGCTCCCGCTAAGGGAGCGCAAGGGCTGGAGAGCATTGGCTCTGATCCTGTACTTGCCCAGGTGCGCACGACATGCTTGCTCCATGCACTCCAGATTCCTCTCCCTTATGAAGGAGAGAGCAGAGCAGAGATCTCAGCAGGGTACTGGTGGAGCTCGTTGACATGATACTGCGTGAAGTAGCCAATCTTTGCGGCAGGGTGTCAGGTGATCTTCCCTCTGGTGGGTGATAGCGCTCTATAGCTCTCCGATGAGGGCCTCTACGAACATCGTCTTCTCACTACGATTTGTCCTCATGCAAGGTGGTGTCAATGAATCAGCTGCGTCGCGAAAACCTCAATACCCCAGACTTGCGGGAGCGACCTTCAGGTAACCATGCATGGAAATCGAAGATATCATAAGAATAGACTTCTACGCTATGCGATATGATATAATATGTATGGACAGCCAATAGGCGGGGGGCGAGACGTAAATTACCGAGATGGAGTGATGGCACAGGTCTAGGTGTCTGGGCGCCAAGGGTGCTTCCCGAGAACGTCATGTGATCCCCGGAGTCCGCCAGACTCCGGCAGACTCGCCGGACTCAACAGTCTCGATATTTTGCGCCCTCCACAATACAGCCGGTTTCAGCTCGCTTGTCGTGAGAGCGCCGCGCCGCGTCTCGCGCATTTGCCTGTTTTCCCCTCCTAAGCGCCCCCAAAGGAACTTCGGACGACCATATCTCTTCGACAGCTCAATCTAAGCACTTCATTCTTGCGTATTCTGGCTCAGGATTACGACGCGCAGGGAACGGTACTGGTTTCAAGTTAGCAACTCGTCCAACGGGCGATTCACCTGCTTTCAGTCGATTTCATGCCGTCTCCTGCATCCATCGCACATATGTCCTTAACATCACATGGAGACACCTGGAGGGCTCACTGGAAGCCGTTGGCGGATGTCACGGAGGGCATATGGTGCAGAAGAGGTCCATGATGTACGTTTTCTCCATTCTGCGAAGGGTCTGGCGCATGCCTACTATACCACTCTGTCGTATATCATCAAACCCAACACATCTTTGCTACGAATCATGTCACATATGTCCACTGTAAGCCTACAAACCCATGTAATTGTGCTGGTTGCCAATTGTAGTGTTCTACAAGCTCTCCTTTGCAGCTCCAATCTACCCACCTCGTCTGTTCCTCCCTCCTACTCAACAGTGACTACATGGCCCCTAATGCCTTGCAAGACCACAGAGATTATGGAGGTGCAGATTACTCACAAAGTCATGGTGTCTGGTGCTCCCCGACGAGGACTTTGAGCTGGCCCAAGAGGGCTGCCACCCGAGCCCACCCTATGGTGGACGTGATTGTCGCTGGACACTCCGCCTTTTGACACAGAGCCCTCGGTAGCGTCTTGTCTTCACCATTCCGACAATTTACGGGAGAGTATGCCATACCATTCAGCCAACAACGCTGTCCGAGTCGAGTAGGGAGCTGGAAGAGCGGGAATGCCCAGAAGTTGGTGACGTCGAGTTGGCGCAATTTCAATACAATACCGTGCCCTGCGCGTCGTAATCCTGAGCCAGAATACGCAAGAATGAAGTGGTTACATTGAGCTGTCGAGGAGATATCGTCGTCCGAAGTTCCTTTGGGGGCGCTTAGGAGGGGAAAACAGGCAAATGCGCGAGACGCGGCGCGGCGCTCTCACGACAAGCGAGCTGAAACCGGCTGTAGCGCCAGAACGGCACCGCACCATGGGCGTTCCGTGATCGTCGACGCATATGTACACCCTGATCGACGTCGATCAAGTACATTCTTCTACACAACGCACGCAGAACCTTGGACGGTCCGCTGGTCGCCCGTCCGCCTCCCCCGGACATCCTCGAACACCCGTACCCTTCATGGACACCACGCACCCGTCGTCTCGCACATCTGGCGTTCCATCGTCGTCCGAACAGGTCGTGAAGCAGGATGACGTCCATAAGCGGCGCCGAAGATTCATCGGACCTATGCCAGCCACCGTACTGGAAGCAGAGCCACAGCGCCCACGAAGGCAAAAACACAAGCGTTCGTTGTTGAGGAGAGAACGCGGCGGCGAAGACAGTAGCTCCAGCTCGGACGATGACGACTCCAGCAGTCTGTCCGACGTCATCCGCAGACACGCACTCGAATTCTTCCTCCGACACGGCGGCGAGCGCGACAGCTGGGGCGAAAGCCAGCAGAAGAGCGTGCGGAAGGAGATGCGGAAGCGGTGGCAGCAGAGCGACTGGGGGCGAGCGCGCAGACAGCAGATGCAGGTGGGTAACTCGAAGAAGTGGATAGGCAGCTCCTTTGATATTGGCGTGTTCCTGGGCGTGGACATCATGGACGAGAGGCTCCCGTCCCCGCCTTCGCAAGCCGACGCGTCAGGTGCTTCGGCGTCCGCGCCCCCAGCCCCCGCATTTAGCATCTACCCAACTACGTCTGCAGCAGAAACGTTTGTGACGGCCCCGTCTCACACCGAGGATGGCCCCACCGGGTCACCCTCCTTGTCCCATAAAGCTTCCCACGAACGAGATTCGTCGAAAGTGAGCATGGATTCTACGGCGGCTCTGGTCCCGTCTTCCAGCTACCTGACCCCCGACACGTCTACTACTTACTTTGCCCAGGCGGAGCAGAGTAGTGGCTTGGCTGGACTCCCAGCACAGACACAAGCGAATAGGACCCCTCGCTCGCCCTCCATCCTTGCCCCCGACGTGGGCAAGGGAAAGGCGAAAGAGAAAGGGAAGGATGTGCACGTGCATTATGAAGAGATACCTGCGCCACCCTCTGAAGTCCTTGCGCGCACGGGGAGTGCTGTGAATGTGACAAGCGCAGGCGCTGTAGAACAGACTACCATCGAGGCGCGCACGAATTGGGGAAATATTATCATGCGGGGTAAGTGTCACATATTCACTGCTGGGTAATACATGGCTCATAGAGGGACTAGACCGCATGTTAGTCAGGGTATCTTATACGGAGCATAGCGTCCCAGCGACCTTCGACGAAAGACAAAACCGGGTCACGAGGCAACTCGAGAATGAAGGCTGGGTTGAATATATGGTGGCGTGGCGGAAAGATCGGCTAGAGTTATATACAGATCATGTAAGTGCAGCTCGCATAGCTCACCGTAACGTATTGACTTCGTACTGTAGCATACGTTCGGAAAGGCATGGTTCACTGACTCAAAACGATTGGCCTACGTTGCCCCCCTCGGTTCTTCATCTACTAGCCTGTCGCTCTACTCCTACGTTGACATGTCCTTCTGCATAACCTGTCCTCCGACGCCTTTGGTCCCGGACTCAAAGCGGGTCAGATACCTCCACGCCGGAAGAGGCACTCACATCTTCGTATTCAAGCCAAAGTCTCGTTCACGCGCAGTCGACTGGATTTGGCATCTCTGGTACGGCGGCTCTTGGATCACTATGCATTGAGCGAGCATGTTGACAATCTTACGACTAGGCGGCAGAAGGGCGGTCAACTACCCCCATTCATCGAAGTCCGCAGTCCCGCATTGGATACGCGTATGAGAGTTGACGTCCCCGGCTTTGACACCGCCGACCTCGACGCTGCATACAATGTCTTCCAGAAAGACAACGTCATACGCCTCTGTCAGAAGTATCTCCGCATTGCGCCCGAGTACCGGGCCCTGTTGGAGCGCGGACTCGCGGAGGGTGCGACCTTCGAGCTCGCGTGGCGGCTCAACACCGATCTCGATTGGGTATGGCAGGAGATCGACGTACGGGGGAAAGCACGGCGGTGGGCCGTGCTCTCGGGTCTCGCCCTCAAGCAGGGAGAGCAGCCCGCGCATCTCGAGTTCCGCCTCAAGCAGCACTACCCGACCCGGCTGCACATGAAGGATGGGACACGTTTGGACGAGCCTGTGGCGATCGAGGGATATCTCGACCGCATCCGACCGAATTCGCAGTTGAAGCAGTCCCTGTACCTCGTCACGCACGATGGGTATCTCTTCTCCCTCACACCTGCGCATGCACATCCCCCTCAGCCTCCTGGGGCTCCAGGGATGCCATCGTCTACGCCAGAGGGCACGCTGTATTCGCTCAGCTCTCCCGGTTCGGTGGACACACGCCGGAAAGCGGATGTACGCCGCGGAAGGCTGCAGATCCTGGAGGCGACGGGTGCATTCGATCTGCGGAGCATCGTCGCCGTGCGGCGCGCATTCCAGATGGTTCCTCAGGCCAGGGAGCAGGGGACTGTGCCTCAGAATACGGACTGGGAAGACACCGAGGTGTTTTGGGAGCAGGTCGATCGGAGCGAGAGCGATGACGAAGACGATGGTGGGGAATCAGGCGTGTCGAAGTCTAAAGACAAGTCTCGCTTGCGGATGCGACGATCGTTCGAGCTTGTGCTTGTGTCAGGACGGGTCCTGCGATTCGAGGTATGTCTGCGGTTTGCGCCTCTCTATGCAGTCTACCGCGGGCTGACAGCGTTTATTGGGCCGGTGTCCACGTAGGCGTACTCATGTGCAACCGCACTAGAATGGATCGTGCGTCTCCGACAGCTGGTGTCCTACTGGAAGAAGCGCCACCAGGTGGATGCGCGGTTGGAGATGAACATTGCGCACGTCAGTACGGGCCGCGAGCGCATTACGCCGCAGCGGCCGCGTGAGGACCACCCACACTCCGCCGGGCACGACACGCCGCCTGAGCCGCTACCAAACCATGAGGCGGCCCTCCCGGAACTAACGTTCTTCTACAACTGGTGCGTCCTGGACGGCTGCCGCGCGATCTTGAAGTGCGGGCGGCTGCACGGGCGGAAGGGATGGTGGGGCCAGTACAAGTGCGTTCCTCGCCCTCCTTGAGGCTTCTGTTTCTAGCGGGAGCAATACCGTTCTGACAACCGCCGTGCAGACACATTCAACTCGTGCTACTATCCGGCCACCTCGTGCAGTTCGAGATCTCCCACAAGAGCTCCTTGCACCACCGCAGGGACAAGGTTATCAACCTCCTCGACGCATACGTGTGCTCTGGGTACTTCGCCGCGCAGTACCTACCGGAGGGCCAGTACGACGCGAACAAGCCCCCGGTCGCGCGGCGATACCAAGATGGGCTGGAGACGGATGATGTGGAAGAGGACACGCTGTTCATCGTCTGGTACCGGAACGTCCGCGGGCAAGCGGAGGGGGTCCGGAGGAACAATGCCGCGGCAGACGTCCCTCCGCTGAAGACGAAGAGGAAGGCGGGGGTATTCCGGACGAGGAGCAAGCTGGAGCGGGATGCGTGGGTTTGGGCGATCAATGTGGAGATTGAGAAGGTCGCGCGGGCGTCGAGGGAGAGAGAGGAGGCGGTCAGGCAGGCGGGCCGGCTGCTCAATGGCTAAGGCAGATACCCGTGGGGTTCTTTTGCCTGCTTCTTCATAACGGATCTAGTTGCTCCTTGCATTCTCGGACTAGTCGCTTTCTCGGATTTGGAGCGTTCGTTGTTGCTTCATGACTTTACCTCGCTTCATATACCCGCAATACCCATCTGATCATCGGTCACCATGAAAAGTCTGTGTAGTCTGAGTAGTATGGCTGAATAATGTACGTGTAAACCGACAGCGTTGGAATAAAATTCGACTATGCAGTTTGGAATGGAAGCAATGCATCGATCATTGCTGCTTTGGTCGTTTTGCTGCGAATACGAAGGGACCCCTTAGCGAAGTACCACGATTCAAAGCGACTCCTGACACACCTCCATACTTGCTCCGCGCAGTCACCCTGCCTACAACACCGCTGAAGTCAAGCGTCCCACGAACGACCTTGTAGCTGCGTGTCACACGCCGTAAGTACATGGAACGTATGCGCACGATACTTGTGTCACGCACCGGACACCAGGAAGATCCTGCGTACGTCCACCGCGGATAAGGACCACACTGTGGTCCTGCAGGTTGTGGCCCTCTCCTGGGACGTAGGCCTGCACGGTCTTGCCCGTGGAGAGCTTCACCTTCGCGACCTTCCGCTTGGCTGAGTTGGGCTTCTTCGGCTTTGCAATGACAACCTGGCTGACAACGCCCTTCTTGTGCGTGTTGCCCTCCAGGAGCGGTGACTTGGATTGTTTAACCCGCTTCTTGGGCTTTCGGCGTGTGGCCTGGTTCAGAGTGGCAGCAGGGGGAAGCGTCGGATGGAAAGCACGAGAGAAAGCGAAGGGAAGAACGGTGCGAGCGAGACCAGGTGCGGCTGCCCTGTGCAGTTGAATGGAGGCCGACCATGGCCTCGCCATCTGGGCCGTCAGTCTAAGGGCGGAGAACATGGCGACCGACATGGTGAGCAGTCAGTGGAAGCCTTCGAAGCCGACACTGTGGCATGAGGCGCTTAAGGGACCATGCTAGGCGCTGGTGCAAATCGCGGTGGACCCTGCCCTGAAGCCGGGATACGCGCGGAGAGTCGCGCTTTGGCGACGCGTCTTGCTTCTCGTCGGCCATCGTGCGCGACAAACGCGATTGTTCTTGTTTGCAAGACCTTATAAGTCTCCAATTATGCCCGTCGCTAGCTCATCTCGCTCGAAGAAACGCCACGCGCGAGCACCGTCCTCCGACATCGAGGAGGATTCCGGCCCGAGTCAGCACAAGCAAAACACACAGGAAGACGTAGAGATGGACGAAGATGAGGAGCCACGCAAGGCCAAGAAGAGCAAGAAGGACAAGCAGCGCGCGCCGAAGGACGACTCCGACGCGGAGGGCGAGGAAGAAGTGGAAGAGGACCTGCCCGTGCCGGAGATTAACGACCAGCCTCTGGACAAGAACCAGGCGATGAAAATACGCCAGATGGCGAGCGACTGGGGTTACACCCGTGACAAGGTCCACAACGCTAGTTATGGATTCCTGAGGGAAGTTGCGGCCTCTGTGGCTGAATTCACCGAGGGCGAGAAGGGAGAGAAGGTGTGTCTCATGTCGCTTGTGGCCGTTGGAAGAGCACTGCTGACGGGGGTCGGCATAGGCCTTGAAACAAATCGACGCGCTCATGCGTGAACTGCTCGATACAGAGCAGCATTTGAATGCGCATGAGCAGGCCCTGGATGAGATTCACCAGAGGCTTATGAGGGGCGACAAGATTGTAGGTTATTCAGTCGCCTGGAGCACTTCTTCGGCTGTACTCAGAGCTCCCCAGGCTGGCGTTGCTGAAGCGTATGAAAAAGGCGTCCAGGAGAAGGTGAGGACGTACAAAGCGAAGACATCGCGGCAGAAGTACGCCAAGAGCGATAATTACACCAAGTTCAAGCAGGCAGTATACGTAGGTCACTCATGAGATCCTGTTCTACTCGACAGCTCAAGACATTCAATCCCGCAGGAAGTGCACAATCCAGACACCGCAATGCCGCCGCTTGTCGATCTCATCCCTCGAGGTGCGGGGATCCCTTCTCTGTGTGTGGCTGAACGGCGCTAACAATGGGCTATAGAGGAGGGCGACGACAGCGACGACGAAGACGACGTCCAGATTGGAGGTATCACGCAGGACTACAAGTGTCCCCTCACGCTCACGCACCTCATCGACCCATTGACCTCGTACGTACTTATCTCTATTCAAGGACAACTGAACTCACTTTCTGTTTCCTACCTTCCAGTAAGCTGTGCGGTCACTCCTACTCGGCCGCAGCTATTCGGGAGTATCTCGGCAAGGGAGGCAGGAAAGAATGTCCTGCGACGGGCTGTAAGAAGATGCTTGCCCTGTCTGATCTCGAGGCCGACCCAGCCCTGGCCAAGCGCGCAAAGGAGGCCGCGCGTCGCGAGCGTGCCCGAGAGAGCGATGAAGATGATGACGCCGAGGTCATCGAGTAAATGGCTTGCTTCGGTCCCAGTGGTTTGTTGCAGGACGTTCTGCGAGGCCAATAGACGTCCCTTGTAGACGAGGCTTTGGGAGAGCGAACGGCGAAGGTGGAGTCATCGAGGAGCTCTATTTTTACTTTCTGCATCGTACTGTGTTCTGTCTGTAATAGTATGCTAGATCTTTGTGTACGTGTACTTAACCTAAATTATGTGTACCTGCTAGTCGTGCTCCTGCCCCTGGCCGTCGTCCGGCGCTCACGGTGCGACCCGGTGTGACGCTCAGACTGTGACCTCCTACGTGACATGCTCGTCCGCACAGGCCGCCAGACGCCCACAAGTCCAGCTCGTCTGTCACCTCCACCAGCCCAAAATGCTTTCTGCGCCTACAGCAGCATCTCGCGCGGCGCGCACCGTCTGCGCACTCTCAACCCGCTCCCGCCGCCTGGCGACCCATGTCCCCGCAGTCGCGTCCGCTGCAAGCTCGAGCATGCCGTCGTCGGACGGTCCGCTGCGCCCGCACCTCGGCATCGAGGTGAACCCGGAGCACGGGCTGTACGCCTTCTTCCGGAAGAAGGAGAAGGACGGGAAGCCGTACTACGACACGGTCGAGCCCATGGACATGACGGCGGACCAGAGCGGTGCGTCGACGTCGTTTGCTTGCCGCTCGATGTGGGCGAGAGCTGTGTGCTGACCTTCTTTGGGTGTCGCTTGACCGCCTACCCGTGCCGACGTTGCAGGTCGTGCGTGGACCGCGGCGGAGCTGAGGCGGAAGAGCTTCAAGGACCTGCACACGTTGTGGTACGTCGTGCTCCGGGAGCGGAACTTGCTCGCGACACAGCAGGCGGAAGCGAGGAGAATGGGCGCGAACGAGCAGACTCTTGGCTTGTGGGCGAAGGCGTTCAGGGTATGTCTCATCTCTTGTCTTCGACTTCTTGGAGCTCGGCTCGCGTTTGGACCCTGGCGCGACACACTGTCTCTATCGCCTATCACTCTACGCTCTTCAGGAGCCGCTTCGTTTTGTGCCGCTCTCTTTCTACTACATTCCCCCCTCCGCTCACGCGCCTCCCTTGGACTCTAGTGCCGCAAAACGATGGCGCGCATCAAGTACGTCATCAACGAGCGACGTCTGGCGTACGAGGGCGCCATGAAGATCTACGGCGAGCGGCGGGAGGAGGCTCTCGAGGCGGACAAGATCGCCCGCAAAGAGGCGGAGGAAGCGGAACGAAAGAGGGTGGCAAAGGAGTGGGCGAGGAAGCGGTCAAACCCTGTCGAGGACATGGTGACCCGGTCACTCTTCGAGACCGTGCCAGAGACGGTCGGGCAGAAGGCGTAGAGCTGAGATGGGAGGGGATGTATATTGTACTAGACATGGTAATAGCACGCTCTCTGGAGACCCGCACCGTCCATTCTTATCGAGACACTGCTGGAGCTGCCTCACGCAAGAATGTCTGCTCATTCTTTACCTCGGGACTTCGTAGCAGGCCGAGGGAAGCTTGGCGCGTTAAGTGGATGGTCGGCGTTCTATCTTCCCACTGCGCGATGATGTGGGGTGGCGCGAAGTCCTCTTCCCTGAGACAATCTGGCAGGACATGGGGATGACAGGTGGGCCAGAATGGTATTGCGCCCAACAGGACCCAGAGGCTGCTACCATCGTGAGCTACGTGCGAGACCACATGGTCAGCATGTACGCACATCTTCACCGCCAACCCTCCGGTAATTTATTGCTGAGCCTCGGCTATGTTGTACGCCCGGTGTCTGGAGTGGCCGCCTCGTTCATCTCCCTCCTGTACGGGTTTTGTGCGCCCCACTGGACCATCTCGCTGCTCACGAAGCAGTCTCTGACCTTGGGGTCTTCGTACATCTCGAGCTGGCGGCGTCCGCGACGGAGGCGGTGCTCGATCGTCGCAATGTCACGGGGAGAGATGGAGGCTGCCTCGGTCTTGAAGGTGTACCGGACGAAGAGCCGGAATTTAGGCTGGGCAGCTAGCGGTTTCGAGTTCGCCATCCTCAGTGCTCTATGTCATAAAAAAGGCGGTGAGCGGGGTCACACAAAGGAGAATTGCCGGGGTAGTCGGAGGAGACGGACCTGCGGTATAGCGAGAGCACGTCCTTCTGTAGCCCCGAGCGTCTTAGTGACATTGCCGCTGGTAGTACTACTAGTCTCAGGTCTTTCCCCACCTTCTTAAGAAGTGTTAGATACTGAAGCTGGTAAGAGAGCAAGTGAGGACTGAGATGGACGATTGCAAGACCCAGACAGTCGAATCCACTTAAGGCGGCGCGAGCCGGATCGGCTTCGACTCCCGACTCCGAACTATCCGGGGGCCACCACTCGTCACGGGGCGTCACGCGTGTTACGCAGGGTGACGCAGCGCGTCGGAGTCACGTCGTCGCGTCATAGGTCTTAGTGAGAGGCCCCCATCTCTGTGCCCTCCCCTCCTCGTCCTCTGCAGTCATTGACTGGCTTTCTGTTGCTGTGTCGCGACGCTCTCACTCCTCACATGCTAAGGCCTTTGCAGCAATCTTTGCGTCTCCCATATCGACCTCTCCGCACAGCGCGGCTACTACCGTCTGTCTCTGCCGTGAGGTCCCTCGCCACGCACTCCAGTCACTCCGAGGCTGGAGTGGCAGACCCGGCTGCTTATTGCAAGGACTATGTGCGCAAACGGGACTATGAGAGTTACCTCATTGGAGGCTTCTATCCCCGACACCTGCAAGGCCCATTCTTCGCGCTTCGCGCCTTCTATGTGAGTCAATGCATCTTATTGCCTTTCATTACGGTCCCATCCAGCCGAACGTGTGCCTGCAAGCTCTGTGCTACCGAGTCTTTCGGGAAAACGCTGTAACACGGTTTGGGAGCATGGTATGTAGTGGTGAGCAGTGTCTTCGTGAGAAGGCTTACGCACCTCGTGGGCCGGCCTATGTGAAAATGAAACAGCGTCTAGCCATCCACCTACATGCACAGAGATTGCGCCATGCGCATCCGGCGGTATTCCTGGGAGACCCCCCTCTGCTATGTGCGGGATATCGATAGGCATTCGCATGGGACAAAATCCTCAAGCTTTCATCTATCTCGCCCTTAGTCGGAGCCTGTTTCTTTTGACTGTGGGAGCAGCATGTGTGACATGTGTCTGACAGCTCGATGCATCCTAGGTGGAGCTGGCTTCTATACAGGACAACGTCACCAATTCTATGATCGGCAAAATGCGCCTGCAGTTCTGGCGGGACGCCATCAAAAGCATCGCTGATGTACGCTCAGTTGCTACCTCCCCAGCCTTCGCTCTGACCGCTGCCCAACGTAGGGCAGACCGCCACAACATCCCATTGCGCTGGCATTATATGATGCTTCACAGAGGGCAAACTTCCCTGCATATCACTTCCGCAGGATCATTGATGCACGGGTACGCCTTCCTTCGGATAAGTGTATTGTGGGATGACGGGCGGGACGCTCTGACGTGTTACGCACAGGACGCTGAGCTGCACACACCCACGCACCTCACCGTGGAATCCTTGACAAGACACGCCGAGTCGACAGCATCGACATACTTCTACCTCCTGTTGTCATTGCTAAACCTATCGTCATCGGATACGTTCTCCCATGCCGCATCCCACCTCGGAGTCGCACAGACCATCCAGGTACTGCTGCGCGCCCTGCCTTATCATGCATCTAAAGGGAGGATGATCATCCCCGCCGAAATCACTGCCCGGCACGGCGTTCGCCAAGAGGATGTCTTCCGCAGGGGTGGGAACGCGGACGGCATCTCCGACGCCGTCTTTGAGTTCGCGACAGTCGCCAACGACAACTTGCTCACCGCACGCGAGATGTTCAAACAGTCAAGTGGCGGGGAGGGCGGGACGGTACCGCGGGTGGCCATGCCGGTCTTCCTTTACGGGGTATGTCGTTCCCTCTTCTGTGCCAGGCGTCCGTTAGAGATCGAAGTCAAAGAGTGAAAAAAGTTTTCTTCGATGGTTTTGAATCCTATTCACCCGTGACGTCCCACCGACGTGCAGGGACGGCCCGGGGAGGGAGGATGCTGACAGGGATTGTCGACTGTCGCCTGACCGAACGTTAACGCACCTTTTTTGCTCATAGCTACCGACGCGAGATTACCTCGGACGCCTCGAGGCGGTGAATTTTGACGCGTTCGCCCCGTCTGTACAGTTGCGAGACTGGAAGTTGCCGTGGAAAATCTGGCGGGGTTACTACAAGGGAGACTTTTGACGCTAGGGCTAGTGCAGGCGGTAGAAGTTGGCATCGGGCACCCCGGCAGGGGTGGGCTGGCCCAGGCTGTGGTGCTTAGCAGGATATTGTGGTTCCGCCAATATATTACACGTCTTTCGTGCCTATACCGTTGCGCTAGCTGTCGCACAAAGTTGGTAAAGGATGGTTTTGGAGAACGGTGGAGGCGAGCGCCTGCGAGCATGCCCAGGGCCCCTGCAGGCCGATCCGCTACCGGATCCGAGAAGGCTGGCGGACCTCCAAATCCCGTACACTCTCCTCCAAGCGTTTTGGTGGCAGATCGTTCCTTGTCCCCTCCCTACCATCTCCGGTTCCCCTCTTCCACCTCCCGCCGTCCCGCCCCTGCCCCGTAGTGCCGACCCTGGCACGCTCGCGTTCTGGACCCGTACGACGACCCCTCGTGTGCACCTCATCACATCCCCCTCCGCAGCTGCTCATAACCTGTTTGCTGCCACTCCCGAGAACGCTCAATTGAGACAGACCCTAACGACCATATCGCTTCAAAGCCACAATCGCACTGTGGAAGCCCTTCAAGCATGGATCAACTATGTGGTATGTCACTGCGGCGGGTCCGGGCAGTCGCACAGCAGAGCAGAGCTAATCGTATCTTCCCCACCTACACAGACGAGATCCTGCAGCTCATCCTCAACGAGCTGAACAGCCCCGCCGCGTTCGCCGCGCTCTCGAAACGCCACTATGAGTTCGGAAAGGATCCGTACGTGCGCGCGATGTACTTCCTCGCCCGCCACGGGCACATCCAGGCGCTGTACTGGGCTCTGGGGAGGGGTAGACTGCTGAACGAGAGGGTGCTCGATGTGAGTCTTTTGGTTGCGCGCCTCAATTTCCTTTTGCGCTTTTTCTTCGAGCTATCTGTCGGCTTCGACCATGTTCCCGTTGCATCCTTCTCCTCCCCGGGGAGCTGGCCTTTCTCGCTCTCATCCTTCCCCAGCGCTATCGTAGCTAGGGGCCCCCCGCTGCACGGGTTGGGTCTGGCACGGTATCACGTCATCCCCTCGGGGGGAAGCAAGCAAGCGTGGTGAGAGCTCGTCGGCTGTCAGCAAGGAATGCTCAAGGTTCGAAACCTTGTAAGATCCGCTGGAGGAGTTCCTTTACCACTTCGGTCATGTCCCTTCCAGGCGAGAGGAACTGCACGCCGTGTGCCGCGCCCCCCTGTCACCTACGCTCACGCCGCGCGGGGGGCCGCAAAATGACTCGGCTGCGGTTGGTGGTGCACGCATGCTTGATCCTTGATGCTTCCGCCACAGACGCATGAAACGTTTGCGCCAGGACGCGGGGCGCACTGCAGGCGACGGGAGGCAGGATGGGATAATAGCGTGGACGTGCTGCGTGCGTGCATCCCGCGATTCTGCCGCTGTCCCTTGTGGTCGCGGCCGCCGCCGGCGTGTCTGGCTATATGCGGGCTTCTGTCGTGCCACACGCCTCTGCATAGATGCCCCTCGTTTCGGTACGTGTTATGGGGACTCTGTGCGGCCGTTCGAATGACGGACACACATGCGTCGGCGGTCTGCGGGGGCCGTCGATGTGCCCGCACGATCTGGGCTGTCACGGGCTGAAGAGTGCGGATTATGCCCTTTTCCTTGCGAAGGAGGTTCTGGCATATCCCAGGTTGGCTTCGTCACTCTATGTCCACAGCCCGGGACAGGTGGACATGGTTTCGTTCCTAGCACATGAGAGATGCCGCAGATGCCGTACGGCAGCCGTACCTGGTAATTCCTCGAGATTTGTGGTTACGTCCAGGATGCGCATATTTGGGTCCTCGAGCTGTCTGTTGGCTCTGAGAAAAATGACTCCTGCTTGCAACGATCCAATCAACTTGGCTCGCAACCAGTAGAGTTGGCCTGAAAGAGCCTCGAAGCGTTCGTGGACGTCCGGGTAGATAGTTGGCCCGAGACTTTGTGTTTAGTGCCCCCGGCGCAGCTCTTGCAATAGCCGCAGTCTGCTGATCATTGCTGACGCTGATCCACAGATCCTTTTGGGGAGCGGCGCCCACCTCTCGAGGTATCTGGCCCAAATGGCCATACACCACTATTTCCGCACACAGGTCTCCTTTATCAAGACGCGCTGGGTGCGGACGCTCACTCTCCCCGTCTTCACGCACTTCCTCTCCATCGCGTCGCGCATGTATGGCGACATCCCGGTGGGAAAGGGGGAAGACGACGGGACGATCCTGTCGCTGTTCTTGAAGCAGAGCAGGTTTCCGACCGAGTACCGAGCGGCCAAGTGGGAGCAGGTGCGGGATGTGGTTGAGAAATATAAGGTGCGTGGCCGCGGCACCTGCTACAGGCTCCGACAACTCAATCATGCGCGGGGACAGTTCATCCCGTTCTCGGATAGGGTGAGTGCTTTAAACTCTAATTCAAATGCGGAACGAAGGTTTGATGGTTCGGCACAATCCTCATAGGATCCTATGATGGCCCAGTATCCGCTCGTGCTTGCCATAGAGCCCCGTCTCCTGCCCTTTGCTCGACAGAACGGGTTCCATATGGATCGCAAGGTGTGTAGGCCATACGTCTAACGTGATCGCAGCAGTCCTGATGACGTCGCTCTGCGATAATCCAGTATCGAGATTTCGTCTTCCGCAGAATGTTTGAGAAGCCCGCCGTCATGTTTGAATCCCGGGCAGATGAGATTGTACAGAATGTACGCGAGCTGTCGCGGCTAGACACTGAGTACGGTTCCGTTCCCTCACAAGCTCTGCCTGCTGTACGTCTGTGTCTTGCTCATGTCTCTTGCTTTGGCGTCGGTTCCGTGGGAGCAGCATGTTTCTCAGTCGGACGGTTGCGGCAGAGATCTGCATGGAAGCAAAGACGAACGAACCGGCGTACGCGGCGCTTAAGCGTCTCGACAAGGAAGGCGTTCTGCGCTTCGAGCTATCGTACGTCACCGTACCCCCTACACGTGTCTCTCAGGCTCACCCCCGTTATTTCTGACCAGCTCTGTCGTCCAGGACCTGATTAAGGCGAGTAGAGACCAGGGCTGCGGGCCAGACAGTCAAACTGACATACCCGGACAGCTTTTCCTGAACACTCGGTCCGTAACTACGACACATACGGCTTCAGTCCTGCGGGTGCTCCATAAGGACTTCCCATCAGAGGACCCGACTGTCCGTCTTGTATTGCTACTCACCGTGTTCCTCTCCGACCCGTCACACCTTCCCGAGAGTCTTGTCCCGACGCCGAACACTGCAGGGCTCTTTGAGCGGTATGTCGAGTCGTGTAGCGACGAGATCGAGGACATGAACCTCGGTCCGCTCACTCGGAAGGACATCGTCGACATCCTCCTGAGCAAGTTCGTCCCGGAGCGCTTCGGAGGGATCCTCGAGTACGCCCGCTCGGTCCTGGACCTCGATAAGGAGGCGATGCGGTGCGTCATCACCGAGGTCGCGCTCGGATGCCTTGAGATCGGATGCAAGGGAAGAATGCTCGCGAAGCTCGTCGCCACGTACTCGTACCTTTCGGACGTCATCGCCTCGCACATCGTGAAGACCTACCGCATCCAGCTCGAGGACCTCCCGCCGGCGGAGGACGAGAAGGCGTGCAAGGAGTTCGCTGCGCCGCTGTGCGCCGACCTGCTCTTGATGCGGAAAGGTATCCCGATGACGTTCGAGGAAGTAGCTGCGCCGCTGGTTCCACCGACTGTGGAGCCTGCGCCCCCTCCTCAGCCTGAGTCAGAGCCTGCCGAGAACGAAGAGGAGGTCGGAGCGGGCGAAGATGAGGTCGAGGAGGGAGCGGAGGGTCCAGAAACGCCTGCTGAAACCGAGGGCGAGGACCTGGTGCGTGCCTCCTGTCATGCGTGCGTCTCTTGGTGGCACCATTCGCTAAATTTCGCTCTCTTCATCTACGGCGGTTGTTAGGGTGTTATCGGCCAGGACACATTATCCGCCATGATCCGCAAAGACGAGATGCAGCCCTCACGCCGGAGGCGGTATCACGAGCTGTACACGAACTACCACGACAGCATCGGCAAGTTGCCTTATCCGGCCGGTATGTGGTTCCTCCGTCTCTGCGCCGCTGTCGCGAAGATCCGGCTGCTGCGGGATTTTTGCTTGTGAGACGTATTTCGGCTCACATACGGTTCTGTATTGTCTAGATTACACACAGGTCGGCACATGGATCCAGAACCATTATGGACACCTCAGTGCGGTCGCTGCAGTCATCCGTCTGCACGCGGTCATCAATCAGAACTACACGGTGCGTAGAGTTGGCTGGGCGCACGGCGTCCACACCGGTCTTCTCGAGCCGCTGGCTTATCGCTTCTGTTTGTTTTATTTCCATTTTATTTCCATGTACGCAAACCGCAGGTGCTGCATCACTATCTGTATAACGGGGACGGGCCGGCACACTCGGGCCGAGTACCGACGACGCTAAAGCAGTTCAAGATCCTCGCGCGTCTCGGCCGGACGCCGAGCATGTCACTCTACGACGATATCGAGGCAGGAACGGAGTTTTACTTCAGCGAGGAGGACTACCTCAGCCAGGAAGAGCTGAACGGCACTGCACAGCCCCCGTTAAAGAAGGCTACCCGGCGCGCGAAGGTGAAGTGCGAGGCTAGCCCCACTCCCGGACCGTCTTCCGCGGGCATGTCCACGTCGAGACGGGCGGAGGCAGCAGGGCCGAGTGCAGGGCCGAGTGCGGGCGCGGGCTCGCAGGGGCGAAAGCGGCCGCGTCGGAGTGTGGCGAGCTCGGTCAAATCGTACGTGGTGCCGGACAGCGACGACGAGGATATCGTGATGGAAGGGGAAGACGATATCTTGCAGAAGTTTGCGAAGAAGCGTCGGCAGGAGACGAACATGCAACGATGGATCAAGCAGCTTGCGATCCTGTTCAAAGAGGAACAGCGAAAGGTATGTGTTTCCATGCTCCTTGGGACCCGTGCATCATGCATCATATGTCTCGGGAAATTGCGAGCTGCGCGCGACTTACGTGTTCTGTGCCCTTTTGTGTTGTTTTGCAGTACAACGAGAGGAAACGCCGGATACACACGTTGTCACCGCCGGGGGCGAAAGTGAAGGTGCCTAAGGTACGTGCTGCTTGCCGGAGCGACGAAAATAGTGCTAATGAGTCTTGCCATGGGCACGCTGCACGCTAGACCGAGTTTCACAAGTCGCTTGCTTTCAATCTTCCCCGCTTGCGCCGGATCGATCGGGTGAGACGGGAAAAGCTGTATGGAACGGACATTGCGGACGTGGACATGAGCGAGAGCGACGAGGACGAGTATCAGTATCGGACCACGCGCTCGAAACGACGCAAGGTAGAAAACTAGTTAGAGGCGTGGGACCAGCGCATCGCGTTTCCTCGTGGACGGTTGACGTGGCTGTTTCTGCCGCCTCTCCGCCATGGTTTGGGCCATCCATCTGGCACTGCACACAGAGAGTTTCGTTTCCATTCACGCACGGACATGAATCTTCCGCACACTACCACACCGCACTACGCATCCTTCGTTCTCGTCATCTGTCGTCGTTTTCTGGCATTACCTACCGGATCTCAGTGCGCCCTGTCCCTCGCACCGCGGCGTCGGCCCCATGTGAAAGCTTACTCGTATAGCCTAATTTTTGTAGTAGCTGAGGAGATAATGGAAGCAGCGTCGGGTACACGGACCGTGGGCAGGGTGGCACAGGACCAGGGACGGTCGGCGCGAGAGCCGGAAGGAAGCGGTGGGGTGGCCAGATGGGCAGGTCGCGAAGGCGCAGAGGGGTTGCAGACGTGGTCGCACCGCTCGCTCGGTTCTTCGCGCGCGCAGGAGGAGGTCCGCGGCAGATGGCCCCGACCAGGCGACCTCCATTCGCTCAATGTGCCCGAGATCCCGAACGAGCATCACCATCCACCGCGGGGTCGAGCCCAATAAGTTCTGGGATAAATACCCGCCGTCCCGCAGGCCCGCGAACGCTACATACATTACTAGCACCCGCCAATTCACGAGGATTATGGACGTCGACGCCGACATGCCTGCGCACGCCGCCCACCACGCCCACTCTCCTAGGGGACACTCGGCGGGGCACAGCTACCGCTCGACGCCCCCCACCGACTACCCCACCCTCGTCGTTCGCAACGTCCATCTCCCCTTCGACGCGGACAGTCCCACGCTCGCAGACCCGCTCTACAACGTCTACTGCGTCGGCGGCCGCGTCGACCGCATCGAGCTCGTCACCACGAACGGCTCCGGGAGCGTCAGCGGCAGCAGCGGACGCAACTCGCCCGCGCGCCATCCAGAGTTCTCCTCCAGCGCAAGCCCGCGGGGCAACGGTGCGGGGCCGAGCCCGAGAGATCATCGCCAGGGGAGCAGCCACGGGGAGCTTGATGCGCAGGGGCGGGGAATCCTTTTGCCAGCGTCCGTCCGCTCCTCCATGCCCGTCCCGCCTTTTCTGGCACTCACACCGAGCCCGCGACGTACGCGTCTCGTTCTTGCACCCACAGGCTCGTGCACGCGCACATCCACCTAGACAAGTGCTTCCTGCTCGATCAGTGCGATGAGCTCGTCACCGGGTACGTGACCACCGCTTGCTCGACCCGCGCAGACGCAGCGTCGAGGTTCCCCCCGGCCGTGGACTGACACACCGATTTGTCGTGTGCGGATCGCAGCCACTTCTCCGAGGCACTCCGCGTCACCGCGAAGGCGAAGAGCGGGTTCCCATACAATCTCGACGATCTCTACGATCGAGGCCGGAAGCTGATCTCTCAGAGCATCGAGTGCGGGGTCACCTTGATGCGCGCCCATGTCGAGGTCGACGAGACCGTCCATTTCGCGTGCGTCGATACCGGGCTTCGTCTTCGCAAGCTGTTCAGGGACGTGTGCCATGTCCAGATAGCAGGTGAGCACCCGCCTTATCATTGCATGGATCGTTGTTAGTTAATGCTGTGTGCACCAGTCTTCGCGCAAGACCCTCTCTTCGCGTCGTCGAACGACGACCGGCCGGGGCTCAACTACGTTCTCATGCAGACCGCGATCCGGCGACACGGCGTCGAGGCCGTCGGCTCCGCGCCGTACGTCGAGCCCAGCATCTCGCACGCGAAGCGCAACATCGAGCTCATCTTCGACCTCGCCTACGACGCCGGCATCCACGTCGACTTCCATCTCGACTACAACCTCGACCCGCACTCGGAGCCGCTCATCTGGTACGTGCTCGACCAGCTCCGGCAGCGCATCCAGGCCGGCCGGTGGCGCGCCGGCTGCCACGTCTGCGTCGGGCACGCCACCCGGCTCACGCTCTTCACGCCCGAGGAGTGGGCGGCCCTCCGCGCGGCCCTCGTCGACGAGCGCCTCCCGCTGACGCTCGTCGGCCTCCCGCCGAGCGACCTGTACATGATGGGCCGCGGCCTCGACTACGCCCCCCGCGGCACGCTCAACGTCCCCAGGCTCGCGACGGAGCACGGCCTCCGTGTGGCCATGGCGGTGAACAACGTCGAGAACGCGTTCACGCCCCAGGGGCCCGTGGATCCCCTCGGCCTCTGCCCGCTCGGCGTCGCGGTCTTCCAAGCGGGGACGAAGATCGATTGCAGAACGCTTCTGGTGAGTGTCCTTCCCTTCCCTTCCCTCCCCCTCCGATCGTTTCAGATAGACTCCAACATCGGGTGGTATATCGTGTTACTAATCGCGCGTTCGTCTCTGCGCCCGCAGGAGGCCGTCACGCTGAACTCCCGGCTCGCCATCGGCGGCTTCCACAAGGGCTCCGCGACGCTGTCGCTCACGCCGTCTCCGGGCATGGTCGCGGACTTTGTGCTGCTGCACGACAACGACTCCGTCCACTCCGCCGCTCTCAACCCGTCCTTCTCGCGCACGACCATCCGGCACGGCGTCATGGTCGCGCGCCGGATCCAACAGAGCTGGATCCTCCCACAAAAGACGCCCTCCCCCGACCCGATCCCCCCGGAGTAGCAGGAGTCCTGCCGTATCTTGCGACTGTATCTGTACCCCGCCGCTCTGGGACCCCCCGTTCACGCCGGTTTCTCGAGGTTTCGAGACTTGGCCACCGCGTCACGTTTTACTGCATCTCCCATCCGCGCATGTTCGCATCTAGCATAGAGTAGTCCACCGCTCATCTCCTCTCCCATCCGTGCTATCTTGTCGTCGCTGTCGGACCTTGTTGTCGTATGCGCCCCGCAGGAACCGTGGTCGTCAGATACCACCCCGCCAGGCCTCGCTCGCCCTACGGCGCCCCTGCCCAAAATCACGCCGTCTGCGCCATCGTGCAGTACGAGCAGGGCCACTTCATTATTCTGTATCATATCGTGTATGTACTTCGTGAGAGCTTTCTTGGTCTCCTTTGCAGAGGTTGTACCCAATATAAGGTGCAAGTGGGCGAAACGTTCTGTGCGATTCGAGAACGAGCGAACCCGACAGGGCAGCGATAAACATCAAGTACTGCGGTGAGACAATTTCAGCATCTAGCCCTACATTAGTACATCGCCCGAACGCTGCCCGCCGAACCCTCATGTCGGAACGTTTGCGGAGAGCTTATAGTCTATATGTGCTGAGATCTCGCCATAGCGTGCAGGCGCGGGGGTCTGCGAGACTAGTTCGGCGGAAGGAAAGTCGTCGTCATGCAAAAACGTTTTATCAGCGCAGTAGTTGGGGCGACGCCGAGAATCGTGAAAACCGACCCGTGTGGCGCGTTTCGGAGCGGAGTTGCGAGGGAGATAAGGTGTTACACGTCAAACGGTACTGACTTATACGGATAGCGTACCGGATATACCATGAATGAGTGCAGGATGTCATACCGACACCTCAGGGGCATTGAATCATCATCTCCACGAAACCAGCCTTCGCTATAGAAGACAAGACGATGAGCTGACACGTTTAAAGTGAGAAAATAGGGAAACGCGAGCTTACTAGGAAAGAAGAGTTGGAATCTAGCTTGGTCTCGAAGCCGAGGATGAAGGTGTTTCCAGGGTTCAGCGGGCATGGGTGCAAGAAGAGCAGGATCTGGTCGGAGTACATCTTATGTGTGATATCGACCGCACGCTGGTCGCCACCTTGCTTAACATGGTCGTCGGGACAACTGTGCTGGGGGATCGGAGCAGCGAATCCTCCCTCCATCAGTCGCGTTATGACCCATGGGGGGCCGAACGCCTCGCCCTGATGCCAGGCCGTGTACTCGGGGGACGTGCATCGACCGACGTATACCACCAAGGGAAAGGTGGTGCCCAAAACGGTGACCCCTGCATTGAATGTCAACGCCAACGGGGGAGTTCCCGTCCAACCTCGCGGGATCTTGCAGTCTTCGCGAAGCTGGACGCCCCATGACCCCGCATCTGGGATACGTATTGGAGAGAAGAGGGGTTCGTTCAGCGAGAAGTGGGACATCGTCGCCGAAGGCAAAATTCGTGTCTGGGTTTCGTGCAAGATTCGGAGGTCTCGCCAGCGTACGGTCACCGGGCTATCTCTTCCGGTCAGGTCGCGAATGCTGTCGTGAAGGATGATCGTCCTGCACACGCCTGCGTAGTCCAACTGGGGATTGTCGTCTTCAGCCTCGGAAGTGTACATGAGTGCACCGCATCTGTAGCGGGGCTGGGGAGACTCGTCGGCAGGGTTCACAGGCGTCAAGAGGAGGCCGAGCACGTCATTGTCAGAGGACTTGTAGCAGCCGAGCAACAAGGCCACAAGGACGCCCGAGGGTAGCTCAAAAGCTGGTACGTGAGCGTGAAAGCCGTATGGATTGACTGAGAAGATTGGGAAGTCTGAGAGCAATTCTAGTGTCTTGGATTGCGGTGGCGCTAGAACGTAACGACTCGTTGGCTCGGATTTCAGGTGACAGAGCGTATTGTAGATCACTCACTCGGTTCTACGACATTCTCGTCGGGACTCTCAGCGACAATGCCATCAACGGTGCTGAGTTCGGACGTGAAGTGGATTTGGGATGTGGTCTCGAAGTCGGATGGATTATGTGCCAGGAGATGTTGATGCGCCTCCGGGATTGGATCTGCATGCCAGGGTTGATTCTCTGCGCTTTGCGGCTCGAAGGCCACGGAGGACAGCCGTGACTGGCGTCCCTTCGCTTGCAGCCGGCTGGGCAGGAGGCTCTGCAGCAGAAAGGTGGCGCTCTGTCCCCAGGCGAAGAGGGACGTATCACCGGATCGCTTCATGATCTTTTCCTGCAGTCTCCGAAAGGAATTTTCGCCCTCTCCATACACAGTAGTCATGTTGAGAGAGAAGATGCCGAGCAAGCAGTAAGCCCTATCCTCCACACGCGTCGTCACCCGACGCGCCGCCCAGGACATACGTTGGGCTACACTGAAGCTCGATAAGTCCTTCTCCAACAAAAGCACGGTAGCGGGTATGAGGGTGATTTCTTCAAGAAGACTCGCGAGCTCCGATTTGCTTCGGAGTGGCTTCCAGTCGTTTGCCAGGAACAAGACGCGAGTCGAGGCTATGAGCTCCTGCAAAGTCCACCCACGCTCGTGCCACCGACTGCGTCGGAATGGGGACTCATCCGCACTCAGGCTGCAGTCGCTGGGGACATCGCCTAAGTATGCGTAGCAAACCTCCGCGAGGGCGTAGTACCTGAACATCGAATTGATTGCTTCGGAGAGCTCTGAGCTGCTCGTCTTGTCGATGCAGCAAGTGTCGCACCAAGCCCATGCGTGGCCGTGGCGTTCGGCGAGCATGCAGAACTCCCGGATCTTGGGCGAAGCGCTGTCGCGGGGATTGGTCCCGATTTCGGCGGAGAGCTGACATAGCCTCTGAAGGTTTTGGAACGATTGCTCCTTTTCGTCCCACACGTGCGAGAGGATCGCGTAGCCTCCAGGAACATCCTCCGGCGAGTTGAAGTGGTGGAGCTGGGCGGTTCTAGTATCAAGGAGCCACATCAGGGGATCTGGACGAGGTCATATCATCGGTTAAAGAGTACTCTGTGTGCCAGAAAGAACTGGTTCCACTTCCATACTTACTCCGTCGGGTATGAGTTGGTGCGGCGACTTGACTTGAGAGGACGTATCGATTTGTCCTGGTGGTAATCAGAGACGGGGGCATTTACTATAGGACGGTTCGCGACGTCTCATATACCCATGCATACGTAAGCACTCAAGGTGCCGAAGAAGCTGAAGGCATGGGCCTCACACTCCACAGGCTATGACAGGATGGTAGCACTGCATGTCATGAGTTAGATGAGACATGTAATTGCAAAGTCATGCAAAGAACGTACCTGATACTGCGCAACATTAACAGAAAGCCCGAATAGGTATGAGTTGCTCCAACTGGAGCGGAGTAGGTACAGGAATGCCTGCCAGGAATTGCTGCACCTAGTCAATGTTAGCGTGCTCACACGGGCCTCGATGTCAAGGATAGCTAGGGAACGTGATGGCATTTACTGCATCAGGCCAACAAGGTAAGGGACGACTCAAAGTCTTCGATACGGCCGCTGCCACGAGCCCGATGTTGAAGATACTCTCCTTGTCCCTAGTGGTAGACTCAATATCCATAACGGTGAGTTACGTTAGCATTCTGAATCTTCTCGTATTCGCACTGGAATCAGGAAGACCCAGAATTGTAACTTAGATCATAATTGCCATGTCGAATATGTATGCGTTGAGGATGGCTAATGACATCGAGTCGTCTCGTGGTGAGATCCCAAGGGACTGAGTCGGGTGAGCAAAGGTGTATGAAAATGGCGTTCGACGATTGGGAACGCACCAATGTTCGCAGTGGTCGGAGTCATGCATACAAGTACATTTGAGGCCATATAGATTCACGGAAAATACATGGCGAGAGAATAGAAGGGGCCACGACTGGACGTTTGCAACCACGATTCTCGAAACCATGAACGTCAAAGCAAGAGGCTTCAATAGGTTGCAGCGAGGCGGCGAAGGATATATTCCTGAGCCTAGGGGAGCCTGTTGAGACTTGCGGGATCATCCCATTGAATGGTACTTACGGAGATCGGTTCGTATTTAGGTGGGTTCTCTCCGGAGTAGGTCCCGGGGAGGCATGCAACGACCTCGGAAAATTCCTGACATGTTATAATTAGTTTCTGGTGGCGACAAGGAGATAGGATGCAGCATACAGGACTGCAGAACTGTCGGGTGAGGATGTCAGTCATCACCACTACCGACGGATATCAAGCATGCACATACGTATGGGATGGAGTAGCGATCGGGGATCATGCCATTAGCAGTCTTCGCGCTTGGTGGAGCACGCACGCGGTGCACTGTGCTCTTGATGACGTCGTTGGACCCTATGCGACAGCACGTGATGAACAACTTGACAATTACTACAGGATTCGAGTATCGAATATATGTGTGCTCACAGCGCATCATGAAGTCGCCCGCGTTCACGATGAGGGCGCCGTCGATAGGAGGAGCGCTCTGCAGCGTATTTAGCCATTCGGTGCATCAGTGTCGAACGGAAGTGGCTCCTGGACAACTGACCATGAATTGCCCTGGCTTTCCAGGAATCTCAATTTCGAGTCCTCCCACGTCGTCTTGGAGTAGTAGGGTTATCGACCCAAAGTCTGAGTGTGCGTCGATCCTTGTGATTTTCTCGTCTTCTAGGTCTTTAGCTGGGACGCTATGTACGGGTACAAATCGACCGTCAGGGACTATACTTCGCGCAAAGCATTACAACAACCTTGGGTAGTGCAGCAAACGAAGCTGGTTGTCATGGGCATGATGGTGCTTCACGAGAAAGTCTTCAGAAATACCGAGGGCGAAGGTAATTGCCCTGAGGATTTGCACCTCCGTCTCATGGCAAGTCTACGTTAAAGATGAGGATATCAACTGACCCGATTCTCCAGAGAGCTGAATGGATAGCTGACCCAATAGAAGTCCGTGCACGCTTCTCTGAGACCCGGCAGAACATCTTCAGGGAGCCAGATGTTTGGCATCACAGTGTTCTCTTCCCAGCCGCACTCGAAGCTTTCCTTCACGTCCGGTGCTTTGACACGAGCTGCCTTAATGTCTTGGTCGTCGTAGAGATGTTGCACCACTTTCTCAACGCCCGGGGCAGAGTAACCTGAAACTCATGATAAACCGGTACTTCTGTGACGCATGACGTATACTAACTTACCCCTATGATGTGTCCCAGAAGGAGGATGTGGCGCGAGCTGCTTCTTTTCCATGGGGAGAGCGAAGAAGCGCCTGGACTGAATATCTACAATTATCAGGAAGATACGACTGGTCAAGATGGCATCCCGACACACCCATTCAAACATCGCCTTCGACTTCTCCGGCGGTATGCCATGATTCACCAAGTATACGAATCCCACTCGCTTGAATGAATCGAGGATGGCCTTAGCCACATGTTCTTTGGCAGAGCCATCCAAGAAGGGCCTGAAGTCAACTACAGAGATGCCATGAGCGTCTCCAAGGAGTACGGAAGACATCCTTCTGTCTGTGATAGTCGGGAACGAGTATGAATGTTCGCAGAACGCTGGATACGGAGCCTACTTGGGAGACAAAAGTGCTGATGAGTTACTCAGTACAATGCTTGTAACGACCCAGGTATCAGAAGCTATATGAGCGCGGAAGCGAACTCTCTTACCAAGCTATCAAGGTCTTTTCCCACTCCATCTCCGATTCGTCGTTGCTTATCGAGTACTGTTGTCCAAAAGCCCTTCTGCTGAGCGGTTAGTACCTCAGGATAGGGATGGGATCACTGGCTGGCGACGGGTTTTGCAAGTGCAGTCATGGACGACGACAACGTATGCAACAACGCTGTTATTGAACGGTTGTATGCGATTGTGGACTGACTTTCATTACGATTGTGCATCTATCCTCCGATTTCAAATGGTCGGTCCAGTGTAAATAGTAGTACCGCTCAGAATTGGCTGGATCTCGGAGCCGCCCGTATCTCGTACCTCCGGATTTTGAGTCACGTCCCCCAAGACGCCGTGCATCCGTTACTGATGCGTCACGTCTCTTAACAGGCAGGCCTCGCGAGTGCACGCTGACCATCGCCAACCGCCGCAACGCGTGTGCTTGCATCAGGAGTATATCTCTTTCAAAAGCCGTCGGTCTCCTCGAGCCTAGCTATATATAAAAATGCCGCAAGGCGATATATCAAGTAGCCTAAGGCGGACTACCGCTGGAGTTTCACGATATAATTCATTTATGCCTCCCATCTCGGCGACTCTAGCGCACAACGGGGACGTGGCACAAGTCGCGCGTACTCCACAATTTCAGAGAGGCTTACTCATAAACATCGTCGCGGATATCGGACTCTCAGACTGCAATTGAGAGCACCCTCAGGTGTATGACGATGGTGTTGAAAAATGACAACCCGCTTCGCAAAATGTGCGGGCTGAGACATCGCGCAAGGCTCACAGAGTTGTCCAGCTAGTGAACGCAAATCTTGGGTGCTCTCGCGAAGCTGCTGTTATGGAGCAAGCTCCTTCTATTGGACAAGGAGGTGCGCGCGACGACCGCGAGTGCGATTGCGCGCGTCCTGTCGGTCATGAGACGTGACGAAGTTGTAACGAATGCACGGCGTCTTGGGGGACGTGACTCAGAATCCGGAGGTACGAGATACGGGCGGCTCCGAGATCCAGCCAATTCTGAGCGGTACTAATGTCTAGACTCAACGTTCAACCTTCGAGCGCTACACTACAAGAAGTTGCGGCGAAGCGCCTGTCCCAGCGAGAGCGAACTGCAGCGGGAATTGCCTTTTAGGTCCGAGACTGACAATACCGGTACTCTACGCTCCTTTGGATACTGCGCGTTGAAGGTACCGGGATGACGATCCAGACGGCAACAGTGATATTCCCTCACCGCAGACACAGCGCGGCCGGGGAGCTCAAGCTTGTCGCAAAGCGTTACGTACCGGGGAGCCCTAGCTTAAATGGACCGACTCTGCTGTTCGCTCACTGTACCGGGTCACGTAAGTCCCTCCTCGTTCGCCACATTGCTGTTCCTTCACAGTGCATTGAGCTTCAGATGCGCAGACAAAGAAGTATGGGAGCCTACGATTGAACACCTCTTCCACTTCAAGGACGGAAATGGCATGTGTCTCGTACGTGAGGCATGGTCGTTCGACGCCCAGAACGCCGGAGAGGGTGCTGTAGTCAACGCCGCGGTCCTGGGTGACAAAAACATCGTTTGTGAGCGGCCCGTACCTATCCACGCTATATCGACTGACATCTTGTGGTCAGCTTTAAGTGACTTGGCAGATGGCGTGAAAGCCTTCGTTGCATCCGGTAAGCTCGACGGTCATCAGCTCGTCGCCATCGGGCATTCGGCGGGATCTTGCCTTGTGTAAGCAATACAGTTGCGTCACGGAGCTGTGGATCCTGAGTAAATTGGTTGTCTTTGATGCAGCGGCCTCACGACTGGGGGCGACGGATACCCAGCCATACGTTACAAAGCTGTCATATTGGTTGAACCCTCAATAGCCACAAAGGAGGCATGCTTCGAGAATAGGGAAGAACAGCTGATGGGAATCAGATTCATGATCAAGTCGATATCCAAGAGAAGAAACTTCTGGCCCGGCCGAGAGGAGGCTCGCGCCTTCTTCGCAAAAAGGGTCCCCTGGCAATTGTGGCATCCTCGTATCCTAGACCTGCTTGTGGTAAGCCCTGAAATGTCTTGCTTGCTATATGCTAGCTTCTCAATCTTTGCTTGCAATAGCAACATGCCATAAGGGATATCACAGGGAAAGACACACAGGCGGGAGCCAACAAAGTCACGCTGTGTTGCACTCCAAAACAAGAATGGTCCCAATATGAGCACGAGGAGCTTCACTATCGAGCCACGGAACTTCTCGCACGTGTCGACCCTTCCACGCCAATATATCTCGTCCTGGCAGAGAGGGTGGACTTCATGTCAGTTCTCCTGCTTCATGCTGCACGAACTCATAGTGACGCATACACGCACTTTCCTTTGTGCAGCCCTCAATGGTCCTATGACTCACTCCCGAAGCGACTCAATATCGCTTCGGTTCACACCGTTCCGGAAGCTGGTCATTTTGTAAGTAAGAGCACTCGAGGTCCCTGACAAGGATACCCACGGACAATCATAGGTCGTCCAAGAGAACCCCATAGGTGTCGCAAATATCCTCGCCGAAATCTTGGACAAGACGTTCAGCCCTACGGCCAAGGCGCGCATGTGACTCCGCTGCCAACACCAGCAGTAGAAGGGTTTCGTAACTATGCAATTCACCTATTTACAGGATCGCATCTGCGGGATAACATCATTGGATCGCAGGCTGAACATTTGTTTAAAGTCAGCGGTGGCAAGTAGTTGGAGTACCATGTATCCTAGTACGATACGCTTCCTCATTATGACTATGGTACAGCAAGTGAGTGGGGTGATAGGTTGTTACACGACGGTACAGATATCGATGAGTGAGATTCCTTCCCAATGACACATTCTTCAAATCTGTTGATGGACCAATACTCGCTGAGCGGACACAAGCTGGAGAAATCTGCCAAAACTGCGCGGCCGCCTGGAAAGCAACCACGCTCAAGCCGCCTCCCCACGCCTGTCTGTAATCTTTCGATGCGCCTCCTCAGCGAACCGCGCGGACTCGTCGCGCTCAAAGCTACGCCGCAGAGGAACAAGAAGCACAACTCCATCAGTACTCCTGCCAACGAATTGCTGCGAGAACACGGGTGACACGGCTTACCAGATGCGAGAGCCCTTAGTGGTCATATCGGGTTCCTGGAGTGCGAACGGGTTGATATCCGACTCATATTTGAGGCTCGCAAGGCTGTGGTTCACGAAACGGTGCGTGGACTCGTCGCTGCGGACCGCGTAGACGACGTCGAGGAACTTGGCGTCCGGCCCGAGACGCCAGTAGTCCTTGGCGATTTCCGGCGCCGGGAGGTTCGTCCTGAAAAGATCGGTCAGCATTCGTGGGGTGAGAAAGCGGCGCGATGTGGGTTTACGTACCACTCGGGCAGGCGACCGGCCTCTATCTCCTGGATGCAGCGAGTGTATGTGACGACAGCTTCTTCTTCGAGATGGCCGACGAATCGATGGCACGTGCTGGGTGAGATCAAGTAGCAGAGAACTGCGGAAGCTTGTCAGCAAAGCACGCGGCCACAAATAGCTGGCGAGCTTACAGAAAGCGTTGTAGAATACGCCCTGTGCGCCCAAAACCATGGCGCGAAACAGTCGCGACGGATTCTTGAGTGTCATGAAGGTCATGAGGTGCATCCGCTCGTTCTCCGCCTCTTCAAGCAGGGTATGTATCCAACCGTGATCCCGTCTCTGTAATGCGGAGGCGCATAATAGTCAGGCACACACCGATGGCAGGAACGATAGAAGCGCACTCACCATGAGACGCAAGCTACGGAGGTGCCGTAAGGCCGCTGCCACCATGCCAGGCACAGCCGCGATGCTCTCCAGGAAGAGAATGCGCTATCGGCCATGTGCACCGATCAGTCGGGTTCTGAGAGGCTCATGGGAGACGTACCCTGAGCCACTGAGACTCGTCCATTAGGTAACCGCCGTTGCGGAGTTCCTCCAGGGACATGGATGCGGCGTTAGTCGGGAGAGGCTTGTGTTTATAGCCGGAAGCAAAGTCGAAGGCCCATCTTGGTACATTCGGCGTTAGTCAATATGAACATCTATGAGCCACACCGACTTGAATCGGAGTACATTTACCTGGCAATTTTCACGAACGTATGTGCGACTCTGTCGGAGAATGTCTTTGCATCCCTGAACAAGACCTACATTCCCAGGTGGAAGGCGTCAGATTCAAGCATGCGGATGAAAGCGAGGCCAGGTAGACAGACCTCGACAGAACGAAGCTCTTCCGGGCTGTACACCGGATGGAATAGGACCCAATCGCCGCGGAGTTCTTCCGTGCTGGACGGGACTACCACCGGTGTCTTGGGAGACAAGTCCTCTGACAGACGCAAAGCTAGACATGAGCGACGACGTAGAGCAATTCGGAGTAGACGTAGACGGACTGATGTGAGGACCCTCAGCCCCGGGACCTATAATGGACTTTTCATTCGTCTTTGCCACCTGTAGGACTTTCTCGTCGCGCCTCGGGAACGAAGAGGCAAACGAGCGCCTCGAGTTTATTGCCGATGCCATGCATGGAGTGAGGAGCGCCCGGCGGAGAGGTAGCGCCCGGGCATTTATGGGTAGAATGCGACTCGCGACTTTAGGTGAGGGTAGCGCGTGCATCGTTTACGAGAATGAAGTAGCAGAGCACTAGTGCAGTGGAGAGGATCAGTGAGTGTACGAGGGGAAAAAATTGAGTGCGCGCACCGCTTTGCTATATAGCTGTGGATCGCAGAGGGGTCCGTAACGTTCCGACAGCCATCCCGAGGGTCACCGTTTCATATGTCAGAAGTGCCTCAGCGCTCATTGATGATATTGCCGGTGAGACGCATCGAATATGTGCCCACGAGAGGCCTCGACCACAGATTGGAGACATTCTAGGTGACCTCGGAATGCTAATGGTCTTGGTGTACCGCCAAGGCGTATCGTGGCAATGCTGTGCAGCGTTATGCTACGGTTGCCCATTTTGGTCAGATCACCAGCCAATCGCGCGTCCATAATTTCCAGCCAATCCGCGTTGGCATCGGTCTTTGTAGCTCCTGACACTGACACGATATAGGACTGAGGGTCTTGGCCGATGTGTAGCACATTTTCGCCATCGCGCCCCGCGAGGACGGAGCCCATGCCACGTTTGAAGCACCGCTAGGGGTGGATCGGGGATATTACATTTCGAGAGCCAACTTCTTTCTGAGGAATGAAGCGTACACGGGAGAACGCGCTGACTTGGAGACATCAGATACGATAACCTCCGTTCATAAGCCTCTCGGGAATACATTTCGAGGAGAGTTGAGCAGTACTTACGTTTGATGATTGGAGAATCTATGGCCACTTAGCGGCAAGTCTGACGTCAAGGGCCTGAAGCAACAATACCTCCGGGAATGTCGGGACAGATAGGAAGACAGATGTGATGAACCAGGAAGCCAGTTCTCCTGCCCGCCTCCTTCAAGACCGGACTCAAAATGCATTGCACGGACGCACCTGAATCAGTTCATCGCGACATCAACAGGGCAAGACCGTATGGCTGAAGGCAACACCCCTTGCTCGGCGTCATGTCAATGCTAAACATAGCTGTGCGGCCTCGGTTGCTGTCGGGTCACGGGCTGGACGGGGTCGGAAGGGCGTCGAATCCGTTCAAGAACCTGGGATAACAATAGCATGATCCTCGTAGAACCCGACTTGCCGGCGCTCCCCCCTTTCTTTGTGAATACTAGGCCTTCCTCCGCCTCCGTGCCCGAGGGACTCGGGTCACTCTCACGGGTCTGGGCGAGGGGAGACTGGCTGTTTCCGTGAAGCGGGGGGCGTGCGGGCCGCGCTTGATTTACGCGAGCGGCAGCTTAACGGCCGTCGCATGCTGCGCACAACGGCAGTGTGCGTGGGGATAGCACCCGGGTGACTTCTGCCCTTCGTTTGAGTGACCGGGAGGCGAAAGCATGACATATGATACGCCAAGGGCGACACAGAGCGTCCACCAGGAAGCCCGACAGCACCGTGAGCTCTGTCTCGCAAAAATCCGTGAGGAAGTGTAGTAATTCAGCGTGTGAGTACGACATGTGGTACCTGGCTGTACAGGTAAATGTGTGTCATGTCACCACACGATGATTGTTCCCAATATCCGGTGGGCGCGGGGAACGGCAGTGCAGTGTCGGCCAACGTCTTTATAACTCCGGCTCTGACGAAACCAGGTCCGAAGGAGATCTTCCCACGTAATCTCTCACCGGCCATATAACATCGGACCGGATGTTGTCAAATGGGAGCAATTCATTCCCGTTTGGCGCGGGAATTCCAAATTCATACGCATCATGGGTGCGTGCCGAGGGTCGTTGGAATCTGATAGGATGCGGACAGAGTTGAGTTTATAGTCAGGTGCTTCGCGATGTGGGATGTAATGCGTACCAGCGGGGATCTCCTGAACCTTGGGCGGCCGCAGGCGTTTCGGGTTTGGTCGTATCTGCGCCGACAAGCTTCTGTTCCTCAGGAGAGAGGGAGAAAAAGGCAGCTTTTTGTGCCTCTAGCCAGCGCCTCGGCTTGACGCATGATATGAGCTGGCAGTGAGACACGACGGCAGAGGGAGTAAACAAACCGGAGAGAATACGTGCTCGTGGTCGCCGAAGTCCGCAAAGAAGACGGCGTACAGGATCGCAGCTGGTGAGGAACGTATCCGGAGGTATAAGAGCATGTCCGACGACGAGCATTGACCAACACGGCACTAACTGGGCACAATGAGGAAGTTGGCTATTCGCGAGACGGGCGCGACCCACGCCCGGACCCTGGGCTGTTCACCAACCCTGCCCTTGGGTTCTGGCCATAGATTTGACTTTCTACTAGCACTCCTAGCCCAGGTGTAGGGAGGACTCGACGAGGGATATGATCTGCGAGAAACGCGGGAGGAGCGAGGCAGCATGGAGGAGGTTGCAAGCTGGAACGCGGACGGAGCGCCGGAATCGGACACTGGCTCGCGTCGGCTCCGATTGCGGCCAAATGGGGGGTTAGCGGTTGCTTAGCGGAGTACTTAAATATTGAATCCGCACGAAATAAAGGAAGGCTCGGAGGTCCAGCGGTCCGCTCTTTTCGGCCAGCCTCAACCTCAGGCGCTGGCGCACAGTGTCCCCGTCCTGCGCTCGTCTCCGGTCCATCCTTCTCTCCCGTCCTCGAGCATGAGCTCTATCCACGAAGCCCCGCATCCCGACTACCTCCCGCCCTCAAAGCGGCCCAGAGTCGAAAATGTACCCCTCCCTCCGCCTCCCGCCTTCTCGCCAGGCCCCCCTGGTCCAAGTACAGCTCCCATCCCCGACCAAGACGGAGCGGCTGACGCCGCGGCTAAGAAGAACAGGAAACGGCCGCTGTCCTGTGGGGAATGTAGGAGGTGCGTCTCCTACCCTCCTTACACCTTCAATGACTTACCCGTACCGTACTCACTTCCAGGTTGAAGCTCAAGGTGCGCCCCGACGCGTGGTGATGCTCTGACGCCTAGCTTATGTTCCCTGGACAGTGCGATCGCGTATTTCCTTGTCAGTCATGTTGCAAGAGAGGGTGTGCGGAAATATGCCCAGACGGTGCATTGACCGGTGGCAAGGGCAGCAGGTGTGTACGGCTCCCTCTCGCTCCTCACAATGTTGGTTTAACGGCGCTTTGGCAATTTGCGAAATATGGCAGGTTCATCCTGGCCAACACTGAGCAGCTTCACGACAAAATCAAGTCTATGAGCTTTCGCATACGCGAGCTAGAGGACGCCCTGCATGAACTCCAGTCCGGACATCCCCTGCTGCGGGAGGACTTGCTGCTCATCAAGAAGTCAGCCGACCTCTTCGGCGTAGATCCAAACCAGGTGCAATCGCCGGCGACGGACGGTAGCAAGCGTAGTGAAAGCCAGCATGCTTCATTCAATCCAATCTCTCCACCTACGCTGAGTGATGTAAGTTCTTTCCGAGTCGTTTGACGACGAAGACATCGCAGCTTAACACAATCGATTCAGCGACAAAGTCAATCTCCACCCGTCAGCAGTCACCGAGAAGACTATGGCATTCCCCCAGACCTCATGGCAGTCAGCGACAGATTCCCAGCTCCTAGCGGTCTTGGCAACGACCTCAACCCGACGCTACGTAAACGGATAGTGGACTTGCTTCCCCCCCAGAACGAAGCTCGCTATCTATGTGAGCAAGCAGCAGAACATGCAGCCTGGCAGTGCGTCTAAGCCCCTTTCTTCCATTCCTTTACGGCCGAATATGGCAGCCTCTGGCTATCATTCGACTTCTTTGAGGCTGACTAATACTGGGCACGCAGCCAAAACTCGGACGGTAGCGACGGCGTGCCGAACATGGTGCACAGCGTATACAACGCAAACACTGCAACGCTCAACCCACACCGACTGTCGTACTTTCTCATTATTCTCGCCATTGGCGTCTGCGTGGATCAGCGGCGCAGTCATCGCGCATGGTCGCATGATGCAGAGCGGTTCCACCAGCTTTCAAGAGCGGCGTTATGTGAGACCTCGGTCATTAACGAGCCGAGCATAGACGCGATTAACGCGCTGGTGCGTGCACTTTCATGTGCTGCGGGTCTCCCCAACTGACACCATATTGACAGTTCTACATGTCGCGGTATCTGACCATGTTCTCGGTGGAGAAAGAGGCGGTTGAGTACGCATGGGCGGTCCTGGTTCGTCGGACGATTCTATCGGTCATCATCGACGACTCACACTGAGTTTCATCCTGGCAGGGCATTGCAGCTAAGCTGGCTGTTGGTGTACGTCACGGCTTACTCTCGATCGCGCTCAGGTAGTTCCTGACCCTTATTGCGTTGACAGATCGGTCTTAGTGAGTATTAGAATCGTCACACCCCGTGAACGCTTTACTGACTTTCATGGGCGACATCAGACCGCCATAGTAATCGCTCGAAAGTCATCCCGGAAGAACTAGACAGGCGGAAAACGCTTCTCTGGTGCCTGCTCAACGTGGACCACCGTCTGGTGAGATCTTGTTCATCTCAGCCCATGGCCGTTTGAATCTGTTAGGCTGATTACTTAACGCCGTCGTACAGGGTTTGATGCTGCGGCGTCCCCCTTCCATATCCTTGCGATATGTTGACGTAGATCCTCCCACTACCAGCGAGTTTCCGCCGCAGGGCCCTCGGGAAGTTTGTGCGTGTTTCATCTGCCCTGGCATGCACCTGATGGTTCTGATACTTCCCGGGCTCATTCGACCACCGTCAGACCAACGATGGCACTACACGTTTACAGCGCAGTGCTTCTCACCCACCCTCGAGTTCGTCGCGTCGACGACCCCTCCGCCCTACTCGGAAGTTCTCAAGCTCGACGCCCGAATGCGGGATTTTGAGCCACCTGCGTTCATGCAAGTCACGCCGGGGACTGGTTCCGGCAATGCACTTTGCGTCGTTCAGACCTGGACGCACATGACCCGCGAAGTCGGTACGTGCTGTAAGCAAGTTGCCGGGATAGCCGAGTTTAATGAAACCTCCGCAGCAATCCTGAACCTGCATAGGCAGTACTTTACACAGGCGCTTAGTGAAGGCTTTTGGGCGAATCACAAATATGCTCCTTCGGTCGTTGCTGTCTACCAGTCCTCGCTGAGCCTGCTCTGGTGTTTGGAGACCTATTACAGACAGCAGCCCGAGTATTCGGTCAGAAACCAGATGCTCTGGGCGAACGGGCTGTCCTCAGCCGTAAGTTCCGATGCTGTCGGACATTCTACGTTGTTGCTTGAGCTAACCACTGCGTTGGCAGATCGCATTATCAGTCTTGGTCACCCGAGTTCCGCCATCGGTGATGGCTTCCAACGCGTTGCTCGAGCTCGCGAAGGTCCTCCGACTGTTCACGGACGTGAGCGACCGGTGCCCGATCGCAGCGAAGGCCTGTGTGAGTAGACCTCTATCTTATACATTGGCTACCCCTGACCGATCACAACGGCGAACAGTCCATCATCGAAACGCTCTTCCAACGCTCCCGGTCGAGTTACCTCCACAGCCGATACGGCACGCATCCAGACTACCCACTCCTCGAAGACGAAGTGTGCAAGATCGGCCTTCGCTCCGGGATCGTCTTCCCGCCGGCACACACCGCAGGGCCGGTCGGCAGCGAATCCGAGCTCTCGTCGTTCCCGCTCGAGAACACGCACGCGTCGCTCGTCCGGGCGTACGAGGAGGCGACGTCGACCGTGCCCCCGCCGAACGACCCCGTCCTCATGCCCGGCCAGATCCACCTCGGGCCGTCTTCGTCCAGCCAGAACGGCGGCGGGGGCCGGAACGGGTCGACACCCTCGACGGGCTTCGGCGTCTCTGCTGAGCGGTCCGGGTGCCAGAACGACGCGTACGGGAGCATGGTGAACATGAATGTGGGCATGCCGACGGCCGGGTTCGCCGCCGTCGCCGCAGGGGGGCAGCCGCAGAACTTCAAGTGGCTGAGCGCGGAGTACAGCGACAACAGCTGGATGACGTGGTTCTAGGTATTTGGCTCTTCGCCTTTGGCCTCTGCGTGTCCTCCGGCTTGCTGTGCTGCGGGCTCCTGTCCCTGGACTTGCCATCGTTGGCCTGTCATGTTAGATCGTCCCATAATCTTGTTATGTATGCTTCCTCACTATGATTTCATAAGCATATACGAGACGTTAGGTATCAGGGTTGGGGGGGTAGTAGGATAGGAAATCTGTTAAATTGACGAGATGCTGCGAGTGGCTGACCATGGGTAAGAGGATGGTCGCTGGACATCTGTAGCTTAGATGCATGTACGACTCTTCTTGATGCCTTTCAGCTTATGCTGCTATTGCGAATGATATAATATCCGATACACTTCTTATTACGCCTCCCCTCCGTCAACGCTGCCGAAGAGTCGAAAATCGTCCACATACGAGGATGAGGGTTCGTGACCTGAATCTTGTAGGCTGGCAGGGCAAAGCTCTCGTTGCCGACCGTGGTTCAAGGGGCAAGCCGCGCGATCTTCCACTGGGGCGCGTCGTCTGGTGAACCTTCAACTCGGGTGTATAGTACGCGATCGTGAAGACGAGAGGGCTTTCCAAGCCAGAACTCGACCTCACTGCAAGAGTGAATACGCACGTCAGTCGTTCGACGCCGTTGCACAACGAAGAAATGCAAGGGACTCACTCGGGGATGATCCTCCACCCGCCCCAGAACTCAGGTGCGGGGACCTGGTCTCCAAACCTCTGCTTCAGCTTCTCCGCTCGCGCCTGCACCTCGCCCTCTGCCACCTCGCTGCTCTGTCTGCTCGCCCACGCCCCGATCTGTGACCCCAGCGGACGCGAGTGGAAGTACTCCTCGCTCTCCTCTCGGGCCACACGCTCCACCCGGCCGACGACGCGCACCTGCTTCGAGACCTCGCGCCAGTAGAAGTTGAGTGCGGCGCGCGGGTTCTCCGCGAGCTCACGCGACTTGCGCGAGGTGTAGTTCGTGTAGAAGACGAAGCCGCGCGAATCGACCTGCTTCAGCAGCACGGTCCGCGCGGAGGGCACCCCGGACGCGGTCGCCGTGCAGACGGTCATGGCCTCGGGCTCGCGCACGCTGCTCTGGACGGCGGTGAACCACTGACGGAACTGCGCGAGGGGGTCGGGGAGCACGTTCTCGGGAGTGAGGTGCTCGGGGGTGTCGTACTGCTGGTGTGCGGTTACTTTAAGCTCGTCGGGGGAGGGCTGGGAGATCGAGGTGCCTGTTGTCATTGTGAGCGTTCGACAGGTCGACGGTGACGATTTGGCCGTGATGAGCGAAGACCGCAGGGATGTTTGGAGGGAAGTTGTTCGTTTGGAGGACAGCGCAAGGACAGAGAACGCGGAAGACGGTCGAGTCAGAGAGCGCATGAGCTCAGAAGCCATGATCATGCGCGCGCGCGATGTCCAGAGATTACTTACCATCCAGACCAGCATCGGGGCCCTGGGCTGGGCTACGAAGCCGACGTCATCGCGTGTCTATTTACGAGAACTGACGAGAGCCATAACGAACCACGTTACAGGCGCGAAGACAGCCTGTGAGACGCTTGAGATTTCGGGAGTAAGTATTGAGCTTGTCTGGGGTGCAAGACGATTGTTTGCTGAAGGTTAGAGAAGATCGCAGTGGGACTGTGCCAGGGCCCAGAGCAGGTCTGGGATTGCGACGTACGCACTGGAGGCTAATCACTCACTCTATCTAGACGACTTGCTCTGCGCCCGGCTAAATCGTCGGATTATGACTCGGATAGAGGACGAAGGTGCGAGTCTGGACTTTAATGCGTTACTCAAGGGGGCAACACCGAGAGCCTTTAAGACACCTTGAACGCTCTCTGCTGGGCCCTGACTCTCGAATGGGGCTCGCACAAAGTTCGGCTCTCAATCGACCTGAGCACTTTGTTCGAAGGGGCCCGATGAGACGCAAACCGCCTTATCGACAGGTTCAGCTGATTCTCCTCGGCGATCCACCTGCGGCCGAGATAGCCTACGATGCTAGAGCCTTTGGGAAGTGCGTAGGAACGCCCTGCATCTCTTCCTTGACATTTGTGGCTGTCTCCAGCATTTCAAGTGAGAAACTTGTGAAAAATGTTTGTGCGTAGAAGACGATCGCCAGGAACGTGTGTCATGCCTTCATCGCTCAAACAGGAACACAAGCACGCAAAATCAGTGTAGGAGTAGGAACGGACTCGGCAGAAGGACAGCTTGGTGCCTCCGATGGTCAGTTCAGTTGTCGCGTGAATGCAACTGTGAGCAGGTCGATTCTTAGAGCAGGTAGTCCGGACGACAAGAAGCTTTAAGGCCATATGGCTCACACATTTGAGGAGTCATCTGCAGCTAGGTGCACCTCAGGAACGGGCGCGTTTTGGAACTTGCCAGCGTATGCCTCATCGACGTGCACGAACCTCGGCCGTCCTGGGACAGCCTACGATACGGCAGAACTTGAGATAACGACGATCGCATACGCAGTCCTCGGTCGTCTGCTGCTGGCGTTCGGCACGACGTTGGGCTGCCCTGTGAAAATGTTATCTGACCGCTACACACTCGACGGTACACCACTTCCGGTTCATGCATACCGTGCAGCCACTGTCCAGTCTCTCCTCGCCATGATTTGCCTGCTAGTGGGATAGAATAACGCACGTGGATGACCGCAGATAATGTATGTCTACTTATGCTGTTAAAAGACCTTAACCTTGTACGACAAAACTGAATGTACGTATACGGTGCTTACATGTCAGCTATGTATGGGCGGGGATGGGTCAGCGGCCGGCTTGGAATCACCCTAGCCAAGCTCACATTTGATCGGTAGTGTTCCTGGTTATTTCTGGAAGGGGCCTCGCGGAATAACCAAGCCCGACTAGGTCTGCCAGCCGAAACGTCGCCGTTGTCCGATGCATGCATCCTGTGACCTTCACGCTGGTTGTGAGGTTGCGGGGCCTTGCCCTAGCGTCTCCTCGCAGGGCACTCGAGGACGAGCCCGAGGAAACCAAGGGAACCAGGTGACCGGGCTTACGTTGCTGTAAGTTTTGGGTGGGACTCCTGCACGCTGCGCCAGAGATATGGAGGGAACCGGGCAGGGTCCACAGGGCCTGATCTCGTCATCGCTACGTGCTTGGCTCAACCGCCACTCTGGGCTAGAGCTTCTCCTTATCGTATGCGATGAAGGCTCACCGCGTTCTCCATGGAAGATCGTATTCCTAGACCAAGCTGAACGGGATCTTGACACGCGAGCCGAGACTCTTCAACTTCGAGATCGGCCGGGGTAACAGACGGTCCATCAAAGAGGTTTAGACTTCCAGGAGACTATGGCCGATACATACTGTACGTATCACGACATGTCCTAGCGTCGCTTGGCGCCGGGCGCGAAGTACGAAGAGCCGAAACAATCTTACCGCCGCGACGTCTCGCACAAGACGAGCGCCACCAACGTTAAACGGGCAAATGCCGATCTACGAGCGATTGTACTTGTGTAGGGCGCCGACGGCGGGCTCGGCCAAATATTGGAATATTGAGGGGAACTGGAGTTTCAGTTTCAGCCGCGCCTGCTAGGATGCGACGAACGGCTAGCTGCTAGCACGACGAACGGACGTCGGGCATGTTTCGGAGCGTGCTAAGTCCGTATTCCGGGCTGCAACGGTGGCGTGCCCGCAGCTGCATGCTAGTCTGCTGATTCCACGAGACATGGGAAGGATCGTCGGGGCAAACATCCAAGCCGGTGACCATGAACGCATCGTGTGAGCTATGTTCGCGAGATACGCACTGAGGAGAAAAGATGTACGGGGACGACCGTAACGTGTTGCTAGCAACGTGAGAGACGTTCTCTCACCAGCTCCGTGTTTGGAACGAACGTTGACAGTGGAGCCTCGGTGACCGTGATGATTGGATTCGAGCAACCACCAGCCCATGGATGCAGAGATAAGCAGACGTATCTAGGGTAGACAGATGTGTGATTCTCCAGCGCAAGGAAGCCTCGAGAAGAGAAGTAGGTCAAGCACGTCGGTCCTTTTCACCATGGCAGTTCTGAAAGATGTTCGGCTGCGTTCCCGTTGGTGGATGGGGATCGGACCCGAGTGACGTGAGAGCAAAGGAGCGGCCTGAACGTACTTAAGTACGTTAGTGGCATGCCCAGCGTTGACGGGGATAGCCACGTCAATCACCGACAGGCCACTGAAGTGACGAGGAATAGTGGCAATTTGTATTGGGCAATGATGCATTGCGGCCATGACCATCGTGGCAAGGGAGAATGCCGTAAAGACGTGCAAATGCGGATAGCTGGCACGCGGACGTGGGTGTCTGATATGTAGTGCAGAGTCCCAATAGACTCGGTCGGGAGTAGCAGTAGTGAGACGGACTAGAAGCCACCGGGGGTGCGTGTGATTCGTGCGACTGTGCATACGCTGCGAGAACTGCTTAGGTCAGATGAATCGTAGCAATTCTGTTGCGCCACCGACAAATTTAGGAAGGCATGCGGTCACCAGGGGAGTCTTGGTGGTTGGACTCGGCGATGGTGGAATGCTTGTGATACGGGTAGCGCCGACTTCGCGTAGAGCCGGGGAATGTGCGGCTGCAACGACGTCTCTAAGTGGTGAGCGTGAACGAAGAGATGGAAGTGCTGTATGTATAACAGCTGTTCCGGCTGGGACCTGTAGAGGACGTCGAAGAGAGAACTCTGGTCACAGAAACGGTGGGATCACGCGAGATCGGTCGTCGAGATGGGATGCCCGTTCAGGCAAGCGGCGTTTATAATCCCGCCCATGGGTGGACGGTTTTGCCGTAAGCTGTACCAGCCCTGCTTTTCCTCCCTCCGTCCCAAACCCTCCCATCCCAAGCGTTCCTTTCCTCCTCGCAGTTCTTCCTAGGGCCCCGTCGCGGGTGTCTGCACCCCCTCTCCGAGGCTCCAACGGTCATGTATCCCATCTCCGATCTCACGGCGTTCTGCCGCAAGACCACCGGGGATGTACCTCCCAAGCTCGTGGTACGTACTCGGTGCTTCATCAAGTCACAGCTTTCAGACATAATGCGTGTGTACGTGTAGGGCGCGTCCACCACGGTCATAGGGTCCAAAATGTACCTCTATGTGAGTCTCTATCCTACAGACACGCGAAGACATTCCTGCTGAGCGTGACCATGCTCGGCTTCACGAATGTAGGGGGGACGTTTGGTCTCAGAGCGCAAAATGGTGTCGGATATCTATCAGTTCGACCTCGAGACCTTCAAGTGGGAGAAGGTGCCCCAATCTCCCGATGATGATATCCCCCAGGCGCGTTACTTCCACAGCGCTGATACATGTACGTCTTCCTTTACGGCAAGAACCGCCAATGTCCTTCCTTCGGAATTGACGTCGCACGCATTTACACAGGGCGGAATCATCTTATCATCTTTGGAGGCATGGCGATAAAGCCACAATCCGACAATCCGGAGGATCTGTGCGTTCTGAACGATGTCCGTCTCTTTGATCTCACCACCCGGCACTGGCTTCCTGGTGCGCCCATCTCCGCCGATTCTTCCCTCGTTCCGAACGCACGTTACGCACATCTGTCCTCTGTGACTGCGGATCGACTGTTCATCATCGGCGGCCAAGACCTTGCCAACGTCTGGCTGGATGACGTCTACATCTTCGACCTTGTCGCGAGAACATGGATTCAGCGCCGCGATTACCCCAGGCACTGTGGTACATACCGAAGTGTAGCAGTCACATCCGACCAACGCGTTCGCCTTCCACAGGACGAGCTACGGAGTCTCAACCAGTCCACGACGAGGCTTGGCCAACCTGGAACACGGTTCAACATCGACAAGAAGGCACCCCCTGCCCCAAACGTGACGCAGAGCGAGTCCTTGATTTACCTCCCGTACTCCGCTGCGCCTACCGACGATTATCCCTGTGATATCTTCCTCTTCAGCAACTACAACGTAAGTCGTCTTTGACGCAATCCACCATGCGGCCGACTGTTCGCTCATGTTTCTATATTTGTTGTGTAGTTCACCGATGTTCAGCGTGAGCTGGAGGTGTTCACTCCTCTGTCGGATGGCGATTTTACTGTGTCCGACCGGTCATCGTCTATGACCGGTGCCTCCTTCCCACCTGGTCTGCGCTTTCCTACGGGCGCAATTCTCGGCACATTCTTCATCGTAGCAGGCACCTATCTCTCGCAGACTTACCAATCCTTCTCTATCTGGGCCTTGGATCTGATTAACATGACTTGGTCTCGGATTGACCCGGGCAGTGCTCTCGCGTCCGGCTCCTGGTTCCGCAGCTGCTTGTGGGCGTCTGCCAATAAGTTTGTCGTTTTCGGAAATCGACATGGGAATCTGGTAGAAGACTACAACCGTCGGCTCCTTAGCTGGGATCACGTCACCTGCATTGACCTGGAGGCGTTTGGGATATACCAGCCGCCCCCTCTTCAGCTTGACATCCCAATGCAGGAGCTTGGTTTGGCCGCGTTGGAGGAGGGCCTCATGTCTGACTTCGAGATTATCTGCGACGATGGACGAAGAATCAAGGTTTCGCGGAGACTCTTGGAGGAGCGCTGGCCTTGGTTTAGAGAACAGCGGAAGCTGTTCTTACAGGCTGCCTCTCGTGCGCTGGAGACAATGCCGGCCGTCGCTTCGCACTCTCCCAATCCGGACGTTCCGACCGCCGTCCGCCAAGAACCTCGACCAGATCCTCGCCTCGCTTCCCGAGCGTTCAATCTCTCAGAACCGTACCCCATCGCGCTAGCGTTCATGCAGTACTTCTATTCCATGGCATTGATCACTCCACTCCAGCATGCACCCGCAGTCTTGAGCCAACTTCTGCTCCTGTCGAGCACGTATCAACTTGACCACCTGCAGTCGCTTGTCAAGCACGCGATGCATCGCGCGCTGAGCTACGCGACCTCTGTCGGCATCTACGGTGTGTCCACGCTCTGCAGCTGCAGGAGTCTCCAAATCAGGTAAGGGTTCGGTTGAGATCCCACGTGTATCGCATACTCACGAACGATCTCGCTTGTCGCCTGTCAATGGGAACTCCAAAAGAGCGCTGCGTGTTGTTATGGTGGGCAAACTTCTCCCGTACCCGCGAAATATAATAGAGTTCTGACAAACATTGCTCCGCGCCCGCGCGCGATACAGGCGTACTCACAGAAACGGCCCGCGGGCGGTCGGGCGAAGAACGACAAGGATGGGGGTGGGGGTGGAGGTGCAGGCGGTAGAAGTTCAGATGCTAGCGGCGGCAGTGGCGGCAACGGGCGCCTTGATGCGCCGACTGCGGCGCGCCCACGCGGAATGTCCGATGCATCTTATATGCGCGGAGCATCGGATGGCGGAGGGCCAAACACACGCGGGTTCGCACGGGGGGTAGCACCATCAGCAGCTTCATCAAACAGTGAGTACTAGTACTTAGCCGTAAATAGACCACCTGTCTTGGCTGTGCTTGCCCTCGGTTTAACACCATGTCCCGCCTTCGCTCACCCTCGCGTCCCTCAGCGTCCGAGTCCCTCTTCGTGCTTGCGGACCTACAGGAGTTCGGCATCCCTGGCCAGCAGATGCCGCTGCCCTCTGCGGCAGCTCTCGCTAGCCTCGCGGACGCGGCGACATGGAGCCCGCCGGCATCAAGCTCCAGGAGGCTGTCCGACACGTCGATGGTTCTTCCATCTATGGACGAGGAGACGTATCTGGACTTCACCCCGGGGACGACGCCTGTCACTCCTGGTACGTTTCTCGTTGTATGCGTTACCATCAGCGGCGATCCTAAATTCCGACGCGCAGTGCGTCCCCCACCTCCCAGCCTTCCCCTGCCAAGTCCTCCCCAGCAGCGGCTGGAGCTGCCTGACCCGAGGCGGGCAGGTTCACTCGGGACCCTCTCTGCTCTGCCCGCCCGTTCCTCCGAACACCTCCCTCTCAAAAGCCTCCCTATTCCCCGTCCGAGGCGTATGGAATCTATGGACTCCGTTTCTTCCTCGCGGAGTAGGCATGGCGCGAGGTCGGCCCCGTCCCCTCCTCCTGATTACGGCGTTGCCCCCGACTCCCGTCCGTTCAGCGTCATGTCCCAGTCCACGGAGCAAGACCTGCTGGCTATCGCGGAGATGCTGTCACCCGCGGTCGACGTCAGCACGATGGAAATGGAACCCATCCCTGAGGGTCCTTCGGAAGAGCTCGATTCGTTTGACGACATGTTCGCAGACGAGATCACCGCGTCTCGCGCTATTCGCGACTCTTTCGGGACTGTTCCCTCTGACTACTCTCAGCGGTCGTCGCATCGCGACTCGAGGACCTCGAACCTCTCCGTGTCGGTGTACTCCGACTCGGACGGTGGGTCGTACATGGGCGACGAGTTCCCCGACCCCGCGCTGCTGTCCCCTCCCTCGCATCGCGGGAACCGTGGCTTCCAGCTCCACCGCGGGTCGCTTATCCCGCCGCCATTGGACGATTCGCGCTCCTTATCTTCGTCGACTTCGTACAGTTCCCTTCGCACGCCCAGCCTCAGCCGCACATCTTCCCTCGCTTACCTCGCGTCGCCACCCGTCAGTCCCACATCACCCCACGCTCCAAGCGACACCGCCGGCCCTTCCTCACCGTCCGTGTCGAACCCGAACGCGAAGCTGCTCGGCATCATTGAGGAATCGCTGCATGCCGAAGAGGCCGGGGGCGAGCATTACCACTCCCGCAACACATCTGAGGCTACGGAGACGTTCATCCTCGAGGACTATCTGAACGATGAAGAGACTCCTCAGCGGCAAGAGTTCCCTTCACGCAGCGCCCACGCCTATGCGAACCATGACGAGGAACGTCAGCCGTCCAGGAGCGAGTCGAGACAGGGCGCTATGCGTAGCCCGTCAGGGTCTCATCACAAGGGTGAACCCTACAGTCCGCTCTGGAGCCCTGCGATGTCACGCAGCGAGTCGAGGACCGATTCGTATCGCACGGCTTCTCGAAGTCCTCAGCCAGCCCGCAGACCGCCCGCTCTGCACCTTCAGATCTCTGGTCCGGCAGCCTCGCCTGCATCCGCGCCGCCAGCCGAGTTGGCCGCGACTTCGCCATTCGGTGCTCAGCCCTTCCGTCCGCAGAGGCGGTCCACTCAAGCTCTCCCGCCCCAGCCGCGTCTGCCTCTGGCCGCCCAGCTGGGCCAGGCCTCGCCTGTCGTGGACGAGCGCCGCGACAGCGCGCCGTACGCACGCGAGATGCAGTCGCCGTTTGGGAACCTTCGTTCGCCCCCGCTGAGCTCGCCCTACTCGTCTGGTTCGCGCGAGCCGTACACTCCCCACACGCCCAGGTTCGCGTCTCCGTCGGACTACTCGCCGGATGCCACTTCTCCTCCTCCGCTCTTCGCCGACAGGCCTTCTTCGTCCTTGGCGAACGGCGTCCTGCATCAGCCCGCCAGGCCCGAGATCAAGAAGGCGAAGTCGTCGTCGAACTTACCGCCAGTCCCGCTCTCGCCCGTGATGTCGGTCGACTCGGACGTGTCCTCGAACGACAAGCGCAGCGTCAAGTCCGGCATCGGGAAGCTGTTCGGGAAGAACGGCAGCAGCACGGGGAGCGACAAGAGCCTCAAGGAGGCGAAGAAGAGCAAGGACCCGTCCGCCCGGTACTCGAGCACGTCGTCCTCGGACTCCAATGTCACTCTCGCCGACCCAAAGGCGGAGGCGAAGCGCCTCAAGAAGGAGGCCGCGAAGGCACGCACGGAGCGCCTCGCGCAGGACCTCGCGGACAAGGCGAAGCGGCGCGCGGAGGAGGCCAAGACGGCGAAGGCCAATTACGTCAAGCAGAAGTCGCAGCGCCCCTGGGAGGAGAGCGGCGGCTTGTACGAGGGCATCTCCTACTTCTGACGGTCCGACTACTTGGGTCTGGTTGTGTTCTCGCTGCTCTATGCTCGTGCTTCATCATCCTGTTCGCTCACACTAGACGACTATCGCTCCCCGGTTCCAGCTCCGGTCACCTCCTCCTGGACTTCCCAATTGTTGTAAATACTGTCATTCAGCCTTCGTGTTTCGCGTACGCTCCTTACCCGGGTTATTTCGCGGAGGTGACATAATATTTGTAGGCTAGTGCTCTGCCTTCCTCTCCTTGTTTGTTTTACTACCCAGCCTCCACCTTTCCCCGTATACCAGACAGCCCGTGCTCTGATAACTTAGCTGCCTGTGCAGAAGGCGGCTACGTCCCCTTCCCCTCGTTTAGGTCTCTGTTGTGGCTACGCCTGTTGTGTGTTGTGCACTATTATCAGACCCATCCTATGCGTGAACTCATTGCGTGATTCATCGCCTCGAACCGACTCCCCAACACGCTGAACACGTAATAATGCAGGTACTAAGTAGTGGAATACGTCGAGGTAGAAACTAAGCGGGACAAACATCGTGAGTAGTGCTCATTCGGGACCGATCGTGCGAGACAGCGCGCGAACCAGACGTAGGCCGCGGCGTAGTATAGGTACATATTGTGAGACAATCCTTCTAGATTCCGGCCAACCAACCTAAAACTTCGATAAAAGCGAAGACAGCAACGCAACGAGCGACGGGTAAACGTAAATACAAAGTGGAGCAGAAGGTTCGGTGAGTAAGCGTAATGTAAAGATCGACAGAACGCGACAATGAAGCAGGATCTCCCGCCCACCACGATTCGCGGGATCGCAGCAACCAAGCCGATCTCGTACCCACGGTATGACCGCGGACCGAAGAAGCTCTCAGAGCATCAGCCCTTTACAGCAGCGCGTCGACCTCGTCGCGGAAGTCCTGGGAGGAGGGCGCCGAGCGGTAGTTGGCGAACAACTCAGTCGGGGGTACGCTGAACGGAATGCGCGGGGTTGGCGGAAGGGGGAGGTCGTCGTCTTCTACTGCGGCGGCAACAGCCGCCGCGAAAGCATCAGCCCGAGGCCCGTGTGCTGCTTCGAGCTCGGGCGCGGGGATCGCGGCGGCCAGTGGTGGGAAATCGACGGCAGATCGCACATTGGGTTCGCGGGCGGGGGCTGATTGAGGTGCGGGCTCAACTGCAGGATGAGGCTCGGGCGGTGCAATGATGTGGTTGACTGGGGAAGGAATGCGGCATGTCAGTGATCAAGTACGTGTTCGGGACGTGGCATCACTGATACGAGCAGAACTTACACTCTTTCGCATGCGCTGGTGAAACATGGAGGAGGATATCAGCACCCAGCCAACGTCTGCGACGATGATAGCGAATGATACGGACCGTGAAGCTTCTGTCTCGGGCATTGGCTCCCCTCAGGGCAATCCGGCCGTGCCAGAACATGGCGCTCGAGGAAGCCCTTCTTGCGCTCACGAACCCACCAATCACGCAGCCCATACAGGAGGATCTCAGCCGCGCACACTCTACAGATCCTCGAACGCGGCGCGCTAGGATCGGGATCAACACCACCCGATGTAGAGTGAACATCCATAAACAGCTCGAGCTCGATGAGGGGCGCGAACTGGCGGGGTTGATTTTGAATATGCTGGATAATCTGGGCAACGATAAAGTCTGTGTTTGACAACCGAAACGATCCGATACAGCTATGACGACATACCTCTCGGTAGATGTGCTTGGGGGTGAGACCTTGCGCGCTCAGATAGTCCAGCATGATATCGACCTCGACTGTGTTGCCTTCAAAACATTCATATACTTCACCGCACTGGATGAGGTCGCTCAAGTCTGTCAGACCGTGAGGTTGCGCGTTCTGAATTGGCCCCGCTATGCACCGTATAGGCACGTTAATGCCGCAGAACGAGACCTGACAGAAATCGCATCGGGTTGTCGTAGGAGCTTGCAGGGCAAGTATATTCTCGCTGGTAGCACAAGTAAGGCACATGCCAATTCCAGAAGTAGGCACAACGCACCAATTTCCACAAACACCGTGCCCAGGAGGACTGCCTTCGTCGATAGGCCACGCGTTAGTCGGGTCCACATCAGGGTCGACGATGGGTTGAGGACACCTCCAACCCCATTGGTTTCCGGGGATGCAGTTCGGGCAGGGTCGAACGTACATGCCGTTTACACTGGACAGGGATGGCTCAGGCGAAGCTTGTCTGGGACTCGGAATCTGCGTATGAATGACTCAGTATTGCGCGTTACCGAAGGGGGCGATGGGACGCGGTATACCCGGATATGCACGCCAGGGTGGTATATGGCGTCAGCTTGCATACGTTCGGAGGCCGACCGGGCTTTGCCTGGCGCATGCCGCAGAAGCGTATCGACGACCTTCTCTAGTGGCCTGGAAAACGATACGTTCGAAGATACTGTCCTGCATGCTGGGCAACTGGTACCACCGTTCTACGAAACATCCACTGATCAGTATACCCTCGGAGACGTACAAGATCATAGAGCAAATGAAGACATGGCATGCGGGCTTCGTACTGGCTCTTGAGACCACAGCAATATGGCTTGCACCACTTCCCAGCACTTGCACAAGACCGGAACGCTTACCTTGATCCAAAGCATAAGACAACTGTTCCGCGCCACGGCAACACCACAGCAACAACTTCAGCCCAACCGCACTAACCACCGCACAACACATGATGTGCGCACACACCTTCCGCAAAAGAAATGCTGGCACGGATTCACCACCACCGGCCTGTACACGATCGCCGAGCAACACCCACACTGCAACTCCTCCTCCAGATTGTCCGAGAGCGCACCGCCGTCCACGCTCGCTCTGCTACCCTCCTCGCTTTCTCCCACCAATTTCTCATTCGTTTCCTTCGGTTTCTTGTGCTTCGTCTCGTCATTTGAGGCGTCCTCAAATGCCTCCGATGCCCTCCGCTTGAGAGGCGCAGTGGCGCTCGTGGATGCCTGGGGTACTGCTACACGCAGGCCGATCGGCCCGGACCCGACACGACGTTCGTCGAGGACGGACTCTGGTGCAGGTTCGTTCATATCGCAATAAGTCGTTCAGAGTGTTCCGGTGTGCTGAGCGGCGGTCGATGGCGGATTGGAGACAAGAAAGCGAAAGGTGCAGTCCAGATTAGGAGCACAATATCAAGCCAGCGCTCGTCACACGATGTGATGGGGTTCGGAGACGCCCTGAGAAGCAGTCGCAGCCAAACGCCTGTCGGACACTTGCCTCTCCGGGCGAAGCCACTAGATCAAGCGGGATCCGTGGAATAACGCGAGCACAAAACAACAGCGACAGAGAGTATGATATGAGGCAGATTGTATACTACAAGGAGACGTGCGTTCAAAGGAATGCGGAAATACAGTTATGGATATATACGCAGTGGTATTGCGGACGTCCATCACGTTCCGAGCCAGAAAGTGCATGAAAGAAGACAAAGGAATCCAACCAGGTTCATAGCACATCATGTCCGTGTGCTTGTATATCTCGAGAAAAAGTGGAATGTAGCTGGCGTGGCAAAAGTGGCCCAAGAAGCTAGAACATACAGTAGAACAGGCAAAAGTATACGCGAAGTGTAGGGTAGTGTACGTAAGTACGTAAACGAAAGCGAGGTGAACGCACCAGAAAGCAATGCAAGCACACGATGAGTCACAACACAGCAGGATGTTAGATATGGCGATATGGCATCCTGTTCAGGGGAGCCAACTGTGTTGTGGCCGGGGCTGAGGCAATGCTTCGGATGGGGGGATAGGACTCTAGCTCTAGGCGGCACCGGGCGGAGGGATGGAGACAGCAGAGGGGGGAACAGGCACAGTGGCTGCAAAGAGCGAACGGTTGAGCTTCTCTTGAAGGTCCTCCCATCGTCGGCGCTGCTCTGGGGGCCGAACAGAACCTTGCGTTAGTTCTCACCGTCCTCGTGCACAGAGCGTGGCGCCGCGAGCTCACCTGCGCAAGGCCACAGCGTCATCAGGTATTCCACCGGTTGCGACAGAGTCTTGGCGACGTCGAGCGCGAAGCCCAGTGACTGATCGTACGACCAGAGTGTCAACGCTCTAGATGCACACGCCGAAGACGATCACGTGTGAGAAGCGCACGCCCATGGGAGGGCCCCAGGGTATTAAGGCACGCCGCCATGGCGAGGCGGGGACAGCGACGGAAAAGAAGACGGAGGAAGAGACGGAGGCAGTCAGGCACATGGGTAATCACAGCAGCCCACACAAGTCGAACACATACCTCTCAATCAAGGACATGAACCAGAACAGCAAAAACGGCCGCTTGGTTAGATCTGCGGTGGGCAGGCCGGTGACCGAGCCGTAGTCCGCGTTAGCGAGGCGTTTAGCGAGGATGGCCTGGCGTGTCACTGCGAGATCGGTGTCGAGGGCGAGGAAAAAGGAAGGTGAAGGGAAGACGTGATGATCAGTCAACGCTGAGGTACGTTCGGTAAATGAGCGGGTCGTATACTTACGCCACTCCTCCGCCTTTCGCCGATAGAACAGCAGATTGGCATGTCTAGAATCGCGGACATCAGCACCATGACCACCCACAAAGGCCGCAACCGTGTCGCGAGGGCGATGAAGACGATTACGTACTGCGTGGGCTGGGGCAAACACCGCTGAAATTCATACGCGATGACCATCCGCGAGCTGGACGACGCAAGCGCAGTTTCGTTGCAACCGGAGGAACGGCAATCGAGTCGAGGACGGTCGCACATCAAATAGACATACGCAACCCACGTCAGTCGTACGGAACCGAGCACGAAGCGACGCGGAAGGGGGACAAACAAAGCAAACAGTCAGTCGCGACACAACATCAAACAGAACGGTCATTCAGAACTCACTTGAACAGCAGCTCCCGACCCTGAAACAGGAACGAGCGTTCGATGCCGCAGGTGTGTCTTCCTAACGCCTCTTCGATGGCCTCGATCTCCGTCCAGGCCGTCAGTGCGAACTGTGCCTTGTCCGTGTCTGGTAAGCTCGTGTCGGTGCGTAGCCGGATGCAGCTGTTCCATAGCAGCATGGCCCGCATGTAGAGCGCCCAGACGGAGTCCTTAGAAGGCGGCGGGATATCGGGAGAGCCATCGACGCAAGTGAGCGATTCTCCGGGAAAGAGGAGTGCGTACTGCGAATGAAGTGATGGATATTGGGCACAATCAAAACCGATGGGCAACGAAATTCAAGAGGTGCGCTCACGTTCCGCGGATCCATCATGAACAATTGCTGCACATCGCTCTCCGAACGCGCCGCTGTGTAGGAACTGTGTCCGGAGCTGAGCATAACGCTGCTCCAGACGAGCCGCCGGCACTCCTCCATGCGGATATCGCTCTCGGTCCACTCGCTCTGCCAGGTAGGCGTCATGTCCCAGAGGGGCGCGATTTCGTGGACCATGGCCCAGGAGTGTCCCAGAGTGAAGGCGGTACAACTGCAGGACGAAGTAGCCGCTGCGGATTGTCGCTCTATCTCGTAGGGAAGGGAATGGGAGTGAAGGAAAGATTGTGTCGGTGAATGCGTGTGGGCCGAGAAGGCGTGGGACTCGTGCGATTGCGGGGGGAGGGGAAGTGACGCCGGCGGGTGAGCCCCCACTGGCGACCACCCGTGAGTGGCCAAGGACCGAGAATCGACAGGTGACTGTGAGGTCCGGGGGAAAGACGAGTCCTCGGGGGACAGTGGCCGGAGCTGCCTTGGCGACCTGGTGGATATAATTGGGACAACGGTGGAGAACACGGAGGCCTTAGGGTTGCCCGAGTCCAGCGCCAGAAGATTCAGGCTCCGGAGTAGAGAGTCCAGCAACCCCATCGACGAGCGGACGCGGGCTGTTGAATGCAGCGGATGCGCACAAATTTCAAAGAATGCAAGGAGCTAGGTAACACTCAGTAAATCACAACACCACTCCGGCAAACCGCAACGACAAAGCAAGACGAGATAACCACTTACCCATGCGGCTTGAACAAGACCATGGTCGACCCATCGGGAATTCAGACTCGCCTCCAGCGCGCTCTGTGCCTGGTCCCTCAAGGTCAACGCCCGCTCCCTCCCCCTCAGCCCACCTTCCCCATCGTGACTTCTGAAAAACATAGCAAGCGCGAGAGCCCCCAGGATGAGACCCGGTTGTATATAATGGCGCGCACGCGGATCCAGCAGAGAACCGAAAAAGCGCGGGAGGTTGATGAAATGCAGCCAATGCGGCGACGCACGGAAGATGAAGCGGAGATCTGCCGTGATCCTCGCCGTGGTGGTTTCCCGCACACCCGGCGGCATCGTCACGGAGGCGCCGTATTGAGGCGCGGTGCCGCCCTCGCTCGCGTACAGGAGAAGGAGTGCGTCCCACCACGTCTCGCGAGTAAATTGTAACCCAGGATCCCTCGCGATCCCCACACCCTTGCAGTCCTCATCTCCACCGCCGCTGTCGCCATAAGAAAACTCGTCGTCCGAACCGGTGACATGCCTAAGAAGAAGTCCATGATGAAGTGGTGCGACCAAAGGGTAACCCACGGAACCAACGGGCGCGTCGGATAGAGGGGACCCGAGCGACATCGCTTCAAAAGCGGCCGCTTGGGTCTAAGTGTGTTGGGTGAGCTGAGGCGTTGATGTCGGCTAACGAATCTGATGGACCTACGAGGTTGTGAGGCTGAGGATAGTGTGTCCCGACGCCTGTCGGCATCGAAGCGCGACTGGACTCAGGTAAGCCCTGCCGGTGCCTGCCATAATGGACGGGCCCGACCTCCTGGATGATGGTCAGGTTGTCTGAGTGAGGCGCAGACGTGTTGGCCAAGAAGGCCTGGCCCGTCGGGCTAAACGACGTCGGTTTCGCCTCTACTGGACTCACGGAGGCACTTTGCGACGTCATGAAGAGCTGGTCCGGGCCGTCCTGCGTTTGGTGACGCCTCCGCCGCCTGGGCGGCTTCTCACCAATGCCTCCCGCCGAACGCTGGCGCGCCCCAGGGACTCGGTCGGGTCCGCGCCGCTTGGGCGCAGTATCGTATGTGCAGAGGTGAGGGTTCTCTGTCCTACGGCTGCAGTTGTGGCAAACGGGCTTAGCTCCGTCGCAACGGATTTTCCTGCCTCGGCTAAGCGGTCGCAATGCGTGAGCGACTCCAAAGCCGCGCCTAGCACGAGGGAAACTCACCACTGAACGCATGCAACATACACACGCATTCGAGGCTTTCCCTGGGTGGTGAGAGGCTGATCAGCAGCCAATTCAAGGCGGGGCTTCTCTCTCCGCGAGCGGCCCGTAGCGGATCCCGACGTGGGGGACCTGTGAGAGGGCGGGGAGGTATCGGCCATGACACCGTGCCCGTGAGAGGTGCTCCCGACGGAGGTGTGAGCCATGGAACTCTGGTACTCTCTAGCGAGATTCACATCAAGGCTCGGATGGTCGAGACGCGCGCGCGGAGCGTCCGCGACTGATTGCGCGTAATGCCATACGTGTTCCCTCTGTTGCCCGTGCCCTTGTGGATGTGAATACGCGTCGGCCGGGTGTGCCGAACGAGAATATTGATGCTGCGGGTCGTGCTCGGCGTGGTGGAACATGCCAGAGAGAGACGAAGAGGATCCAGACGCGTCCACTCTCCCATGGCTAGCATCGAAGCTGGCGCTTCTAGGGGGAAAGTACGGGAATTGGGGGTTCGCCGGAGCCGAGTGATATGTTGGGGAGGTCTCGCTGGAGGGGTAAGAGGCGCGATTGTTGGAGACGGGATAGGGGAGGCCGCCGGACATGACGAAAAAAGGAAAACAAAGAACGAGAGGCAGAGATAGATTCTAAACGAGCTTAGTGTTTGCTACAGCACCCGCGGGGCTGGAATATGATGAGCGGGGTGAGACGTCGAAGCAGGTGGAAGCGGGGTTCGCGGGTGCTATCAGAAGACGTTAGCAGCGCATATATGCTCTCAAGCTGGACGGCGATGCACAGCAGGTGCGCGTCGGGGGGCTTCGACGGGGCAGGTTGAGGGTGCGGACTGGGAGCTCGAGAGACAGAAGGCGGAGCGGGGTGGACCCTCGGGATTGGATAAATAACATCTGGCCGGGCAGAAAGAAGCGATGTCCATATTTGAATACACACACTCTCCACGAATCGCCTCCTTCCGGCCTAGCATCCTCATATTCTAGATCTCATTATGTAACCCGCAATTAACCCTCCGAAGCGGCAGGGAAGCCGTCTGCCCTGTTCTCCTCCTCCCTCCATCCGCCCCGTAGTTTTAAACTTCGCTCAGTTAGTCTCCCTCCCCCGCCCTGCAGCTGCGTTCGCACCTCGCCTTCCGCAGCTGCGGCACACATGTACACTGCACACACCAGCATCCCACGACCGCCTTGTCTGTCTGCATGGAGTAGGTTTGCACCAGTGATGCCCCCGGCCCGAGCCGAGATCCGCCTGCTCAAGACGGCCTTCGCTCGAACTCGAATCCCATTGACTCTCTTCTCAGAACCTTCTTCAGCCTGAAAATTTAGCCAATCTTCCTATGTACGACCGATGCGGCACATCCGGTTCGTCTCTGTCCCCTGTCCTCCCCTTGTGCGCGAATCGCCCCATTCCTTTCAACGCTCTTGCCATCCAGACGCTGCCACCTCCCGCTTCCCAGGCCAGTCTTCGAATCCTGTCTTCTTGCCATCCATCTCTTCTCCTCCTCCAATCTGCGGCGCATACCGACTCGCACCAGTCCATCTCCCCACGCCCCGCCAGATACCATCTCGCGCACATGTTATACTTCAGTCCGCCTCGCTGTCAGTATCGTCTCTTGCCTCTCTAATGCCTCCGCACGCCGTCCCCTTGCTCGAAATGACACCTCCCCCACCCTCAGTGCGAGCTTCCACGTCACGGGCGCTGCCGCTCCACCTTTCTATTCGCCAGTGACCTCGCCCTACGAGCCTGTGATTGGCTCTGCGCCAGTAAGGTTGTGCCGGCATGTGCATCGCGCAATGGCACTGGCTGGCATTGGCTAGCTGGCCCTCCCGCTCGTTCTCATTCGACCCCGGCGAAAGCTCGCTCTTCTGGCCCGGCAGCGGGAACCGTCTATCACGGCGGCTGGGAGCGCGCGGCTCATTGATGTCCCTTCAACTGCCTCTGGATGGTCTAGCGACTTTCCGCACTCCTGGCCTGTCAACTTCTGCCTCCCAGCCGGTGCTTCCAACCGCGTTGCCGCCTTCCCTGCCCTCACCACGGCAAGGTGCTTGCCTTGTTTTCTGTTGATTGCCTTCCTCCGGAACATATCCCTAGCCGTCTCCTACGTAAGCTGCGACAGATGTTCAGGCGCTGAAGCGATCTTCGCCATCCATGCATACGGGCCCACGTCAACGTCACGCCCAGAACGTCCGAACCAGCTCCTGCAGTGGACGATATGTCCGAGTCTGTTGATGCATTTGAACATACTGCGCATGTTTTTCTCACTGGTCAGCTCTCTATTCTCTTGCCATTCATTAGAACCTTCTCCACTGAAGCTTCGCTACTCTCGTCCTTCCAGTTGCCCCCGGCCCCGCCTCGAACACCTTCTCGTGTCAAGCCCAAGGCGCTGCATCTTCCGTCTGAAGTTGACCTAGATCGAGGCTTTGACGAGGCCCTTCCCCATTCTAACTCTGTTCAGAACATTCCATCTGTCAGTCTAGACGGCCTTCAACCCGACTGAATTGCCGGCACCAACGTCCGTTCTTGCCAACACGGTGGCTCGCGGCCGGAGAGCGGGCGGCATGGAACGTTATCTACGGCGATCAAGATTCCCCACAGTTAATGAGTGAGTACCAATATCCCGGGCGACGTGTGGGAGGAGGGCCTAGCCCTACCAACATCTTAGACGTAATTCATGAGCACAGTGAGGTTTGTCATGACATCTCTTGGGCTGCTATAGGATACTTGATATGGCGCGAGCGAATGGGGAAGGACATGCGCATGTACCCTAACAGTATAGGCGTGCGAACGAAGTATCCCTCGGTCACAATAAAACTTGTACGGGCCGCTCATGACATGTATGTCCATATTGCGCTTCTGTATGGCAAGCCGCGCAACAAGCTTCGGTGCGTTTAAAATCGTTATCGCGGGTCTCAAAGGAGTGCGCTTGGTCAGAGTTTGTCGTCGGCCTCGAACATGCCGACCCACCGCTTAGCCTCGGGCAAAACCACATGTCGAGCGGAAGCATCGAAAAGACCGGGTCACTTGCAGATTGGAATGTTTTAGCGGGCTGACATACGGGGAATCCGGTGGCACCCATCCCACGGAAGCACGGACTGCGCTTGACGTCGGGCGAGAGCTTGCACTCGCCGTCCCACGGCAAGCCAGCTGGCCATGGCCAGCCGGACGGGTCGCATGGTACAGACCCGGGCCCCGATTGCACTACTATTGCGTGACTCAAGCTTTGGCACTCCACGATGACCCAGATGTCTCCCGAAGCGAGACCGCCGACCCCGCGCGGCGCGCTCGACACCACCGACGCGGCGCGCACGTCTGCTTCTTCCGAATTGTGGGTGCCAGCCATGCGCGGGGATCGAGCGTGACACCGACGCCCACAAGTCTCAGCGGTCGACGGACTGCACGCGCGCGCAGAGACTTCCGGGGGAGGGGTGGGCGGAGATGCCAGTCCTGGGGACGGGTGCAGTGCTTGTCATTGCACGCAGCCCCTGTCTTAATTAACAGGATCCGCCGCGGTGGGCATGTTCGCCTGCGGCGACGTCCTCGGGATCGAAAAAGCCTGTCGCTTGCAGTCGTCTCCGACTTCGAGCGGTCTTTGTCTGCTCCCGATCTGCGATACTCAACGCCCGGCGGCTTTGACCGATATGGGAGATGGAGGGCGGGATGGGGCGCGGTCCGGGGGTCCCGGGGAGACGGCGTGCCGTTGCTGGGCGGCGTTTTTGGTTTTGATTCACTTGTTTGTGGCATGGCGATACCAATAGCAATAATCTCCGAATGGATGCTGGCCCTGCCAAGTTTGTATATAGTTTTCACAAAGCCCTCCTCGAGTCAGCGTTCCATAGGACCGACGAATTATAGTAAGGCCCATCCTAGTTTTCGCGACAAAACCATAACATCAACGCTTGGGAGTAATATCCGTGAAGCTCGCTGAAGTATCGCAACATAAAGTGATGAATTCTATGTGTATTTGTTCGTCGACCCCTAGCGCAATATACATGTATAGCATTCACCGGTTCAATCCAGGTATGCAGGTGAATCCCAGCCGCAAACTCAGTTGTTTCGCCGATTATGAGCATGATTTCATGCCCTCTGCCAAATTAGTGGTGTTTCGCATCGAACGTTTGATGAGGTGTGTCCTCGGAACACCGCCAGCGTAAGCCCTCCCGACCGCCCTGGGCACAAATCTGATCTACCGCCCTAGCCTAAAGGCATGCCTACTGTGTTACAGCTATTCCTATTGAGCTGGCGAGGTTTTCAGGAGATCGAGGAGGAAAGGACTATCATGGTATGCTTATTATTATTATTATTATTATTATTTTCTTGTCTTATACCAAACATAGCTACAGGGTACGGTAGGTATGTAAGTAAGCGTGTTATCCGAGATTGTTTGACATTTCCACCCAGCGCGTCACTTAAGACTTGCACCAGCGTGCTCAGACCACGACCGAAGTCAGCGTGTGGAGTAAGGACCCGCACCTACCCACTCACACCATATCTGCCAACGGCGACCCGGAGTCGCCGTCCCCATCCGTAACAAGAGTGGTCGCCGTCGAGGAGGAGGACGACGACGAGGGGGGGGGAATGAAGTGTCGCCAAACTATCCGCCCGGCTAGTTCAGTGACAGTGAGGGGGTAAGACCGGGATAGTCGCCCATCCGGTCGTAGGAGCTTGCGGG